TTGGTTTCCCACGCAGCACACGTATCGCCGTATGATATGTTGCAGATTTGAGCTTTATCCTCTCATACGGAGAAGTGCCATTGGCCCAGCGGTCGTGCTTCTTCCCGCTTGTTCCAGAGGTTCGTGGTTTGAACTCACAGACACGACTAATATTTTGGGTGTATTACCCTTAAAGTATGCGCTGTCTGCTGCTCCACAGTGGATGTTATTATATGATGCGTTTTTCGGAATAAGAGCAGGCCATTGTGTGCTGGTGTCATGGTTCAAATTGGGTAAGTAGAACAAATACTCGAAAATTACTTAATTGGGAAATGCTTAGCAAATTGGTCGCCCCCCTTCTCTAAAAACTTAGCAGAACCCTCCTGAAGAGGAGTCTTGAACTAAATTCACACAAATACATATGCATTGCATAGGTTTTATTCATATATTCTAGCGGCCTTCCACATGTCTAGAAACAATCCATCCTGAATGTGCTCCTTTTGTCTGAAGCTAAGCAGGAAGGAGCCAGGTTTAATACCTGGAGGAGTGACCACCAGGGCTTACCAAGTGATAAAGGCATCAGGCTAGGAGATAGCAGTCGTCAGTGTCACCCCCCTTCTATGTTTTGGATTATTTTTTCCAGGTACTCCTGCATTCCCATACATGGCAAAACATATATTAATAGCATTGGTCGAACACCTCCTGAAAAGAATCTGAAGACTTATTCAGGCTTTCCTGACTAAGCATTTGGCACTCTATGCATAAACGGAATAGAGGGGTAGTGGTACGTTGGCTCGCAGTACGAACCCAGCGGGCCCGGGTTCGTTTCCTGGCCACAATCAGTTTCAAGTGATATACGAGAAGTGGTCTTGCTCTCCCCCTCTTCATCAACATGCACTGACTTGTGTGGTGAAGTACGATCAAAACCATAGTGACCGACATGGTGTGGCAAAATCTTTGTCCATTGGTGAATTCAGAATTGTTGGAATGAATTTTTTTTTTTATAGTTTAAACATTTACGTTCAAAGAGAATGAGCCAAACATCCACGATCTCAGAACAGGGCTATTGCAAAAGTTTGAATCGGGACTCCGATTAGCAACGGCTTGCTACGTACGGTGCTAAAGATGTTCACCATCCATATATACATTGAGAACTTTGTGAAAAAATTAAGAAGGCTGGTAGCAGTGCATTGATAAAGCGAGCACTACTAACAACAGCAGCGTCTTGGGTAATGGCCAAGGTCGCGAGGTATTTGGCGTCCACGCTGCAAACATGGCATTCCTTTCCCGCACCCAGGAACACAGTGTGTCAGATGTGTTGCAATTCACATTGCCAGCACTGGACAGATATGTAAGTAAATAAATAAATAGAGCCACAGGCCCTTGTGGTATGTTTGGTGTCCCCCTCCACCCAGGCTTAGGGATTGTGGCCAAACAGGGCAATGGTGGTGCTGTGTTGCAACATTCAGAGTTATTTCAAATAATTGTTTCAACATTGAAGGTAGAAGATTTTGACAACTAAATTATTGTGTAAATGTATATACTGTACTGTATACGCGCAGGAAAACCCAAGTACAGCACGTGACATATTTTGTGTAACTTTTGAAAGTGTGACTAAATTGCATCCATAAAAAATACAGGGTTTAATAAAGAGCTTATAGACTGCTGTCTATGAATTCTATTCCCGTTTTGGATTTTTACTTATAAAGATGCACTGATTGGAATAATTATGGCAGGCTTACATTGAGTTAACTGCAGTTAAAGGACTTTTCACTAAGCTCTATTTGTACTGAAGATAGAGAAAAGTGTAAGAACGCAACACAATTGTGAAATACAATTGCAAAGTTATGGGAAACTGATGATAAATTAATATATCGTATCCTATTGTGGACATTTTTATCATGGTAACCAGAGTTGTAATATGTCACATTTTGTGAACAAGAATGTATTATTCCATACTCCAATTAACATTGTTTGTTCTATTTGGGTTGTCTGTATGGGATATTTGATGATAATCATTCACATCCAAACCACCTTGATTTCATATTCAAATCTAGAATTTACACCTTGATTTCAAGTTCCTACACAAACAATAGTTGAGAGGTTCCTAACTCCACTGATGCTCATTCCCCTAACCGATTGTTTATTGGTGAGCTGACAGTTGTAATTGCCTGGCAGGGATCGGTCTCGATAGCAAGAATTGTTCACTTCACACTAATTGGTAGATGCTAATTTTTCCGAATATTGAGAGATGCTGAGTTAAGTGGACCTTAAACCAGGATTTGAACTTGACAGTAACGAGGAGTGCTGGCACTCAACCAGCTTAGCTATTCCCCCCCCACCTTATCCTGACTTATTTCTTTATAATCAGCCATTATATAGCCACTGCTGGATGAAGGCCTCCATACACTGTCACCATCCATCAGCGTGTTGCCACTATCCATATCACTCCTGACAATGAACTGATCCCATCACATCATCCCCGTGGTGGTCATTCTCTTGGACAGTTCTCTCCACTGTATGCCATTTGGTCATCAGTGTCAACCATCGGCACTCATGCCTTCTAGCAACATGCCCTGCCCAGGCCCATTTACTTTAAATTGTTCACAAGATTAATTTATTTTTGTTCCCTGATCTACGTATTCCCTTCTCCGTCTCTCTGTGTAATTGAAAGCATGTACTTTTGGAAAGAAGTATGTTGATAATGAGGCCTATAAATAAGGGGGAAGCGGGGGGGGGGTCATGCTTGAGCGTGACCTATCAAATATATGTTTTAATAATTATGTAAATATGCTGTGGTAAGTCTCAAATGCCCTAGCAATGGTTTCCAGCTTCACACAGTCACGCCAGACTGGTATTGCAGACTCGCCGCAAACGATACACGTCAGCTTGAGAACTGAACAGCACTTAATGCAATTAACACTATTCCACGAAGCAATGCCACTCAATCCAAGCTGCTCTTTGTAAAATCACGTCATCTGCAGCTATCAGTTACAGTGTTGTAATGACAATGATTTAAATAATCCACTCCACCCGCAAGCACTGTTATTGCCTGGTGGCACTTTGGCTCAGATGGGAACCGGTGGCGAGGGTTAAATTTACGGTGAGAATCTTTGTTGGCATTACTGATGCATATGTGTTGGAGAGTAACTAAGAATTGAATGCGCGCAAGTTTGATATTTTTTACCAAATGTTAAATTATTTATGTGCCTGCTTCTATGCTACCCACAGTCTCCACGAAACCTGCTCTGACCAGCATGGTGAAGGATGGTCAAGTGATCCCCACAACTCGCATCGTGTGAAGAGGCCCTCATCCAATAGTCGACTGACAAAAGGGTACATTTACACGTGTCATGTTTAACCATCCTAAACTTTTAAAACAGAATAATCATTCTACAATTCTGCGTAAACATTTGACATTATTTGCCCCGCAACAAGAGGTTCCTGATTGCGATTCCCGACTCGGGCAACTTTCTGCGTGGAATTTGTATCTTCTCCCTCTGTTGCGCATGGGTTTTCTCTGGATTCTCTGGTTTCCTACAATAGCTGAACAAAATGACAAACATCCCAATGCTGAAATATTACCGGGGTAACAACGATACGCCTGTTTCACTTGCAAATTACTCGACTGAGGTTACACATAGCAGCAAGCCCCCCACTCCCCCCTCTCCACTGCGAAAAGTTAGTCTTGAAACACAGTGAGGTTTTGCAGCAAATCAAGTGATATCATAACATTTCACCGAGACAATATGGGAATTGACACCTGTGTTCTGGTGGCAGGAATTGATCTCGTGATACTGCACTGTGTTGCACGTTATTTTATTGAACAGTTGAACAGTTCTGATGGACTTGGGCCGACTTTCGCACTGAACCTGTGCCCTCCACCAGTCAACTGCTGGACGAAATTCTCCTACATGCCATGGGGTTTTGACCGGTCATGGGGTTTTGACCATACTTCACCACGCTGGTCAGTGCGGGTTGGTGAAGCTAGGAATAGGGCCATCCATAGGTGGGTGCGGGGCCCGGGGCAAACACCACCGTGATGTCGAAGCGTGCCCTTCCCCCCCCCACCCCCAAAATGCGGGGCCCGGGGCCGTCTCCCCTGATTCGTCGTACCCGAGGTACCGTTTTGGGTTGGAAGGTTGGGGTGGGCGCCCATTATTGGTTTAGATATCACTCGTTTTCCAATTAATGTTACCCGTGGCCAGGAATTTAAATCAAGAGTTTGTATTTATACTGGAGGAATCCGATGGGCTATAAGAAATTCTTCACCACATATTTCCAGTAGTTTTTTCACAGAGCAACTGAGTTCATAGTGTAATGCATGCTTGAAAATTTAAATGTGTAGTTTTTTCTCTCTCTCAATGTTGTAGCACCATATTCTCATATACATAAGATGAAATTTATCTCTTTATTTTGAAGCGGGAGAAATGCGGTACGTCAAGCGCCTTGAGTGAAAGGTGCTCTATGAATACAGATAGGATTAGATTTCCATATCAACATTTTAGCATCGAGAGCTTTCGTTCTTTCCTTAGCCATACCTGTCAACCCATACGGTTTGACCGTATTTTTGTACAGGGAAATTGAGTTTTCAAGTTCATACGGCGTACAGCCGTTCGAATACGGACAAAAATGTTTTTTGTCTATTTCTTTGTGTTTCTCCCTCGTAATGGGACTTTTGATGATGAACGTTGAGATGTATAAGGCCACGGGATGACCAATAAGGTCTGAGTTGGTCTGTAATAAGGTAGGGCACTGATCAGGGGTTGACAGCTATGGAATAAAGATCGGATTACATTTCCATATCAACATTTTAGCATCGAGGGCTTTCGTTCTTGCCTAATCCCCCTCTCTCAGCCACCCCGTTGCGAAACACGTGTGCCGCGTCATCACTCTGTCGTCACAACCACATGCCCCCCGCCCCCAGCGCGTGGCTGCGTGACGTCATCGCGTCGCTGACGTCACACCCGCGGCGAAGTCCTCTTGCGCGATGACGTCACCGCGCCGCCGATGATGCAACGCCGAGTTCACAGCTGTTCGCGATGACGTCACCACAACTGGCCGCTCGCATGGCGGACTCGCTAGCCGGCGTCTTAGGCAAGGCCAGCATTGAATTCAAGGCGGGACATGGCGAGGAGATACAACGCTTCGATGGTGGGTTGTGCTGCGGGGAACCACCACTGCCCCTTGTGTCGTTGAGAGAGTGCTGGGCCCCGTGTCCCCCACGCCTGTTCGTCGAGCCCCGTAGGCAACTCGTAGGACTGGTTCTGCCGCTGGCTTTGCTTGGTTGTGGGTGTCCTGGGTGTGCTGTGTGTGTGTCATTGTGTGTGCTGAGTGTGTGCTGTGTGTCGTGGGCGTGATGTGTCTGGTGTGTCCTGGGTGTGCTGTGTCGTGGGTGTGCTGAGTGTGTACTGTGTCGTGGGTGTGCTGTCTTGTGCGTGCTGTGTGTGTGCTGTGTGTGTGTGCTGTGTCTGGTGTACTGTGTGTGTCCTGGATGTGCTGTGTGTGTGCTTTGTCGTGGGTGTGCTGTCTTGTGTGTGCTGTGTGTGTGCTGTCTGGTGTACTGTGTGTGTGCTGTGTGTACTGTGTGTGTGCTGTGTGTACTGTGTGTGCTGTGTTCTGAGTGTACTGTGTGTGCTGTGTGTACTCTGTGTGCTGTGTGTACGCTGTGTGCTGTGTGTGTGCTGTGTGTACTGTGCGTGCTGTGTGTACTGTGTGTGCTGTGTTCTGAGTGTGCTGTGTTCTGAGTGTACTGTGTGTGTGCTTTGTCGTGGGTGTGCTGTCTTGTGTGTCCTGGGTGTGCTGTGTCGTGGGTGTGGGTATGTGCTGTGTGTGTGTGCTGTGTGTACTGTGTCTTGTGTGTCCTGGGTATGTGCTGTGTGTGTGTGCTGTGTGTACTGTGTCTTGTGTGTTCTGAGTGTGCTGTGTGTGTGCTGTATCGTGGGTGTGCTGTGTGATTGGTGCTGCGTGCTTGTGGTCTTGGCCCCTGTGTGATGCTCCACATTTCCACACGATGAGCCACTTTGTTGAGCTATCATTTGTGGCCTGGTCGCTTCTGAAAAACAAGCCAATAGCTCAGTGGACTTTACCTGGCAAGGTAAAACATAAATTGAAGCTTTCGTGACTGCAGGAATTACTCTTTGTTTCTTTCTGTAAAGTCACATAGAAATACTGTAATAGAGTAACGACGTTTCCACGGTTGCTTTCGACGGTTGCTTGTGCTGCAATCGAAACGTCGTACTCTGTTTACTTTCTACGTGACTTTACCGAAAGAACCAAAGAGTAAGGTAAAACATAGTTTTTAGTTTTACTTGTATATATTTTAAGCGATTTGACCCTGTGCACTCTTGTCGTGTTGTTGTTGTAACGTTCTGGCCCGCCCCTAGTGGACGCCTGTGACAACAGCGCTTTATAGCTTATCGGATTTCTCCAGTGAAGATAAACATGACTCTGTTTTTTTACGCTATGGGAACCTCATTTGCCAGTAAAAATATGATAATTGGTTTGTTACCCTTCTATCTGGCAACAAAACGGACACCTTTTTACAAGGAGTCATGTTTGCATAGACCGCAATACCTGCAGTCATAATACAAACAAAAGACACAACTCTGATAATGTGCACTGTCATAACTCTGTCCACTGACATAACTCTGATAATGTGCACATTATCAGAGTTATGTCTTTTGTTTGCATTATGACTGCAGGTATTGCGGTCTATGCAAACATGACTCCTTGTAAAAAGGTGTCAGTTTTGTTGCCAGATAGAAGGGTAAAAAACCAATTATCATGACTCTGTTTTGCCTGGAGTGGGTGCTCTGTACAGGATGCTGCGTCCTCGGTGTTGGCACTGCGTGTTGTGACGTGCACGCTGTGTGATGTGTCCTGAATGCTGGTTATAGTTGCTTCCCGTACATTCCGCTGACTGACATCTCAGAATCAGAATCTTTTTTTAATCCTTTATATTAAGTTCACTTGCTTGCTTGCTTGCGCGCTTACGACCGTGCAAATCTTTCGGTCGTTTTTTTACCCACTTCCCGTGATCCAATCGAGCTGATATTTTGCACACAGACTCGTTGTGCGTGACAATTTATTTTCGTGAATTTTTTTTCCACAATTTTACACTTTTTAGGAAAAAATCAATTATATTTAATTACCAATTGCTTAATGGTGGCAGGCAATCATCTGACCCATAGGTGGCAGCCATCTCAAGCCAGAGGACGAGAGGACTCTAGCCGCCACGCATATAAAGGATTTATAGTGAAAAACTTTGTTTTTACGGGTTATTTTTTATTTTGACCGAAGATATCCGATCAGCTACGAAGCTCTTTTTTTCACAGACGTCCACAGATCTCCAGAATACATCTGTTGAACACACCTGTGTTCTGTTGTCAGGAATCGAATTCGTACCAGCACCTGGGTGGCAATTGTGTTTACCGTTGTTACAGTGGAGTTGCTACGCTTTGGTAGACCTAAGCTGACTGCGAATAATATCCGGGTTTGATTTGCAGAAAGGGCGTCATCTCCTAGTGTGCTTTGCTGGATGTGTGTGCTGTGCCCTGAGTGTGAGGTGTTGTGTGTGTGTGTGCTGTGCCACAAAGTACACCTAGTATGCCACGAGCGGTTGTTTTTGTTCTGCCATAATAATAGGTGGTGTATCTTATTGTTGTGATACACTCGTCCCAATGATGTTAGTAATTGTACCTGTGTCGATTCAGTTCGTGAAATACTTTTTTAACATTGTGATGCATGTAGCGGGCTCTAGTGGCTGTAGGTGTCCTGTTACTTTTTTTACATGCAATATGCTTTTTTTTACTTAAGAAACTATAATTGATTAAGATCTACATAATTCAACTGGCAATAGAGTTATCAGTATTCTATTGTAATCTTAATTTGAATGTTTTGTAGATATTACAGAACATCATACAAAATTCCTGCTTTCCTCCCACTAATTAGACTGCCAAAAATATATCAGTATTGTAATCCTAATTTGAATGTTTGTTAATATTCCAGAACATTATACAACGTTCTTGCTTTCCTCCTTCCCACTGTACCACCTGTGAATATCGCCAATTCTTATGAGTACGTAATGAGCATATCTTTTTTTCTACATAACTAAGGCTAGAACTGTCTGGGACAACCTTTTCATGGCACTGGGTCAGTATAACCCAGTTTGGTAACTCATCAGTCGACCGAAAATGATCAACTCGCGTACTGCATGGCACTTGGCTGTGTGTATCGGTAACACGTGATATGCTGCAAAAATGCCTTTGTTAAATTACAAGCACGTGTTTCATTCGCAGTCGCCGATAACATGCTCGAATATAAGATGCACCTTTTATTAATCGTATATTAATTTCTGAATACAAGGTGATCCATTATAATGACCCGCTTCGTATATTTTCAACATGCGATTGAATATTTTAAAAGCATGCCTCCATATGTTACACAGAGGAACCGTGATAACCCTCGTGCCATCTCTTGCTCATGTATTGCACGGTGCAGATTCGGACTGCCCGATGACGGAGGCCCCGGCGGGGCCAGTCGAGGATGGCGCCCTGAGTCCACGCGGACTCCGTCACTCTGTGTCCAACCAGCTGCTGTTGGTCACGCTGCTGGAGCACCTATGCTCATTGTATGAGCGAGATCCCATAAACAAGCAGGCGCTCTTCCACGGTACGTAGCCCCGTCCGTCGAGACTTAACAAGAGTGGAACACGGTTAAGCGACACAAGACATTTCATATTGAATTGCAGCACTTAGTTTAACTGAGTTTACATTTACATAACACAGCTAACATGTCACTTGTGTTGATTTTACTGCAATTGGTCTCGGGACGGAAGAATGAAGCTTGGTGAGATTATTAGGAAAATGATTAGACCTCAACCTGTTGCTTAGAAAAAAACAGCAGTAACACATGTCCATTAATGCTCTAAATATTGGCATTTAAAAAACCCAAAGTCAATTCGCATATGAAGTATGTTTTCGAATTTATATTATTATAATTCTTCATATTATTACCAATGTTGGCTTATTAAGAGATATTTTTGTTACTTATTTTACGGTATTTTTTTTCATTACTCGCAATAGAATAATGAACACAATGGCCTCGCTCAAGGCTCGATTACCTATAATTATTTAAGATATATATCAGTGACACGTCACGTACATCATCTCGCAAGTTCATGACATAGCCCTTGCTGCACAGAGCACAAACCTGGAGAAGATTGCGAATACTCTTAAACGCTGATCTAACTTTATTGGACGCATCTTAGACTCCGATCAAATCCACCACTTGAACGGTCGTGCATCAGATGCCACCCTTCAGTTTAACACATTTGCAATGTTGTGGGTTTACAATGTTGTGGGTTTACTCTCCAACACACCGGTGTGCTGTACTCATAACGAATTAGCATGTTTTTTTTACGTGACAAATCTTACTCATTGGCTGTGTCGGGTGGTGGTGGGTTTAACGACACATATTTACTCGATCTAACCCAAAAAAAACACTTATAGATGCCACCCTTGATGTGTTCTTCTGTCGTAGCCCAGTGTGCTATGACCCCACTCCAAGATATCTAAGGATGATCACGGACATAAGCCTTAAACAGATCTGTGAAAATACCAAATAAAAAATCATCCTTCTACAGATACTTGCAGAAATTACTTGAAGCAACTCTAACTGATCGATTCAGTGGCAGAGTCGCTGTGCGCCAGCCTGGTCCGGGAGCTCATGCTCAAAACTGCTTGAATAAAGCAATGCGCATTTAACCGGAACACTGAAACCGACACCAATCCTCGGGCCCCCTGTTCTGGCTAACATTCTGCCACCGAATATGTGCAGAGACATGCAAACTGCAAAGGAGTTTACACGTTTTCTTGGCAATAACCTTGCCATCAACCAAAACCTCATCATTGTACTCAACTCCCGAACCCCTGCTGAGATCGTGCTGTCAAACATCCTTGAATCTTACCCAGATCCGGAATAATGCTGGCAAGCAGAGTGGAGCAAAGTGAACATCCAGAATAAACATGTAATTCGTGATCTAAGCATCACACCTCCTGGCTTTGACATTCGTCGTAGAAACTGGTGTGACCATCAACCGCATCTCATGCAACCCAAATCGTAGACCACACTAAACCACTGTTGTCTGATCTCATTTAAAGGAGGAATAGCAAAAAAACACAAACTCTCTCGTGCATCTCTCTCGTGGCTAGAAAACCTCTACAATGGCGTTTAGCTCCTGAACATATTTCCATGCGCAGATTAGAATAGAATTACTCATTATGAGTCTTTAATTTAATAAAGTTATATTGATAGCATTTAATTCCAGGAATCGGTTTAAAACTCATACAGTGAGGGAAAACAGTATTTGATCCCCTGCTGATTTTGTACGTTTGCCCACTGACAAAGAAATGATCAGTTTATAATTTTAATGGTAGGTTTATTTGAACAGTGAGAGACAGAATAACAACAACAAAATCCAGAAAAACGCATGTCAAAAATGTTATTAATTAATTTGCATTTTAATGAGGAAAATAAGTATTTGACCCCTCTGCAAAACATGACTTAGTACTTGGTGTCAAAACCCTTGTTGGCAATCACAGAGGTCAGACGTTTCTTGCAGTTGGCCACCAGGTTTGCACACATCTCAGGAGGGATTTTGTCCCACTCCTCTTCGCAGATCTTCTCCAAGTCATTAAGGTTTCGAGGCTGAAGTTTGACAACTCGAACCTTCAGCTCCCTCCACAGATTTTCTATGAGATTAAGGTCTGGAGACTGGCTAGGCCACTCCAGGACCTTAATGTGCTTCTTCTTGAGCCACTCCTTTGTTGCCTTGGCCCTGTGTTTTGGGTCATTGTCATGCTGGAATACCCATCCACAACCCATTTTCAATGCCCTGGCTGAGGGAAGGAGGTTCTCACCCAAGATTTGACAGTACATGGCCCCATCCATCGTCCCTTTGGTGCATCTGGCACAGAACAATGCACCACAATCTGAGCTATGTCACAAAATTTGCAAAGCACGACAATTCAAGGGAAGGAATCTGTGAAGATCAATTTCAATGAGATGTGCATCAGTGTATTTCCGATGTCAAAATTTGCCATCAATAAGATATTGCCGGATGGGTAGTCTAGACACAAGAATGCTTCTGCGTCATTTCACTGGATGAAAAATTGCAATCTGAAAACATAATACAGAGCTGCGAATTACGACACCATGTACAAACCGTGAATATCTGCGTCTGCATAAAACATTTATAAACTCCATATATATAAAATAGAGAAACTCGGTAAACATTATAGGGCAATCCCATTTCACTGGCAGATACTGGAAGATAAATAATTGTTAACTATTGCTAATTATTTTTATATTTACAAGACAGGAATATCAATACCATCAACAAACACCCAGTGGCACAAAATTGACCCTTGTATGGCATGTTTGTAATAACTGTGAAGCTGCGGAATTGTTATGTTTACAAGCACCCTCTGCCAGCAATTCTAATTGTGAAAATTTGAAATGTACGATTGAAATACGAACAGAAAAAAACATTTCTGCGTAGATGACTTTACTAGGACATTTTCCAGTTTTGGAAATAAGTATTTGATCCCCTGCTGATTTTGTACGTTTGCCCACTGACAAAAAAATGATCAGTCTATCATTTTAATGGTAGGTTTATTTGAACAGTGAGAGATAGAATAACAACAACAAAATCCAGAAAAACGCATGTCAAAAATGTTATAAATTGATTTGAATTTTAATGAGGGAAATAAGTATTTGACCCCCTCTCAATCAGAAAGATTTCTGGCTCCCAGGTGTCTTTTATACAGGTAACGAGCTGAGATTAGGAGCACACTCTTAAAGGGAGTGCTCCTAATCTCAGCTTGTTACCTGTATAAAAGACACCTGTTCACAGAAGCAATATTGCTGTTTATTTCCATGTTTCTTTGTTGAGTAATATCACGTTGCATTTGTAGTTCTGTGGCAATTTAGTTCACATATTAAGCCTTTTGCATGCTCTTCGAGATGTGATGGCATGTGAAGGTCCTTCAACGTATTAAATTATGTTCCTATGCATGCCAACAGCCATTGGTGCACACCTAATCCAACTGAAGCTGGTCTCGCCATCATCTTCTGCGATGAATTTGCCACGGTGCGGAATCAGTACAGCAAGGCTTTGTGTGACCTGCTGCGCTCCGGATCCAGCCACCTGCACACCGAGGTACTTTTAGCATCCTCTACGCTGGTGGTTCCCAACCTGTGGTTACGTGGACCACTGTTGGGCCACACAGGTTGAGGGAAGTGGTCCGTAGAACTCTCGCAGATACTATGATCAAAGAGTCGTTGTAATTGATAAATATGTCGTTGCTTTTGTGGTGGTCCACCACATTTTTATTTGAGGGTCGAGGGTGGCCTGCAGGTTCAGAAAGGTTGGAAACCACTTCTCTGCAGCTTTCATTTGCACTTTATTTCAGTATTCATGCTTATTAAGAAACAACATTATTGCAAGTCTTTTTTGATAGCACGGCCCCAGTGAGAACAATAATGTGCAATAAATGTACATGGTGATCCATTGGTAGGATACCCCATGGAATCCTCATGATGCCCTTACTTTTTTCTCATCAGGCGATTGAATACTGGATTGTGAAAACGATGGCTTCGCATCTTATAGAGGGAAAGTGCACAGAGATTCAATGAGCTTATTGAGATTGGTGGGTGATGTGTAGAGGCTGTGAAATAAAATGTATTTTACAGTAATTCTATTGTAGTTTTTGTGTGAAGTCTTTGTAATTGCATCACCAGTTTATTATACAGGCTAAATCACCCACCTTATTTAAGTGATTGTCGTGCTTTTAACAGAATGGTTTCACAGTTGGATATTAAATTGCACTGATAACGTGATAATATTGCGACTCTTGTATATCATTACGCTCTGTATATTTTTTATATTGCCATCGACTGTGTTCACTGTTGAGCAAAATTGGCGCAGGCATTGGTCGACTGCCCATCTGCATGTGTCCCGATGTCTGTGTCGTGACGCTTAGTGAACAAATAAAATTTCGATTTAAAGCTTTCGTGACTGCAGGGATTCATCTTCTTGGTTCTTTCGGTAAAGTCACGTAGAAGGGAAGTAATAAAATTATAAAAATAAACATAATAAAATAATTCTCACGACGTTTCGGCCACAACGCAAGCAGCCGTCTTCAGGTGAAAACCAGGTCTGTCGAGGCGACAGCGTCTGAATGAAACAGCACCATGCTTGGAGCGTATATTTAAGCTGGGTTGGAAGGGGGGGAAAGGGCGCCTTGACAAAAGAATTTGCATATCAAGAGGAATTTAGCATATTTATGGGAAATGCAGGTATGTGATTAGTACTACTTACAAATAAAATGTTCGCGTGTCTTTTCACAGCTGTCTCTCTTTCCTGAAGACTGTCCACGCCCATTGGCGCTACCCTCCAGGTATTATTAGGGAGAATGTAGTTATGAATTAGTTATGTTTTGTACAGTTCTGTTGTTTGCTAACATTATATACCGATTATATATCAGGCATTGATGTAAGTGACTAATTGGTATGTTTATTTGGCTAATTCCGCCTAAACAGCTCCAGGTTTCATTGTTCGAGGAGTCATTTGAGTGCTTATGATATATAGTTCATGTAAATGAGGTCAACGTTTTGTAAAAAAAAACACTTGTATTAATAATTTGGCTTATTGGCACCCGCACTGTCTGGCTGTTCTGCTTTTACAATAGGCCAGCAGATTTGTGCTGATATAGACACATATGACTTTTTAATTCCTATTCATATTGTTCAATTCATTAAATATAATTACATTCATGCACAAAATTCCAAGCCCATGCTTGTTCAGACAACATCGGGAATGGCTTATTATTGTTTATTGAATAATTGATAAAAATGTAATTTGCCTTGCACTAAGAATGTCCTTTCCAAAACAGCTCTGGTACTCCAAGCGTGTGGAATAATTAAATTAAATTATGAAATCGATTTGGTGGTGTAATGGCATCTTTCCCTTTTCTAAGGATCATAAACATGAGATGATAGCAGGACGTGCCGGGCCTGCGTGCTACACACTCCACACATGCTTAACTTGTGACCGACAATTGTTGCAGGCAGAAAGAGCAAGCTTTCCACACGCACACATCGCGTTACTTGAGCGAGTTTGAAGAGGTTTGCCGGCTTGGTCGCGGGGGCTATGGCCAGGTCTTCAAGGTATGCATTGATCCCACACCATCCACAATTAATGTTTCATAATCATTTGTTAATATAAATAGTAATTTACGACTCTCCGTAACGATGGCTTCCCCATGCCGTATCAATCTCGCAAGACGTTTAACCAAATTCACCACCTGATTTTTGCGTGAGTTGGCGAAGGGGGGCATCGGGAAGGGGGGGAGCGTGGGTGGGGGGCATGACCGATCCAGATACCATTCAACACTAATGTTAGTTGTGGCTAGGAATCCACTGACAGTCGCTTTATTCAGAGCAGATTGTGCAGATACCACTACCCTCCCACTCCCCACTTCGTTGTGCTACCAGGCACACATTCATTGTCGTAAAACTCCCTAATTGATTCACATCTGGGCCAGCGTTGTATGACTACTTGTATGCCTGTAGCATGATCTAGACAGTTGTACTTTCTTCAAGTCCTGCCAGAAGGTGGTGTTTGGGTCGCACATGTTTTGACTTAAAGCTTTCGTGACTGCAGGAATTCATTTTCTTTGGGTCTTTCGGTAAAGCCACGTAGATAGAAAAATAATAAAAAATATCACGACGTTTCGATCGCAGTACAAGCAATCGTCATCAGGTGAAAAAATATAGCTCTAACCGCTATATTTTTATTCTTTTTCTATCTACGTGGCTTTCCCAAAAGACCCAAAGAATATCACGAATGTTTGCCAATGTTTTTTCGAAACCCAAGGATTTAACTGCAAGCTCAAATTGGCGTTTGCATTAATTGCTGAACATGCCTTTGTGTGCGGTGGCCTAGGTGCGCAACAAGTTGGATAGACAGCTGTACGCTGTCAAAAAGGTGCTCATCAAGGGATCCGGCGAAAGTATTTGCAAAAAGGTTATTCCTCATCAACACAAATCTCACGTCAAACCATCTAACGTTTTAGGGGCTGTCCTAACTTTATGTTAATGTTGCATTAAGAAACATTTTTGGTGAATATAATGATTTATTCTTGAGTTGCATTTCGTGAATCCCGGTTTCAAAACCATGTTACCTTCCTTGCAGTTAAAGTTGTAGTTGCTTGTGAAAACGAATGCAAGGGCCAACATTCTTTTGTGTCCATTTTCTTCTGGCACAGCCGAGCCATCATGGATGGGGCCGTTACGGTGCAGGTTGTTTTCCACTGGCGATTAGCCATACCGTGCCAGCGCTAAACCATCATATCCTGGCCTCACAAGACATCTGAATCTGACTCGGGGGGCCAAACAGGGCCAGGGGTGGGGCTAATAACGGGTCTATTGCATGTAACATCAGTCATAAAAGTGTGAGGACATAGGATCAGCACGTCATTTGCATGTGACTTCTCCCGTTATTTGCATGTGACATAATTGTCACTGTTCGGCATCTGCAATAAAAGCAATAAAACTTGTGCCTCCTGAGCTGCACCGGGCTGGTTCGGCACGAGTCCAGAACGACTCGGGTGTAGAATGCAAAATAGGTAATTTTGCAGCAGTTTTCAAACTCGACGCTGTGTGTTAGGTGCTGCGGGAGGTAAAGCTGCTGGCCGGACTGCAGCACCTGAGCATTGTGGGCTACCACGGCGCATGGTTGGAGTTGCTCCAACCTCCTACTCTAGCAGGTACTTGACATGATATTGACTGGAGAAACAGTAAAAGCCGACCATCCTGAAGACATAACGTTACCTCTCCAGTGTTGCCGCTTGTTTGAAGTGGAGAGACCAAGTACTACGAAAGCACTTGCGAATGGCAACATCACCCCTCGCACTTTCCTGTTTTTTTTTTCCAGCCAGCCCAGGCCTCCCGGCATACTGGAGCTGGCTTCTCATTATTGCTGGGGACGTCGAATTGAATTGAGGCCCGTTTTTCCCTTGTGGCTGCTGCGGCAAGAACGTCAATGCAAATTCTATCCAATGCAACAGTTGTAAAGCTTGGTACCACAAACGCTGCGCTACTTTAGCCCGCATCCCCAGTTCAAATTCCGGCTGGTTCTGCAAATATTGTACATCATCCACTCCAACAACTCCACCTTGCACAACCACACTAGCACCACTACCTCATCCATCGCAACCACCGTTTCAACCACAACAAAACATCCACAACAAAAACGACCTCCGAATCCTTCAACTAAACATCAACAGCATCAACAACAAATATCTTGAACTCAGCACCTTCCTACAACAAAACTCCATTAATATAGGCGCTATCCAAGAAGCAAAATTAAAATACACTTCTCGCCCGCCCAACTTAAATTTTTTTACTTTCCTCCGTCGAGACCGACCAACAGCTGGTGGCGGTCTAGCTTTCCTCATCCATAACAGCATTCAATTTGAAGAAATTAAATTCCCAATGCTTCCTTCTGATATCACCACAGAAGTCTTAAGCGTCCTTATCAAATCCCATCTAGGCTCACTATAATTAACGTCTACAATATCTGGCTTCATGCCACTCGACAACGCATCCTTCCACAAAGCTACTCAAAGCCCCTGCACCTGCTAGGAAAATAAAATCCACCTTGCTTTCCTTCAGCTCTGCCAACGTGCAATCTACTTTAAACGCTCTTCCACCAAATAGCACCACCAAATAAATGTTTAACCACTTGCACACCGCTGCCACCATACACTGCCTGAATGCCTACAAGCCCCCAATGTCATGCTAGGGGGTTGGCCCCCACCCACAGCAGACGACGAAAAATCCCTGACCCGGGCAACTCGCACAAAACTGGCTCAACTCCGTTCAGGTTACTGCTCCATGCCAGCCGATTAACCAAAATCGAATCGACCCACACAGCCCCAAACTGCTGCCCTTTGTGCCAAGCAACGCCAGAAGACGTCTCCAATTTTCTCAGTTGCCCAAAACGCAGACCAAAAATTTAATTGATTGATCTCAGGCTAAACCCTTCTAAAGTGGTGACACAATGCCACCTATAAACAGAAGGTGCGAGAAAAACAACAACATAACGTTACGATCAACACTAATTATAATTGTGTAATGTGCACTTTTTATTGAAGATAAAAATCATCATTGTCATATGTTGACATTGTGGCTAATCACATTGACTTTTGTTGGGAATTTTTAACACTGAGAGGGTTTCCTTTTGTATGGTTTGAAGGCTGTCTCACTGCATCGTCGTCCGCTTGTGTTATGGCTGTGAGTGGTCCATTGGACTCAGCCACTGAGAGGTAAGCACGTGGTTAAACCTGAACACGAACAAGCAAAAGCTCTCCGATGTGTTTTCGGGTTGCACAGCGTGCCCTTCGCCATGATGTTGGATATTTCGCTCCCAAATGCTGCGAGCTTTTCCAGCTCCTAGCATGTGGTGTAAAACGTCGGACATTTTGAATGACATGCCATACATACCGAAAACACAAACGTGGGTTATACAGCACGCTTGCAAAAAATATGCAAGAGTCATAACACAATTAATGTCTGATTTAAACAAAAACTGTAACAAAATGTGTAGTTCAACTTACTTTTCCTCGAAATTTTGTTTTTGTTTGTCCGTGAAATTATATTTTAATTGCGTAGTGTAGTAGTTACAAAACGTGTAGTGTTTTATATCACGTTAATCTGTGTTAAATGGCATTCATTTTGTGTATTCTTGTTGCAGTGAAGCAAAGATAATGAACGCCAGCTCCGATAGCATTATCTTCCAGAGTGCCTCTCAATCCTCAGAGAAACAGACCACGGATACACCACCAGCAATTGCACCTGATCCAACTCTGCAACATCCACCCGAGCATGTGAAGCAAGTAGAGAATAAAGAGACCCTGAACCATAAGGACCTAAATCAAAACTGTGTTGAGCTGCTGGCATCTCGCAGCCTGCCAAGTGCAGAGGCAGGTTGCCAGAGAAATGTTGGCTGGTGTCCACCTGGTAGATTTTCTTCATGTCACGTGCCTTCTCTGGTCCAGGCCCATGATGGCTTAAACAGTGAGAGCCACGACAACAACGGCAGCAATAAGAATGGTAAAAACAAAAACGAGCGTTCTGGGAGAAAAAACGAGCATTCTGGGAGCAATGGCAAACCCACAAACCTCAGAAAGGAGTTGTATGAGAGCAACAGCAAGCTTGTTGGGAGTAATAATGAACTTTCTGAGAGTAGTAGTGAGCAATCTGAAAATAGCAACACCAGTTGGACTCCAGGGTCTGACAGCAAAGATGGGAGTTCGTGGCGAGAGATGGCTTGTATGAAGGTAAACATGCACTCGCGCGCATTTATTGGTGTTATACTAATAAGACTAATAACACTAATTGAGACTATTTCATGTAAATATGGATAATATAGGGTCTGATTTACTCGTGTACTACTTAATACAATGGTTGTTAGGCTCGTTTCAGCTACTTCGTGTGAATATTCAGCATGTCACTATCCATGAAATATATCTTTAATTATCTTATACCACGAATGAAGCAAACATTTAAAAGCTCAATGCGATGGTTTTACTCTGTGGCCGTGATGGAGGTTTTAAAGCCCAATCTCGTTTGCAGAGGGACCTTCACCTCGTCCTGTACATCCAGATGCAGCTGTGTGAAAGGTCCCTCAAAGAGTGGCTCATGGATCGGAATGCCCTTTGTGAGCGTTTCCAGGACTCAGCAGAGGGCGCCACTGCCCTTTCTGGCAAGTTTCTGCATTACCCCGTGGCACTATTAGTAATTACAGCAATGAAGGATTGCTAAACCGCCTTGTGGTCCTGTTAACGTGTTATGAATTTGCAGGGCATTTTATGATTTGTAATAAAAAGTTCTTATTATATAATTCCTCATATCCGAGAATAAGACGTGATTATTACAGCTGCTGTTTAGCTTTAAACCAGAGTATAAATTGAATTGTATAAATAAGACGTGAATGACTCTTTTTGTTTGGCTTTCAATTCTCTCAGTTGGTAAAATAATTGTCTTGGATGTCGTTTAAGAGCCAGACCACCCAAACCAGTGTGGAGTTAACCCTCCTTCTGAAAGCATGTCTCTGTGTATATATCTTAAATGTATACATCGAGCTATGCAGACAGATTTCATCTCTTGGGATTAATCATGGGGACCCCTTTCATGAATAGTAGAAATATTAACCTTTTTGTAAATGGTTTGAGGTTAAACGTTTAGCACATTTTAGCCTATTTGTATCCACACAGCCATATATATGAACATTATTACTGTAACTTACAAAAGCTTCTCAAACACTTGCAGTTAGAGGTCAAGTGATGCATAAATTAACATAAATTCCTGTAGCTCATTATAACATGCATCAAATTGCTTGTGCAAGGTTCAAAGTCTTTGATTTGGAATGTCACGTATAATGGGATTACATAACTCACTCCCAGCTACTAGAGGCCACAACGTTTAATACAGTTTTTTCTTCAAATAATTATTCTTGAATCGAACACTGACGCTGAATCGTGACAATGAATTTAATTTAAAATGAGGCAAAATGTGCTACCCCATAGAATATGTGCTACCCCTAACAATCATTATAACAAGGCATGCTCTGTCCGCTGCTGATTGAAGGCCTTCCTAAGTTGTCACCATCTTTCATGGTCCCTCAATACAACAACCCATACAGCTCCTTATACATTAGCTGACACTGAGTATATTTTTTACCAAATATAATATTGTCATTTCCAAATAACAGGCAATTTTTTCTTCAATATTTTTTATAATTCAATACAAAATCAACTAGCATTTTCTTTTACAGGTTAGAGGAAGCACACAATTATTAAAAATATATTAATTAACATTTCTGGCTACCATTCAATCTGCACTGAGCAACATGGTGATGTGTGACCAAACAACCCAATGTGGGAAGACCTTCATCCAGCAGTGCATTGACAAAGGGCACAACATAAATGTTTAACATACAGTACTATACATATATTATATACAGTGGTACCCTGGAGATCGAACTTAATTCGTTCCAGAAGGCCATTTGAACACCGATTTGTTCCAACACCGAATTAATTTTCTCCATAAGAATGAATGTAATGACATTAATTGGTTCCAGACACGAGAAATATCTCATTATAAAGCATTTTTACACGAAGTTTACAGTTATTACATGCATAAAATCATACAAAAAAACAAGAAACACAATAAATGGAATAAGTGAATAAATATATGGAATAAATTTAATAAATGAACATTGAACTTCAATTTACCTGTAGTAAGGATAGTTGATGGTTTGAGTGGAAGGTGGTGAGGAGGAGGTAGTAAAACCTTTGTCTGGGCAAGCGTCACGCACGCTGGGCATACGCGTCTCAGCCGTACAGGTTCTTTCAAGTCGCGATTGCCCGTTCGACCTCCGAATTTCGTTCAGTTTCCAGGGCAAAAAATGTTCGGAAATATCGTTCGAACACCTATTTGTTTGAGTTCTGGTGCGTTCGATCTCCGAGGTTCTACTGATTACCATTATGGCATCGCAGAACCGTGAGGGATGGTAGCAGATCTGGGAGAGCTTCATTAGTGGATTGAACATGGATGATGATGGTGATTACTACTATATAGTGACACATCTGCATATATAATTGATGAGTTTTTTTTTTAGTGTTAAAGGAAAGTTTGATTTCTGCAGCCTTCTGTATCCTTGTTGTTACAGGCCAGTCGTCCTAATCACGAGCACGTGTACCATTCACTCTTTGTTTTGGCAATGGACAGGGCGATATGCACTGGTGGATGGGAAGCAGACCACTCGAATGTTTCAGCAACTGCTGGAGGGAGTTCATTACATCCACTCGAGGGGTATCATGCACCGTGACCTCAAGGTTTGACAAACACTCTGCATTATCCTCTTTGCAAAATCTGCCTGTCTTCTACAGCTGCATGAGCACATCATCCATTGTTACAAACGCATTGTGTTTTCATAATGGCATGACGTGCATCAATAACATTTATCGCATTCTTCACAGTTTCCAGATTGTATCGTCTCTCTTATTGCGTGAACTGAAATAGTAATTACGAATGCACAACACATTGTAAAACTTGAGCTGGGGTATTTAATCGATACAATCTTGAAGGGCTGACTGTTACAACGAAATTAGACCAATTGTGAATGTGCTAACGTGTGGCCTCAAAGTGCACCTAGTCTGGCACAAGTGCCGTGGTGACGTCACCGCCGCTTAGTGCCGAATGCTGGTTGTTATTGCTGCTGTTGGGAGTGTGCGGTGAGGACTTGTGTTCGATCGCCCGTGACACTTTTATTACAATGTGTACCACTGCCTAGCAGGGTTTTTATTTCATCCAGCTCCTCTGTATTTGTGATAGTCCCCCCCCATTGTGAATCTATTAAGTTGAACTATTCTGCAGCATGTGTGCGTCTGTAAAATTAACCACTTTTGGGGACTCTGATGTAAACAAAAAGCTTTCTCCTTCATAGCCAAGGAATATTTTTCTCCATGGACCGGACCACCACGTGCGCATTGGAGACTTTGGGCTGGCTTGCCAGGACATTGTATATGAAGACCCCAGGCTCATGCGTGCCGGTAAACCTCTTGCAATACAAACCTGAAGTCACCTGCTTAGTAGTATTATGCTGTTTTCCCTCCTTCGCGTAAATGTACATTCCGGAAAAGAAGTTGAAATGTCTCTCCTAGTGTTTTAAAAGTTTAGTAAGCATTTACAGAAATTGCTTATGCAGATTTAAATTGTTCCGGTTATTTGCCTTTTCACAATATATTTCAAGTCCATTAGGCGTCCTCTGGTCTAACACCATTTGAGACGAGGCTCAAAAGAAAGCTGTCTCTGGTGTGGACCAATCAGTTTCAAGGACAATGCATATATTATCAGAGTATGTTTTTTTGTTTGCTTTCTGACCACAAAGCATCGTGGTTAATGCAGACATGATTCCTTGTAAAAGATTTCAGTTTGGTGTTTTAACATCTTAACACCTGTTTTGTTGCCAGAAAAAGGGGAAAACCCTATTATAAAATATTTAATTCTTATGGAAATATTTAATTATCATGGCGTCGTACCAAAACACACACACACATAGCTGCAGGCTCAGATACAATCCAATACATTTAATGGTGATGTCATAAATGTTCTGAATGTGGTAGACAAACAATATGCCAACATTTTATTTTTTAACAGGGTAGAGGGGTTGGCACGGTGGTTTGTGCACTCCATTATGAACCCAGCCACACCTGTGTTTTGATTCCTAGCCACTGCTCATATTCGTGGCAAGTGATAGCTGAACCAGTCCCGGGCCTCTCGTTTACTAAACTGCATTCACCAGCATGGTGATATCTGGTCAAACATCCTCCACGATCAACACGGCCGTGGATTGAAAAGTAGTTTTTTGTATTTGGAAACATAATTTGTTTATCATTGCTTCTAAGTTTTTTTTTTCATTTAGAATTATTTTTGGAGCACCCTATAAAATTAGTTGAGAACATTCACATTTTGGACTGTGGGGATGTGATGTTAATATTTAATATTTATTTTTGTACTCGCACCTTCAAGTTGTGATAGTATGACGAGTTGCGCTGCCCACATGCCAAACTCGCATGGATATTACCTTGCTTGTGGAAATGGGAATTTGTCGAATCGTTTCACCCAAGTAGGCTTCCTGGAGAACGCAGATGGCACGCGTCAACAACTGATGTGCACTTTTGCCGTACTGTGACCACAGCCAGTGCGTTCCAAGCCAGTGTGTGTGCGTGCTGTAATGTGGCCACAGCCAGTTTGTTCCAAGCCAGTGTGTGTGGGTGCTGCAATGTTGCCACAGCCAGTGCGTTCCAAGCCAGTGTGTGTGCGTGCTGTAATGTGGCCACAGCCAGTGTGTTCCAAGCCAGTGTGTGTGGGTGCTGCAATGTTGCCACTGGCAGTGTGTTCCAAGCCAGTGTGTGTGAGTGCCGTATTGCGGCCACAGCCAGTGTATTATAAGCCAGTGTGCGCGCATGCCCTCCCTTAACCGACCAAGCATTTATTGTTATCTGAGCCATGCGAAACAGTCAACTTAATTATTTCACCGTGCAAAGGCCATGATTTTGCACAAAAAGTAATTTCTTGACTATGCTACATTTCTAAGCGGGTTAATAGCGTTGCAGAGACAAACGTGCATTAAATATGCATGCAAAGGTATGACGTTCATGCCTCTTGTTAATAATGCATTGAGTAATGCATACTTTCGTGTGACAGTTGTAAGCGATGTCCATGAAACATGGATGCAAAATTAAAGAGTCATCCTCTCTATAGTGTTGTATGAGTGTAGTGAAAGCTTAATCTTTGTTCAAATAAGATATTCATTCTGATCTGTTATATTCAAAAGAGTGGAAATATGCGACATTTTATGTTTATTTAAATTATTGCTGTTCTAATAAAATAACATGTTCTAATTATTCCAGTGCTTTAATGTAATTTAAGATATGAAGTTGGACGGATGATGCAGAAACCGATATCAATTTGTTGGCATACCTATTTTGCAATTGGCAGCCGTCATCATAATCATGAGGAATCTGTCCAGTTTCTTGTATACGTTGTTTGAAAACTTGTCCTGAGCCCAATGATTCCTGTGCACATCACACAATAAGGCTTAATGACGAATGGGATAGGTTAGCATTCGAAGCAACAAAAAGGGCTCGTGATATTTAAATATATTGAGCAGAAGACAAGCCCACTTCCTTCAGCATTGACCTTGCTTTAGAGTAAAATCGGATGAGTACACGAATAGTGTGGAATAGCTTGGCGTGGCTTCTGTTTCAATATCATTAAGCCTCCTTTGCCAGTACCAAAATGTAATAATAGGATTTTTTCCCCCTTTTTTCTGGTAACAAAACTGAAATCTTTTTACAAGGATTTATGTCTGCATTAACCACAATACTTGCAGTCGAAATGCAAACAATAACACTATGATAATATATGCATTGTCCTTGAAACTGATTGGTCCACACCAAGGGATGACTTTCCTTTGTAGTTTCAAGGACAATGCATATATTATCATAATATGTTTTTGTTTGCATTTCGACTGCAAGTATTGTAGTTAATGCAGACATGAATCCTTGGAAAAAGGTTTCAGTTTTGTTGCCAGAAAAAGGGAAAAAATCCTGTTATTATTATTATTATTCTGTTTCAATGTTAACCTGTTTCCAGAGTTTATAGACCTCAGAAATTGGCACAGAATACATTTTTCTTTGCCTCAAGATATTATCATGCTGTGGCATTGGCAAGCCGCTCTGTCCTCTCAGGTAGCATCTGAAGAATGAAGCTATAACACACTCGTATTGTGTCTTCTTACTGGTAATTTGAGCATGATAGCGATTGATTTAATGAGCCATACTAGGAGCCAGTTGTTCAGTCTTTAATCTCCACTCAAATTACCAGCAAGACACCAACTGCTGAGCATTATTCGTGCGCAACACCACCAATGCCCTGAACACAAAAAAAGATCCCATCTCTAAAACAGACCGTAACATAAGAGCTTAATAGCGAGCGAGATACATTTCGATGTCACGCGATTATTACCCGCCTAACACACAATGCACTTCTCTGCCTTGACAGGTGCTGAATTTGCCAGTAGCGCTCACACGTCCGGCGTGGGCACTACCCTGTACGCGGCTCCCGAGCAGCTGTCGGGCTCCCACTACGACTTTAAGGTGGAGCAAAGCATCATTCCGCATTCTCTCATCAGCAGGGATGATAATGGCAACAGCCGACCCAAGTATTTCTTTACGTGTGCTCGCATAATTATCATCGTCATCAACATCTAGGTACGTTGAACTTCTTTCGCACCGTACGTAGCCAACCGCGCTAATCGGAGGTGCGGGGGGGAAGGACAACATTAGCTGTAGTCAATCCACTGCTTAGACGTAGGCCTCAAACAAGCCTCTGCTGTCTCCTGCAATCTTACGAAGTAACAGTCCACCGAGCACCTGCACACAAGCTGAGTCAGGTGGACGTACTTCGCATGTTTTAAATTCCTTGGATGCCCCCTCCCATCACTGTTGTTGATCATCAGCCATCATCTTGCCTAAACCGACTTATTTAACCTCCCTATGGTTTCGAATCGACGCGTTCCTCTTCCCTCAATGTAATTCCAAGCACTCATATCTGCATGTTTATTTGCATACTTTTTGGCTGTGCTAACCTACTGTGATGTAACTTTAATTGCTCAGATTTTGATTGTTAGCTCTTGCAATTGGTGTTTGCATCTGGTGGGGCCCATACACGGAGTTATATTGGAGAAGAGAAGCTGCTGGCCATAGGATTGAGCATACCAACCACTGTGTGTGCCGTGCTTCTCAGTATAGCTGCTCAGTTTGGTCATTTGCTGAAAAAACATCTGCAAAGAATACCTTTGTGTTTGCATTTCACCATTGTGGCACACACGGCAAAGTTGAATGGAAAACAATGTTTGCACATCTCTGTATTTTGTATATCGCCTAAGCCATACAACATTTTCGGGGGCACACCCATAGTTGAAGAACAGGGTTTTTTGCATGGGACCATGAATGGTTAAGATAAGTGCATTTTTAAATGTTTCTCCGTGTTTTACCTGTATTGGCACTTGACCTTCTCTTGTCACAGTTGCCATGGTTATGTGTTCTGGCTATAACCTGCAGATATTGTAGTAAAGTTACACTTCAAATTAATAAATTCTGTTCTTCTGCACGATGCGTATACGTTTATGGTGGTGTCATTATAAACGGCCTGTAACCATATCACCCAGAATGGGCTACATCTCGTCATAATCTGAGAGTCAACTAAATAAATATTCATTAGTATATGTATGTTTAACTTCTTCTGCACCGTACATGGCCAACCGTGGTAATTGGAGGTGTTAGGGAAGGCCAACAAACTGAATACACAAAGCAGTTCTAAAGTAATTAGTTTTAAATCTGTATTTAAAAGTGCATCGCTCCAGTGGCTTCCTAATATTGGAAGGAAGAGCGTTGCAGACAGCCGCAGAAGCGCATCTGAAAGGGGCACGTTACAGACAATATGCCTCTTTATATCCATCTCTTCACGTATGGTGCGAAAGAAGTTCAACATATACAAAAACATTTTTACAATTCCCATTCACCACACAGCCTTCTGGAAGTGATGCTTTTCAGGCAGCATTGGTTTAATATAAAAAAAAAAAACCTTCACCGGTTTCGACATTCAGTATGTCATCAGCAGTTAGGCTTGCTTAAACCATTGCTGGTGCACTGTCAGATGTTCTAAAAAAGAACGCTCTCTGATTTTTTGCATCAGGTTCGATGCAAAACTATAAAATACATAACGCAGCTTCCCAAAGCTCAGCAGATTTGAACCTGGATAGTGGTTGGATGAGTCACCACCATGCACAAAGAGGTTGGGCAGTGGACTACAGTGCAGAAACATCTATTGTTGGACTGTACTTCTGTGCTCCCACACCTATTCTTCCCGCCTTCACCTACCTGCAGTTACCGTGTGGTGAAGTAAGGTGAAATGACCTCCATAAAACGTTCATGGCATGTGGAGGCCCTCATACAGCAGTGTATTGACAAAAAGGGCTTTACATGTGCATTATTAAGAACATTAATGTAACTGAAGAGTTATATGGGGAAACACTATTTCAGGCAGTTATCCTTTATGAAAATTAAAAAAAGTCTTCATCAGCAGCATACAGCCAATATTCCTGACACGTAAACATTCAACTGTGTAGCTCTGACGTGTTTCCCAGGTTGTGCCGCTCGTTGTGTCCGGCATGATGTCTTAACGTTTCGCCCCACGCTCTGGGAGCCAAATTCAGTTCCTTCAACAGCTCCCGGCATGTGGAGTAAGGTCTTTCCGCAGCAGTAACACTCCACTGTGTTCCGCGTGTGTGTGTGTGACAGTCGGACATGTACAGTGTAGGGATCGTGCTGTTCGAGCTGTTCCAACCGTTCGGGACAGAGATGGAGCGTGTGAAGACCATCCAGGAACTTCGGGGTGGAGTTGTCTCCGGCCCTTTCACAGCACAGTGGCCCGAACAGGCCAAGTACATTGGCCTCCTGACTCAGGATGACCCTGCCGCGCGTCCTACCCCGCAAGACATCCTCACCACAGACCTGATTGTTAACAAGGACCAGGCAAGCACCCCTTCGCTCTACGTTGTGAAGTGCTTTGCGTTGCGCAATAGTCGTAAATCGCAAGCAGCGTGTGTGTACGTTCATTATTGGGAATGTGCAGTCAGGAGTATCGCATTTCTAGTAATCTTATCTCTTACGACAGTGCCCATTTTTCTTCTTTTTGAAGGAAGGCCTTACGTTACATATTTTTTTGTTAAGGAGGTCTTTTAAAGATCGTACAAAAGTGTGTGTTTTTGTCGATGCTTCTAAATTTATGCCAATGCAGTCCCAAACATTGTATGTGAATGTTTGCGTAGACCATTGCTAAACACACGTCTCTTCAATATTGGCGTCATCGTGGAGAATATAAATAACAACATGACGAGCATACGTGTCTCCTTCATACATCTCTCTCCACATTCGACAGTATTTAAAAAATATATAACATATTTTTAGTTAATAATTACACATTGAAATCCACATCAAAATTACAGGGTGTTAGACAGTAGGTGGTGTAGAGTATGAAAAACCAGCAGGACAGAGGCTTTAAGCTGTCCAGGTTGTAGACGTGTGGGCTCCATGCAAGCGATACCCATTATTGAAGTAAAACGCAGTTAATGCCATTGTTTGGTGCAAAGAGTCAAAAACCTGGTTGGGCATCGATGTTGGTAATTTTTGGGGCACAATGCCTCACAGTGAGAAGTTTGTGGGTTTGATTCCCGACTCGGGCACTGTTCTGTATGGAACTGTGCCTGTTCTTCCCCAGGTTTTCTAGTTTCGTCCCATAAAAAAACATACTTATCTGGCATTGGCATAAACATCACAGTTTTGAGAAATTACCTGCAAATTACTCAACTGGGATGACACGCAGTCACATTTCCCTCTACTGCAAACCATTGGTAGGACCCTCCTGAAAATGCCTTCGGATTCAGTGAAGCTTTCCTGGGTAAATAAGCATCATAATAATTTCTGATACAAGGATGCAATAGTTTTTTTTATTGTAAACGGTGTGATGAGATTTCCCAACGAGCACAAAAGGATGCGAATCCAGCTGAAGCTGAATTTTATTATGTTTTATTTGTATTATTTTATTACTTCCCTTCTACGTGACTTTACCGAAAGAACCAAGAAGCTGAAGCTGAATATCTTCTTGTTTCTTCTGGCAAGGCCAGACCGGCTATGATCAAAGTGTGTTTAGTTTGCCCATCGCCTCGCCCCCACAAGTGTAAAGTAAGCATGTGTTGCTTATATGAGAACTGTCCTCACATAAGGTTTGGTTATATCCAGCTTCTACTATATATAAACATTATTTATTAATGAAATACAGAAAATGCAGATTGATTTGAGAGGCATGGGAAACCAGCCAGAACTGGCACCAATAATTGTCCAAGCTCTGCGTCCCTATATTTATTAGGGCGTTTAGCCAACCCCATTAACAAGACTGTGTACATGTGGAAAGAAACCAGAGTACCCAGAGAAAACCCTAATGCATACAAGTGGAATAGCAATGCAAGTGTATCAACTTGCTGTACTATCATATCGTGACAACCCCCCAGGGGATTGTGACCTTAAAACTCAGTAGGATTCAATTTTGATTTAAAGCTTTCGTGACTGCATGGATTCATATTCTTGTTTCTTTCGGTAAAGTCACGTAGAAGGGAAATAATAATACAATTAAAAAAGTATAAAACAAATAAAAATTCTCACGATGTTTCGACTGCAACACAAGCAATCGTCGTCAGGTAGGATTGTTACTTTCAGGATTTGTGTCATCCACCAACCCTCGCCTCCACAGTGCTGGATTCGAGGCGTGGGCCACCAGCGCCCAGCTAAGACTAAGAAAACAAATGACCTTTGTTAATGTTTTGTATCCATTCAGGTTATCGTCAGCCTGCAGAGGCAGCTGTCGCAGAAGGACGAGGAGTTGGCCCGCCTGAAAGCCCTGCTCCAGAATAGAGAAGAAACCATCCGATGGCAAGAGAGGTCCATTGTCATGCTCAAGCATGGTTTAATATTTGCAAAGAACCTCAAATCTTAACAACAAACACACAACTACAACAGATAGAAACCTACCAACAACGAGTTCAGAAGCAATGTTTAATTTGGGATTTGTATAAATAGCTTTTATTGCCGCAGCACGTGCACGAGTATGCGTGTTTATGAACCGGGACACATTATATTCGAGCTACGGACCATTTAACTTTAAAGGGCTATTAACCACTTGGCAGTTGAAACGATGAGCAGTCTCTTAAATGCCCTCCATATCTATCCACCCAACAGTAACAACACGTTCCTTCAGAGTGGGCAGGTAGGAATTTGGTCGGACAGCGCATTCGTGCACGACAGAAAGCTCGCGGTCACGTGACGCACTTCAACCAATCCGGGAGCGTACATGTCTTGGGAGGGGCGTTGCACGACAGACAAATAATCCCTGGTGGGCAGTGTGGAACTGTTGTTCCTACCTGTATAAATGTGTACATCACAGTCGATCAGCAGCTGACTTGTGAGTAAAAGTAAGAGTAGTCACCGAAAATGTCGGGCCAGGATGGATGAGGAGGCCAAATAGCCTAGAGGGGCTGCATAATGCCAGCAGTGGCATGAGCTATAAATTGCGGGATTGCACCTTTAATTAAGAACATTAACCTTCGTAGCATTGCTGCTCTGCTACAATCTGACGCTCATTTTTTTTTTGAAACCTCACAATTTTCAATCTTGTACATGTGAACATGATAGAGCACCATAAATCCCCAACCTTATCACAATGTGAATGTATTCAACTATTCAAACGAATGTGTATACTCCTGATACATGCATAGGCTCATGCGTGTGACAATCGATTATGATTCATGCAAATTGTCTACGAATGTTTTGCTTTTGTTACATTTATAAACTACTTGTTACATATATAAATTATAAACACAAGTACGCATGATTCGATGCTTGTATTGTGAGCATCAGAATGTATTATAATTGCCGAATCCATCATATGCCCATTGTTGTGCATATCGGGTTTTAAACTGGAAAAAAAAACTGCATGGCTATCTTTTCGATCATTGTTTTGCGTCATTTAATCTGCATAGCAATACTGTATATATTTTCTGAAAGTTATTTAAAAAATATTGTTATTGACGGATGTTTGGTTTGTACGATGTATGTTTCTTTTATGACACTTGATGAGGCTATGCAGTGAGGAGATGTGAAACCATTTTTGGGGGGGCGGGGGGGGGTGCAGTGCTGTTTGTTATTCATCACTCTTACCTCGTGTGACTGACTGAGCTATGGTCGGTATTGTAAACTATAACAGAACCAGGAACGGAGAATATGGGATCTTCAAACTCATCTCCATCCTCACAGCTGCTCATTTATGGCTTTACTGGATTCAGAAAGTCCAAATCTACAAAATGTGAAACATCTGCGTACACGCAAACATTCTAAGTGTTTGCTTTTTATATCAATATGTTTATTTAAAAGTAATTATTCACAGCTTTTTGTTCTTTTACTGGATGAAGGCCTCACCACATCTTTAAGTAATGTAGGTACTTTCACCATACTTCACACAAGTGTCGGTTGAGATGGGGGCCTAAGGTATCTCTTGCTACTGATGTTCGCCATCGCCAGCAATCGATAAGGTCACCAGGAATCGATAAGGTCACCAGGAATCGATAAGGTCACCTGGTTCATAGTTACGTGCGCCAACCTCTGGGCTACCACTATGTGTTTACTGTAAAATAAACACGCATTTTTTTGTGCAATTGCTGAGTACGATTTTTTTTATTAAAAAAAGGTTGCTTTTGATATTTCATACCAGCATTTCCAAGAGAATGGGAACGTCCATAATTGGTCAAACCTGCTGACTGCGAGCACCTGGGGCCGTGTAATAACGAGCAAATGTTTGCATGCATAGTGGCGTTTCTGACCAAACAAGGACATGCTGACTAAACATTGACAGCACAGAAATGTGAGAGGCATTCAAATCCTGATGGATTTGTAGCTTATTTTTTGTTATTGTCTTCATGCTTCAGACAAAATAGACACACAAAAGAAGCACGTTATTTTTCGGGTGGGAGATGGGAATTTAGGGGTGGGGAGTGTCGATCAGCGACATGAACTACCTCGAGTATTTCTTATGTGTCCAACGTGACATGAAAAGCTTCTTAATTGTAATCAGGGCTCTGTACGGCACGTGGAAAGTGCTAATCAGTCAGACGCGTGCAGAGGGAGATGAGAATTAGTTTTTGAATGAGGGAGATTTGTCAACATGGGAGAGGCAGTATTACATGGTGGGTCGCGAGGACTGGAGTATGTACAAGAACACCTGGTCCAGTCCCGGGAAGCAAATGCCCCGATGCCCAATACAATATTTAAATGTGTCTATATAACGTAACTACATTGGCATATAAACAAACGAATCTGGGAGAGGGATGGTTCGAGTCGGACTTGTCACCACACTCCTTGGCAGATGGAATCGGGAACAAACACAGCATTGCTCCGATGTGTTTTCGGGTCATTGCCGTGTTATTCGGCATCATGCACGACGTTGCACTCCCAAGTCCTGCGAGCTTCAGAAACAACTGGAATATTCTTCAAGAACTGAAACTAAATAGTCAGTTTCTGCAGAAGCGTACGTGGCTCTGGGAGTAAATCGTCCAATGATACAAACCGGAAAACGCACCGAAAGAAATTCACTGTTTTACACGCGCGTGTGTGTGTGTGTTAGTAAAGCCGGTCCTTGCGAACAACGAGTACTTTATTTTGTTGATTGCGACATCCTCGGTGGGGTGACATCCTCGCGGAAATGTAACAGCAGCAGTCAGCAGCTTTGAGCAAACACGTGGCAGAGTGCCGCTGGCCTTTTTAATTGTCCGCACATCGGCAAGGCAGTGGATGTGTGTGTATGTCTTTTCCGTCTGTTCACGTCCAAACCACAAAAGGCGGCTGTCGGAATGCTCGAACGAAATGTGCCCATCTCAATGTGCGACACGTCTTCTTAGAAAAACACCGATTTAATCAGGGAGGCAAGCGGAGGGGTGGGGCAAGTTAGACAAACGAGATGTTGCAGACGTATTGACAATGCTTTGTTGCTGAGATCACACCAAGGCCCAATATTCAAATATGCTCAAAATGTCCCCCCCCCCCCCAATATATTGCTATAAAATAGGTTTCTGTTTATATGATTGTGGTTATGGTTGTACTTTATTAATCCCTAATCTCTGCCATTACATACAATAAAACAAGAAAAGGTAAAAAAACAGAGAAATGTAAGTCCATCCTATGTGTTAATTTAGTTTTCAAATTTTTACATTTTTTCTGGGGGGGGGGGGGGGAGACCCCCACACCACCTGGAAGATTTGGTCCCCCCCAATGTTGACTCCATGGCTACGAACTTGGATAACACCATCAATTACGCGCACAATCTGGTCGCAACCCTGGTCTGCGAAAACAATTGACGCCGCAGAGTAGGCTTACAAATTTATTGTTTTGAATTTTTGTTGGGACATCAGTTCTTAGCTCCCGATCTACATAATCATTGTCACTGTGTACGAACTCGCGCTTATTTTCGACGAAGCAGCCTTCATAGCACGTGTGTGCTATAAAGGCCATTGCCCGAAACGTCGCCAAATAGTATAATTTTAAGGCAGTATTATTGACGAATGTATTGAGTTTTTTCGGTATTGTGTTTGTTCACCACTGCCAAAGCAGTATCGCCAAATGATATGTTACATTGGAAAAATCGTGTCAGCTGGCGACTGTTCAGGGCAGTGGTTCTTCTTCACCTGGGGGTGCGAGATGTCCTTTCTGGGGGTGCGAGACATGGCCAGATGTTTTCAGAAGGTAAATATTCAAAAACACAAATTAAGCAGGGACACGTAAGTACACACCTACTTTGTTAATCAAACCCCTATGTATTTATTCAAATTATATATATTTTTTTTACGATTTAGAACCAAAGGGTTGCAAGGCTGCATTAAAATGTTTATGAACCACTGGTTTAGTGAGTCCATCCTGCAGTGGATTTATCATGCCGGATGATGATGCTGATGCACCTTCCCTGATTTCAAATATTTTATCTCGTTAACACACACACAATAAAACAACCAACACTTTATTTTCATGTCACCTGCCCGCAGACTCCATAGCTGGTAACCCCTTATCAGTCAGTGCCCCTACCTTATTACAGCCCAATTCAGACTTTATTGGTCACCCCGTGCCCCTTATAAAACTCAACGTTCATCCTACAAAGTGCCATCACAAGGGAGAAACACACACGAAAACAAAACTGTTTTATGTATTAATTTTGATAATTGGTGTCAATAATGCTACGTATGCTTACTGTCTGTGACATTGCAAGCTGATGCTGCTACTTGCTTGATATGTGGATGTACACACGTTGTAAATGTACAACAATAAACACAGACATTAATGAAGGGTCAAATAATACACTTTAATTCATATACGTCCCAATCCTGTTTGTCCAAATTTCAGGGAATCCTCAACATAAATGATTTACATAACCATTGCCCACCGATGATTCTGACTTTGTTTTAGTATTTGGCCGTATAACTTTGTTATTGCCCCTATCGAAACTGCTGTTCGCCGTATGGACCTGAAAAACGAAATTTCCCCGTGCCAAAGGGGTACCCCGGGGGCTTCTAAACCCGTGCGGGTAGACGCGGCATGAGACTGCCCACCACGTGCGTCTGGCGAGCACCACGCCTCCTCTCTGCCCCGAACACACACGCGGTGATGGTGGGGTGGGGGTGGCTCGCTCAGGTGTACGAATGTTCCCAGGTACAACACACGACACACACACACACGCGCGCTTGCTGTTGTCGGACACAGCACGCGTCCCGCATTCAAGACTCACCTGTGAGGTTTTTTTTGTTTTAGCCGGCCGCGTTCACGCGCATTGGAAACAGCTTCGAACCCTTAAAAAGTGTCGTGCACACACACACAACACACGTCGTCGTCGAGAGAGACAGGTGTGGTGGTGGTACGAGCGTGGCGAGTGCCGTTGTTTTCTCATCTTTGCGTGCTTCTCGATCAGCCCGACCACGGCGGAAGAAACCATGCCGGCGGGAGTGCAGGTAAGACGAAAGGGCCCTTCTTTGTTCTTTCCATCCCCATGTTTCACTCACCTTGCCGGCGGAATAGACACACCGCGCGCGCGTGTGCACAGCCGTGGGGCAAACCAATTGAGCATCCGATCGATTACGTTGTAGATTTAACGACGACAACACAAACGAGGGCAATTGGGTTGCAGATAAGGGTGAATTGGCGCACCCATCGGGTCGTTTTAACTGCGGCGAGCATCATCGTCGACGGCGGATGGTTTATCCACAAGCTGTCGGCCCTTTAACTCGCGGTCTGTGCGACGGCGACGCTCTGTCTCGACACCACGAGCCGATTCCATCGCTCCATCTCCCTTCGGTGGCGGTGTGGATCGCTGTCTCGAACGTCTACCACACCTCCCCCCCCCTCCCCGAGCAATTCGATCACCAGTGCCGGCTGTTGTTGGTTAAATCATCCCGGCTAGCCACGATGTGTGCCGCCAAAGCCCCCTATTTGCTCCTTGACAATTAACTTTTTTTTGACACTTAACTTTTTTAACACTTCACTTTTTTTGACACTTTACCTTTTTTTCACAACTCTTTTTTTTACACAGCGCAGTGGCGGCCTTGAACCGCTGCTCTTAACGCAACGGGTCATTTCAATGAACTTATCCACAATTAATGCTGTCTATTTTTGCTCATACAATTATGCGGTGCTCTTTAAAAGACGCGACTTTAATGGAATTGATGCGCGTTAATCGATACGATAAATGCTCGTTACAGTGCAGGGTGATTCGTGTGTAAATACAGCTGCTACTTTGTAATAGCGCTTGCCGTCTTCTCAACAGCTGATTATATACTGTGGAAGCGATGACTGCACATCTCACGGAGTGCCCGTTTTAAAATATGTCATTTAATTCGTCAAAATTGGTGGGACATGTACAGACGGAAATACAATATTGTTTTCTCTGTTACTGTACGGTGAATGTACCCCCTGTTGGGGTGTCGAAACATGCATCACCCATGTTCTTCACCTGAGGACGGCTGCTTGCGTTGTGGCCGAAACGTCGTGAGAATTATTTTATTATGTTTTATTATTTTGTTATGTTTTATTTTTATTATTTTATTACTTCCCTTCTACGTGACTTTACCGAAAGAACCAAGAAGATGCATCACCCTGTTTACACGTATTCCATTCTACATAATATTAAATATGTACTATGAAGGGTGATCCATGTATGGACACGCCACTGAAACAGGGGGAGGCATTCTATTGAAAGCAATTAATTTAAAATCATGTGTATTCAACAACACAGTGCACTTTTTTGTCTTGGGCTTCCATTCATGCACGAGTTTATTTGATGTTTGATGGGTTTACCTTCATTTTTATATTTGAATTGATGCCTGCAAATTCCATCCCACCATATATTTTCCAAAACTCGTATAACGTTGCTGATTAAAAAAAGAACGTCTTAACTCTTATCTTTTACAACTTAAATTAAACTAAAACGTGTTTTTATTTGACCAGGTAAGGCACACTGAGCTATGCAGCTTTTTTCTGAAGCTATCTGGCCATAAATAATTGCCCGACGAAGTTGCTTGCTTGGAAATTTATAGCAGCCAAATACTCTGAACGCGTGTTGATTCTAATTGTGGAGGTAAAAAAAACGGAGGATCCGGAGAAAAATTCACACGACCACGGGAAGAGAGACACGCAAACTCCAAATAGACAGCAGGCGTCAGGGTCGGGATCGAACCCACGACCTCCTTTGATAGGTGCTGGCCATTTGACCTTTTGGGCCTTTACACCTGTGCTCTGCAATTGCTTATATAGAAAATACCCCACAAATATTCCACGCGTTTCAGAATATTCCGTGGATTATAGAGTCAAACACAACCCTCATAACCGAAATGTTGTGAGGAGGTTTTATTCAGCAGTGGATTGATCAATTCTGATGATGCCAATAGTGACTGCAGTTAAACGTTCTTTTTTAAACTTTTTCTTGTCAAGCTTTGTTCATAAATGTATTTTAATTGACCCAATGTGTGTCGACTGCAGGTGCTGCCGATGCAGCCTACGAAGCAGATTTTCTGGAAGGTGGCGATCGGGTTGTTGGTGCTCTTTTCGCTGTTGGTCCTAGCAGGGGCTGGGGTCATCATCTGGTACTTTGTCAGTAAGTTACGCGCGGCAACTTACTCGCTCTTTTCAAAACTTTACTCTCTAAGGACTTTCCCTTTCATATAAAGTGACTAGTTTGCAAGGCTCTTGTGCTTATATAAGCCATATAAGATAAATAAACAGTGGACATTTACAGGCACGGCCCGTTTGTCAGTGCACTGCTAGACGATAGCAAAACAAACGCTTTATAGCACGTAAATATATCATGTGCTATGAAGAAAGGCCATTACTATACAAGTTGTCTATATTATTTCCTTTTAAGGCAGTATAATTGATGAATGTGATTAGTTTTTGTTGCTATATGTGCCGATGCACCACTGCTAATCATTATCTCCCAATACACTATTATATGAGGACCTGATTAATCATGGTGTGCAAGCCATGAGGGTTATTTGACCACATTTCACCATGCTGGTCCAGTGCACGTTGGTGATTGTGGGGGATGTCCATAAAAAGTTGTATTTCCCCGCACTGTCCTCTGTTACCCACATTGCCTACTGCACCTGATTTTGTGCATTGTGGGTGCCCATACAAACACTATCCAGGCTCAAAGCTGCTTGGCTTTTGAGGTCTGATGGTATTGGGTGTATTTTGGGTGATTTAGTCGAAGGCATACAAACAGTCGTGCACATTATAGACAACCAATCCATTATGTTGCTTATGTTGAAAGGGCTAATCTGAGAGATACAACTCCATGAGACACGTTTTACTTCTCCTAAAATGTGACGTACGTTTTTGAGATGCTGAGGAAATTGCAAGCCTGTATTCTGTGAATGTGGCCAGAATTCCTCTTCTTAACACTACGATGCCGAGACAGCTCAGATTAGGTAGCTTGATATTTGAATCTGTTGGATCTTCTGAATTATGGCCTACAAAAGAACACACACTTTAAATTGGCATTGCTGTGCAGGATGATGTATGTATGTATTTTGAAATTATCTTGCACAGTAATGAGTTTTAAATGTATATTTAAAAGTGCATAGCTCCAATGGCTTCCTTATATCGGATGAAAGAGCGTTCCAGATGGCTGTGAGAAGCGCATCTGAAAGTGTGCAATGCAGTGACCGTCTTTGTTCAATGGCTAGCCAAAAGCCGCTGCAATGCCGTTCACAGATGGTTTAGTGATCCTTATGAATCATTTTACCATCATGGAAATGCTGGTTGTTGGTTCATTGTTGACACAAAAAAATAAAGACTGTTTAAAAGGCAGCAAAATGGTCAAGACATCTTCGTCTGTGGTATCATTTCAATGAACAGTTGTTGCTGGTAAAAAAAAACGAAGCACTAGGTATGGATCAACCCTCGTTTTATAACAGCCCTTTGTCAACCCACTGGTTTTAGGTTTCCCTACGCTGTGTCGATTATGGGGGTTGCTTGACCATGCTCCTCTTGTACTTATGGTTTGGTAGAAGGGGGGAAACCCAGGACGGGTTTAAATAGCATTCGCCTGGGCTGGGAATGGAACTCGGGCTTGTCAGGCTTACAGTACGGTCGAGTAACCACTGTGCCACTACTCCATACAATTCCTCATATAAAACAATAACATTAGAAGTGTCAGTACAAATATATGCACGTATACAGTATATTATTCATACTCTTTGGTTTTTTCGGTAAAGTCACCTACGTACGTGACTTTACCGAAAAAACCAAAGAGTATGGATCCTTGCAGTCACGAAAACTTCAAATCTTTTAAGGTTGGTATAGGCTTCCAACTTTAGTACTGTAATGACCCGTCAGTAATTTATCATGTCATGTGCATCTCACGTCTGCTGCCTCTTAAAGCTTTTCGAAGTTCTTTTTGTGTTTAGTTTGTTGTCATTCCCCCACCCCTCCGATTATCACTGTTGGATATGTACTTTTCAAAAGAAGGTCAACATACAGATATGCACTTACACATTTCTAAGCATTTTTTTCAAGAGAGACCTACGTGGCGACTATTGGACTTTTGACAGAAGTCTTTTGAAACGTCAGTCCATAGCCAACCGTGTGTTCTCTAAATGTTGTGTGCACATGCCTCTGGATGTGCTTTGTGCATTGACATTTAGATCACTTTCAATGATAAAGAAAATGATTCTGAGATGTTCAAACATCACTCTTGGGCCAAAATCCCGATAACAACGTGGGTTCTGAATTGGTAAGGCTTCTCCGTAAAAATAAATATCCTCATTTTTATTGATGTGCAAATTGTTAGACGTTGTTTCAGTCTTACATTGCCTCCATTTAATATTTTACGCAAGCTCAATCTTACACAAATGTGGCAATGCCCCAGAACCTGCTTTAACCTTTACTTGTAAGGTAAAAAACCCAAAAATGTGCTGTTGCATGCTCTTTAGAATTCGCGCACAAACACATTGTGAATTGTGTAATGCAGGGAATTCCTATCAATTCACCTGTCACTTAACTCGATGCGTTAAGGTCATGGCAAGATTATATTGTATGGTATGGCTTGAATAAGAACTACCATGTGCCACTAAATACAGCACTTTAGTGGAGTAGAAAAGTGCATTCTTTCACCGGAACTGTTTGTGATTCAAGCATGAAACTTACTTTAAATATTCACAATGAAACGAAAAAACCTTAGCCTCCTAAACATCAAAAATAGTTTCCATTTGTCCCAGAAGACCACAATATTTGGTGGTGGCCATATTTTATTTTTGGTGACAAACGTTTCTTTCTTATTAAGTGACCCTAGGAGATAATACATGCCAAATTTGCTACGATTGTTTGTTATCTGCTCCACTATACACGATAACAGTTTTAAGCTCTCCTTCCACTGCTAGATAAAGGCCTTCCCATGCCATGTTGAATGCAGGTTGTGCCAAGTTTGTGCTGCATTGCACTCACCACTGTACTACTGCTCCACCCCATATATATATTAGTGTATATAGGAGTGCGGAAGCACGAACCTCTAAAGTGTTTAATGGCATAAAAAATATAGTATACTGTATACATATATGTTTTTGCTAGCCATCGAACAAAGATGGTCACTTCGTTGCGTGCTTTCAGATGCGCTTCTGCGGCCGTCTGGAACCCTTTTCCTTCTGATATTAGGAAGCCACTGGAGCTATGCACTTTTAAATCATTTAGATTGAAAACGTATTTCTTTAGAACTGCTTTGTGCGTTTACTTTGTTCACCTTCCCCCGCACCTCCGATTAGCACGGTTGGCTATGTACGGTGTGAACGAAGTTCAACATACATACATGTATAAACACTTGAAGAAAATTAACCTACTTTCAGTGTTATTAAAGCATGCTTTTTGTTTGTTGATACAGGCAGGTATGCATACAATTTAACATTGAGCCTGGAATTATACAATTTATGAAGAGTAATTTTACACCGCTAGACTCTCCTTTTAGAGCTCTTACTGTAAACTTCAGCATCTATGGGATTGGTGCACGCAGTACCAGTAGACGTGAATGTTGAGTTATTATTTTGAAGCAAAGATACGAAGAAGAAGGATTATTTTGCGTTATCTATTATGTGTTTTGTGTCAAACTGGGACCCTTATCCTTTCCTCTACGCATTTTACAGTTCACCAATATTGGTTCAAGCAAGCTTTGAATGCCGATGAGATGCATCATGTTGATACTGGTCTCGAGTTTGCTTATCTTGACCCAATGCTGCTGAAATGATGGTCTCTTTAGAGGCCTCGGTTGCTGATGGGCTGTGCAGATGTTATTGTTTTTAGTGAATGGACAAATATTGGAAACAGGTGTATGCATTGTCTGCTTATTTGTTTTGTTGACTCAACAAAAACTAGGGCCAGGCAATAAACACGAGGCAATAAACACGTTGGAAGGCAGACCAAGCACAGTTATTTGTTTTTGGGGGCTTTCACGCAGTTGCACAGATACAGTAATTTCGAGTCAAGTCAATGTATTTTTTCTGAACACGTGGCAACCTTTCTGGCACAAAACGCCATCATATCATTGCACACATTAACATAAAAATACGCAATTCTCTAGAGTAAAAAAAATAGAATCCAAAGAAAGTTATGGCTGTGAGTTGGTTATGGTATGTGAGCGGATAGATGTGTTTTGAGTTGTCACTTTAATGCGGTGATGGAGTCGATTGTGCGTATTGCTTCAGAGGATGTTCCATTGGTGTGGTGCTGCAAATAAGAAAGATTTGTCCCCCATGGTGGTGACTTTTGTTGTTGGTGTTTGAAGGATGGTTTAGGTTGAGGAGCAAAGTGATGAGTTTTTTTTTAATCCTTTATATTAAGTTCGCTTGCTTGCTTAGGACCGTGCAAATCTTTCGGTCGTTTTTTAACCCACTTCCCGTGATCCAATCGAGCTGACATTTTCCACACAGACTCGTTGTGCGTGACAATTAATGTTCGTGAATTTTTTTTCTCCAAAATTTTACACTTTTTAGGCCAAAAATATTATATTTAATTACCAATTGCATAATGGTGCAATGCAATCATCTGACCCATAGGTGGCAGCCATCTCAAGCCAGAGGACGAGAGGACTCTAGCCGCCACGCATATAAAGGATTTATAGTGAAAAACTTTGTTTTTACGGGTTATACTTATTTATCTTTATGATGCAAGGTGGAGCTTTGTTGTGTGTTGCTTTGCATGTTAATAAGATTACTTTGAAGTTTATTTTATGTTTAATTGGTAGCCATTGTAAGTGTTTTAGTCTTTGTATAATGCGGGATGATTTCTGGAGTTTGATCATGAGTCTAAGGGCATAATTCTGGATTAGTAGAAAGCGTGGCTGTGTGTTCAGGCAACCCAGGCAAGTGGGATGTAATAAATAATTACATTTTGTAATGTTGCAGCCTATAGTGAATACATGTTCACTCTTCCTGGATGAAATAGTTACTCATAAAATGTGAAGAATAAGGGGAATTTGGTACTGTTAAGAAGTGGTACAGGATAGCTGCTGAAGTGATGGTGTCACATTGCTTTCGGGATTGTCTGATGTTTGTACATAGGCTTATCTGTACGTGGGTCTACATTGTTTATCATAGTATGCTATACTGTGCAGTAATCTTATATCCATTCTCCCCATCTGCCCAAAGAAACAATTGACAATAAGCAATGGTTAGTGAAAGCATTGTTGTATTATTTGATCGGTTGATCGCAGGATTGCTCAACCAAAATTAATTTACAGATACGCTGAAGATAGCCAGAAAATGGCAGCACATTTGACAGATTCTTGAATCTAATTTGAGGAATATGCCAAATACCAATATGGATGTTCTCCATGTACCATGGTTTATTTCTGCACATGCTCAAACAATGGTGAATTGAATTGTCCAAACATCCCAATGGAGGACCTTCTGTAAAAAAGATAATTTAGGCTTGGGGACACCCTCATCTAGAAGTAGATAGCTCATGGCTGATGATGATGTCAAAAAGGAAATTATATCAAATGCGTGTTAACCCCCCCGCCCCTCCTCTTTTATCATGGGACCTGTTTGCCAGTAAAATAAAAAATAAGAATAGGATATGCATTGTCTTTTCAACTCGATTGGCCTACACCTGTTTTTTTGCCAGACTATTGTGATGAAGTGCCATATACAAATCTGGGACAGTATAACTTAATGTTTTGTTGGCCCACACAATTCATCACCGCCTATCCTCTCCCGGTTTGCTTGTGCAGCTCGCAACCAAAGCTCCCCTGAGCCATTGGTGGCGGTGCGATTCATTGGCTCCTTCACCATCACGGACGCCACCTTCGAAGCGCCACTCGTCGATCCGTCCAGTGCCAAGTTCCGGGCCCTCGCGAGCTCCACACAAGCCAAGGTGTGTTCATAAGTCCGCGATGACCGGGATCGAGGTGGCCAGGTGGCTTGAGGTCGAATCGCCGATAAGTCTGGATTTGAATGCGGTGATTGAACCGCGTTCTGAAGTGTATGGAGTTCATAGCATCAGCCCATGAAACAATGCATGCACACACGCAAAAAAACACCTTTGTATTAAAATAGGTTTTCACTTAAATTTGTGGAAAATTCTAGCTGTGAAACGTAAAAAACAACATGACATTTAAAATTGACTGCATTGTGATGAACATTTCTATCGCAGGGCATGTGGGGGAAATGCAGCACCCTTAATGTGGATAGAAGGTCACTTGAAGGGATCTCGGCAGTAGTTCTGTGAGCTCATTCCACAGGCCGTTATTTTTAAATCCTTTATATTAAGTTCGCTTGCTTGCTTGCTTGCGTGCTTGCTTGTTTGCTTACGACCGTGCAAATCTTTCGGTCGTTTTTTAACCCACTTCCCGTGATCCAATCGAGCTGACATTTTCCACACAGACTCGTTGTGCGTGGCAATTAATTTGCGTGAAAATTTTTTTCCAAAATTTTACACTGTTTAGGGAATTTTTTAAAAATATTTAATTACCAATTGCTTAATGCTGGCAGAGAATCATCTGACCCATAGGTGGCAGCCATCTCAAGCCAGAGGACGAGAGGACTTTAGCCGCCACGCATATAAAGGATTTAGAGTGAAAAACTTTGTTTTTACGGGTTAATTTTTTATACGGATTGATTCGCCTCTGTTGCAAGAGCTTCACATTGATACTCCATCCCTTGATGTGATGCTAATAGCAAATTGACGTAAAACTGTAAAAAAATGATAAAAACAGAGGTGACGTGTTCAGAAGAGAAGGCGAGGAAGAAAGAGTCCCAGATATAATCGGCCGTAGAAGTTTTTTTGGGTTAGAACGCGTAAATATATAAATGTGTCATTAAAACCCGCCACCACCCGATACTGCTACCTAGTAAGGGTTGTCACGTAAACAAAACATGCCAATTCGTCACTAGTACAGCACTAGTGTATAGTGTAGTGTATAGTGTAGTGTATAGTAGTGTATAGTGGAGTGTATAGTGTAGTATACTAGTACAGCACACCGGTGTGTTGAAGAGCCAAGCCACAACATTTACAATCAGAGTACGACGTTTCGCCAGTAATCACAACTAGCTTCATCAGGCGACAGCCAGATTTGTGGAGAAGTCCACCTGCTTCGTTCCTTATATAGAGGCGCAGATGTGGTGACCACGCTTCTGCGCTCTTGCGCAAAGTGGGGGGAGGGGGGTGTATAATCGGACTTGTTGTGAAAACTGAGCCCACTTGTTGAATCGGGCTTGCCCCCCACATGTTTGCTCTATCCTGTGTAAGTGCATTTGATTACATTTAATGGCGGTTGCAAATCTGATGTTACACTTCTGTACAAGTGCCTCTTGCTTGTTGCGCTTTGGTGGCATGCCTGTTAACAGAATTGTCATTTGGGGAAAGAGTGCTCGTAAAAAAAAGGCTCGGAACAACAATCGTCATTAACACAGCTTTATAGCTGATATTTTTATTTATTAAACTGGCCAGTGTGTTTGTGACGTAGTGAACGACAACAATTTTCAGTTCCGGATAAGGCTGGACTTGAAAAAAATCTGATTTGACTATCAAATTCGATTTTATCTGAATAATGAGCCTGCACGTTGCCTCGGGGTTTCCCCGCATGTCTGCTGTAGGTGCAGTCGGGTGCATTTCATTACGTAAGTGGTGGTTGTCAGTCCACTGTTGCATCTCTAAAAGTGCCTTTTATTGTCGGTGCACTTCGGGTGACACTCGATCTCGTAATATTGGGCTGGACAATTTTTTAAAAATTAAATTCCTTTGTTGAGGAAATTGACAGATCTAAAAAACACATTTCAGAGTATACGTCGTGCATAGGGGTGCCGCGGTGGTGAGATGTTAACTACCTCGCATGATATACAGGAAGTTGTGGGTTCCATCCCGACCCTGACGTCTGTATTATTGGAGTCTGCATGTTCTCGTGGTCACTTGGTTTTTTTCCTTCCCATATTTAGAATCAACGTGAATTTAGAGTATTTGGCTGCTATACATTTCCACGCGATAATTAATTTCGCTTCTTAAAAAGAGCTATACAGCTCATTGGGCCTTCCCTGGTAAAATAAAAAAAAGGTTTACTTTAATAGTTTTAGTTAACATCCTTCAGCGTATTGCATTTTGGAGAGAGAATGCACAAATCGAATGACGTGCGTTTGTCATCAACATTGCCTTATAGCAGAAACACAAAACCAGTCCATTGTACTTGTGACCAGGCCCTAATTGCTCATGGAATATTCTCAAGGGTCTCCAAACCTGGTCTCCACCTCCTGACAGTGGCGGGTGGTGGGGACATATTCTGGAGCCCAGGCCTGGACAGCTCCCACTGAAATAAAGCCCTGCTTTGTTATACACAGTGTCCGATAGCAAAAAAAAGTACCGTTTTAAAATTTATATTGAATACTCTTGTGGTTAGTCACTTTATAATAAACACTTGTCAATAAAAAGTTTGCCATGCAGATCATTCGTACAGCTTTCAGTTGCTGAAAGGCTGGACTTGCTGAGAGCAACAATTCCAGCACAGGACTAAGCTCCTTTGTGAGCTTCAAGTGAATCATTGTTCGTCATCCTTTCCACTCCTCGTGAAAACATTTGTAAATCTGAAGCTAACTAAAACATCGGGCTTAGTTCACCATAAAGCGCAGAGTGTTCCATCACGCGATCAATTCTCTCTCGTCACAAGAAGTGGTTTACTTTGTACATTGTGATTAAAACGTTCCTTTCCCAGCTTTCTTTGGTTAAGCAAAAACACTTGTGTTGATATTCTTTGGTTATTTCGGTAAACGTCACGTAGATAGAATAAAAATAAAATAAAAATGCAAGGGCGCTCGCTCCTAAATGGATATCAGGTAATATACTTGTTCAGGTGAAGACAGCGTCAGACGCTGTCTTCCCGGCAAACCTGTTCTTCACCTGAGGACGGCTGCTTGCGTGGTGGCCGAAACGTCGTGAGAATTATTTTATTATGTTTTGTTTTTATTATTTTATTATTTCCCTTCTACATGACTTTACCGATTGAACCAAGAAGATGAATCCCTGCAGTCACGAAAGCTTTAAATTGAAAAAATATACGTGTTGTTGTTTTTTTACACTTTCTTTTAAACGCCAACCGAACGCCGAAGGGATTTTAAACGAGCATTTACGAGTCGTCGAACGTCAGGCGACTGTAACACAAAATAAAGAGGGAATTGTGAGTTCGTGTCATTTATAGTCTTTTTTTGTGCTAGTTGTACTATAGTTGATGCACGGCATTGGATTTTTTGTTCGTGTATCGTTTGCTGCAAACCGGATTTCTACGGTGTAACGCGAGGTCCCCATCCAAAACGAGCATTTATTACCCAATGGGATTTATCGGTGCCAAAATAAATCCTACAGATAATACTGTATACAGTACAAAACATAGGGGGGGTGGGTGGAAGTGGAAAAATAAGGGGAGGAAAGAGGAGAGTAGGGACCCAGAGACTTAAAACTCCCTAAGCAATTCTCATTTGTGGCACAGGGTGTTAGGTAGCAGTCTGGGGGAAGCCCCCCCCTCTTCCCCCCACATTAAACCCTGCACACGCGCGCGTCCCATTGTCTCCCCGCGTGTCCGCAGGACGATGGGACAAGCTCCCGTGCACGGCGTGTACTTTTAGTGTAGTACTTCTCGGTGGCTAGGAGATGTTAACTCCCTCGCCTGGTATGCAGGAGGTCGTTGGTTCGATCACGACTCTGACGCCTGTATATTTGGAGGTTGTTCATAATCAACGTTTTTGGGTTTAGATCGCGTTATTTATAAATGTGTCGTAACCCTCCACCACCCGACACGGCCAATCAGTAAAAAAGTGTCACTTTGACAAAAGACAAATAGTTCACTGCTTTAGCCCACCGGTGTGTTGAAGCGTGAAACCACAACATTTACAATTTTGGTTGCATGTTCTCCCTGTGGTCACGTGGATTTTTCTCCCCGTCCTCCGGTTTTTCCCTCCACATTTAGAAACGTGTATATTCAGTATTTGGCTGCTTATACATTTACGTGTGATAAGCCACTACGTTCTAAAAAGAGCTATATAGCTCATTGGACCTTACCTGGTAAAGTAAAAACATTTTTAGTTTTGGTTTGGAGTCGAGACTAAAATAGAACAGACCTGGAAGAAGACCCAACGTCCAACGTTGTGTGCATGCCGATACCTGGGTCCACTGGCAGACCATCATTAAAAAAATAAACCTGCAGCGACCCAACTAAACAAAAGCTCTACAGTTCGTAAGTGCTACACATTTGTTCCGTTGTTATAAACAATTTAGATATGCGTGAAAAATTAGATATGTGTGAACCTAGATATACATTTTCCAGACACTTGTCTGTTTAAAAGCAAAAACAGACGAGCATAAGTAGTGTTTGATTAATATTCTAAATTAACATAATTATTTATAAACGTGTGAAATAATTCTCTTTTTCTCTCATCTTATGAACTCCCTCTGCTTCATGGCACGCTGTACTTTCTACAAAACGTGCATATGTACTTCAACAAGTCGTTTGTTTCCTGTCACAAACATGACATTTATCTTGCTCTGCCCGGTTTGGCGTTAATGTTTCACAAATAATACGTTTTAACTCGAGAATTTCCTCTTGTCATTCTTCACATCCCATAAGCTGGATTATTATTTTGTACACGTTTCCTCGGGACGGCCTACGTAGACGAGTTTATGAGTTTCATACATTGACTCCTTTTGCCTCATGGAAAAAAAACCCTAACAATTGCTATTGTGCTTGGTTTCAACAGTAAATGAAAAATTAGCTCTAATGTATTGTCCGCAAGCTCACCGTGTTTTACCAAAAGCAAATGTTAACACGGTCCTAAGTGCTGTTGAATAAGGATAGGTTGCTGTGTAGGAGAGTTATCAAAAAGATCAAAAGCGATGGGAGAATGGGGAGGAGGAAAGGGTCGTGGTAGAGAAGGTTTGGCAAGGAAACAATGGCTGCATTAACATTCACTTGTCATGAATACCCTTTGTAGCAATGTTTTTCCCCCCCTAGTCAAAATATGCCGTGGCTTCTATATCACTGCACCAATCGGCTACTTAGAAAGCTGTTCCTGAATGTATTTAGTGCAAGTCTATCAGATGGTAATCATGGTAAAGGTGACGTCATGAACGCAAACCATTACTGTACATGCGCATTGCTCAAGAGAAGCAGCTATATTGATTTAATTCCTGTTCAAGTGTGCATTATGTTGTGTAATTGGCTTGGGCATCTGAAGGCCCAATTGTTAATTGTTTTCCAAAGTGACCTTTACAATAACAATCAAGGCCGTTGTTCTGCTATGCTCACAGATGGAATAACCCTGACTTTGTGAAATCCAGAACGTTTAGCAGTTTGACTGAAAATGATTTAAAGGCAGGCAAAATAAAAGCTGACATTTATTTGTCCTCAATATTATTTTCAACCGCTTTATTCATTGACATCATCTATCATGATTACAGATTACATGTCTGTCTACTGTTAGGGCCCATAAAATATCAATTCTCAGAGCAAGTATTTATGCCTCTTGCTGGAATCAAATGGCCAATCTTTTGTCCTCAGATCGATGAAGTGTTCCAGTCATCAGTGCTGTCTCCATACTTCAAGGAAAGTAAAGTTTTGGGCTTCAGGTGACTAATTCAAACCTTTTCATTTAGAAAGAGAAGTGTGTTGTTTAAGGTTAATATATATATGAATGTGACTTCACCAGCAAAGCTTAATAAGCATCTCGACATTCTTAGACTTTCAAGAAGACATCACCATTCCCATACATATTCTACGAACACGCAGTCTTGTGAGCCACTGACTCAATAACAAGACAAGCTTGTGGGCATTTTTAATTTATGCAGCAGAGATATCCTAACTTCTGGCTGCTGAATTGTTTTGTTTAGCAAGGAGAAAGTACTTAGACTTTATGTTGTGTAACGTCGCAAATTATGATTCTTATCGGCTATTCGAGGCAATGCCCTCTAAAAGTCTTGGTATGTTCCTTCAAAGTTGCTTGGAAAATCACATTCATTCACCACTGGCATCGTCATTTTAATGTATAGCTGCTGAAGGAAATTAACTGTGAAGCACATTGCGCATTTACTAACAACTAGTTACGTATTGGACCGCACGATGTAATTCTTCGACTCGATCAAAGCCTAAAACAAATCGAGGAATTTGCTCAGAAATCCCAATCCTTTGCCTGCTAAAAGAGTTTGCTTCGACAACATCGTCCCATCGACCACTCCACCGCCAGTACCACAACCGCCCTTCCACACTCCACCTCTCGCGTACACACATCCAACACGTCATCACCCTGACCTTCGCCCATCACAGTCTTGTGGGGCTCGCAGCAATTGTCTGCAACGCTAAGGCGCGCGTGTTTGTGTGTGATGATGATGATGATGCAGCAGCGGCAGCGTAGTGGTGCGGTTCCTACTGGCGTTCGCGGTCCAGTCGTTCGGCAGCAACAAGTTGACCCGCCAGAACGTGCTGGACGCGTTCCGCAGCGGTGACCTCTACGATGCCACCACAGGCACGAGCATCAACCCTGGCTCGATCGCCATTAACTCTGGTACGAGCGTGTCGAGCGACTTGGCTTCGGGAAGTGTGCGTGGGGTTTTCGGCAAGTGCTGTCTCTGGTTTCACCTAAAAATCTCAGAAAGCTGAGAGGGAATGCATGACGCCAAGGTCGCCACCTCTGCTTGCTTAGCGATTGTCCATCGCACAGTAATCTCAACTAAAATCACAGCAAGCAGAGCTAAATAGCGTGGGTTGGGGTGGGCGGGTCACCTCTGCCTACAACCTTTTCCGCTGTAGACAAAACCCAGAGATATTTCCCAGTCGGTCAAGTTCTATAGCAACTGTGTGGCAGACTGCAATACAGTTCAACACAATACCACAAGATCACAAGTGATAACATCACATTTATCTCTATATTTAAGACTGAAACAGGAGGATTTCTCCACAAATCCGGCTGTTGTCTAGTGATGCTGGTTGTAATTACTGGCAAAACATCGTACTTGAATTGTAAATGTTGCGGGTTTACTCTCCAACACACAAGCGGTGTGCTGTACTTGGAACGAATTGACATGTTTTGTTTACGTGACAAACCTTACTAATTGGCTGTTGGGTGGTGGCGGGTTTAACGACACATTTATATTTACGCGATCTAACCCCAAAACCTCGCTTATGGTTAAAGCGTTGGAGTATTTTGCAAAATGTAAATATGAAAAAAGTGACATTTGAGAGAAAAAAAAACTATGTGAATGGGCAAAAAAATTTGTAGATTCTTTAAAGATGTCATGCCTACTAAAGTTTATACAAAATCAAGCAAACTTAAACATTCAACTGGATCAAACCTGACCCCTCCTTTATTGACTTAACTTTAAGAGGCTGAGCCCTATTTCACTTTGGCTGCTTTATATACGTTCAGAATGTGTGCTATCGTGCAAACCCTCAGCGTAATAAAGCTTTAATGCAAAATAAATGTGTTATTCCAGATGTAAAGACTGGAGACTTGGATATCGTGGCAGGTAAGATTTCACATGCACAGCAACACAATCACATTCGTCCTCTGAACCTTTTTGCCAAATTTGGTAACTTTCTCTTATACAGACAGGCCTCTGTTATGTGCCTGCACGTAACAATGATCCAGTCCATCAATCACCCGGTTGGCTTTCGAGACCAATATCATCCAAGAGCAATATTCTGTGTCTCATCAGCATATATGATCAGAATTTAATTCTCTTTCCACATGTAAAAATGTGTTTTAGTCAATATAAATCTATATGTAGAGACGGAATGGAATTCTGCTTTATATATATATATCCTTTAATTAATAATGCTCCACGAAAATAATGTGTACATTTTTTTTCTCAGTTCAAATATTTCCCCTGGATAATCCCTTCAGTTTGAATGTCTCGTTTTCAAGGCGTCCTCGGCTCTTGCCAATAACACCAACTGGACATCCTTAAAAAAAGCTTCATAGCCCATCAGGTTCCTCCAGTCTAAATATAGATTCTGATTCACCTGGCATCCCAGCACTATCTTCTCGGTTTTTTCGGTAAAGTCACGTAGAAGGGAAATAATAAAATAATAAAATAAAACATAATAAAATTATTATCACGACGTTTCGGCCACAACGCAAGCAGCCCTCCTCAGGTGAAGAACAGGTCTGTCGGGAAGACAGCGTCTGAAACATTTCAGACGCTGTCTTCCCGACAGACCTGTGGACGGCTGCTTGCGTTGTGGCCGAAACGTCGTGAGAATGATTTTATTATGTTTTATTTTTATTATTTTATTATTTCCCTTCTACCTGACTTTTCTGAAAGAACCAAGAAGATGAATCCCTGCAGTCACGAAAGCTTTAAATCAAAATCCCAGCACAATGTTACGATGATTATTATTTGGATTGTTTATCCTCACTGAGTCTCAAGACCATTTTTCATGAGGGTCTTGGCAAGTTTTTTTCGCAGCAAGCGACGATGTTACTCTGCGTAATCCCAACTTGGCGGATCATTTTTGAGCATCGGGATCTTTGGCCAGTACGAGTTACTTTGTTTTGGTTTTAATTTCATTTACTAACAATAATGATGCGCCACAACAATGCGTGTAGCGAATTGGCTCTTTCGTTGCGAGGTTCTTGTCCATTGGTTGCACATTGAGGTGGTCCTGGTTCTCAGACTGTCTGGAGGTGGTGAACTTGGGCGCCGACCCCACGGTGTCGGTGACATCGCGGGCCGGAAAGTCGTGCGCATGGATGATTGTGGCGCCCGAGGGCTCCCTGGTCCAACTTGCACTGCAGGCCGACCCCTCCACGACCGTCTGCACCGATGCTGTCGCCTTGTATGATGGGGTCCTGCCTGCTAACAGCAGCCTCGTCGCAGAGTAAGCAAAGAGTTGGCCGCACTTGCAGATTTTCCACGCCCCCCGTGGCTTTCTGGGTCGAATTACTTGCTGAGGTGTGTGTTTACAGCTTTGTTTGATTACAGTAGAATTCAAAGGTCTGTTCAATGATTAAAATGGCAACGGGATTTCTCTGATTGTCAGTGGCAATGATGTATTATAGCATTCCTGGGGTAGAGCTAGGGTTGCCACCTGTCCTGGGAAAATCCTAAATAATACACCACTCAAGACAACGCATTTATACATAGTTATCCCCTCTTCTTGTATTGAGTGCTATTACCTGCTGATCTGAGTTTAGATTCTCTGCCACGGCTTAACATCAGTGGTAAACGTTATCTGTGAACCTGGTTCTTGGCCCTATTCTCTCCCCTCACTCGCACTGATCAACAATCCCCATCACCGACACAGCATGGGGAGGCCTTCATCCAGAATTGAATTGGCAAATAATTGGAAATTGTATAATTATTTTACTGATGAACTAATTTGGAAATCAAACTTATTTAAATTAAATTGCTTGGAATGTGCAACCAATTTGTTGTTATAAGCCCCACCCATGTAAAATCGTATCAACTTCCATAATTATGTTTTGCCACAACAGGATTACAGAACGTGTAACAGTGCATTAAGAATATTCTGACAATATAAACATTTTGCTGCCTATGACCAAATTACCCAGAATACAACCCTACTCTTCAGATCTCTGAAGCGAAGCAGGCTTTGAGCCTGGATAGTGCTTTGATGGGTGACCACAAATGCATGCAAGCTTGTCACAGGCGACCATGTGACTGTGCTACGTGGTGGTAAGCAGAGTGGGCAGTGGATAAAAATTAACTTGTTGTACCGTACAGTATATGTTCCCACGTCGATGCTTCACGCCTTCAGCGGCCCCTGGACTATGGTCGAATAGCTTCCACGACCCACACGGTGTGAAGGTTGTCCTTTTGTATGACCTAAGCGTGTTTGTACGCATAAGAACACTGCGATATCTTCTTGGTTCTTTCGGTAAAGTCACGTAGAATGGAAATAATAAAATAATAAAAATAAAACATAATTAAATAATTCTCACGACGTTTCGGCCACAACGCAAGCAGCCGTCCTCAGGTGAAGAACAGGGCTGTCGGAAAGACAGCATCCAAATGAACACCACCAAGCTTGGCAGCGTATATTTAAGCTGGGTTAGAGGAGGAGAGCGCCTTGACAAAGGAATTTATATATCAACAGAGGAATTTAGCATATTTATGGAAATGCAGATATGGGATTAGTCACTCTTGATATGCTAATTATTTGTCAAGGCGCTCTTCCCCCTCCAACCCAGCTTAAATATATGCTCCAAGCCTGGTGGTGTTTCATTCAGACGCTGTCTTCCCGACAGCCCTGTTCTTCACCTGAGGACAGCTGCTTGCGTTGTGGCCGAAACGTCGTGAGAATTTAATTTTATTATGTTTTATTATTTTATTATTTCCCTTCTACGTGACTTTACCGAAAGAACCAAGAAGATGAATCCCTGCAGTCAGGAAAGCTTTAAATCGAAACACTGCGATAATTTGGGAACGTTTCCCGTTGGCAGCACGTGCACCCCGGCCTCTGGGGCAATCTCTTTCCATTCGTCTGGGCGCATCCTGCTGCTGGTGTGGCACAACCTCGCCAGTGGTGGCAGTGGCAGTAGCCACCAATTGGACGCCGTCACCCAGGCTGTGAAAAAACAAGGTACACTTGGATCGGCCTCAGTTGTGGCGAGATGTTAACTCCCTCGCCTGGTATACAGGAGGTCGTGGGTTCGATGCTGACACTGACGCCGCTTGTATATTTGGAGTTTGCGTGTCTCTCTCTCTCTCTCCCCCGTGGTCGCTTGGATTTTTCTCTGGGTTCCCTGGTTTATCCCTCTACATTTAGAAACACGCATTTAGAGTATTTGTCTGATATAAATATTCACGTGATAAGCCACTTTGATGAGCATTCATTTGTGGCCAGATCACTTATGGAGCTTTATAGCTGAGTGGGCCTTACCTGGTAAAATAAAAATTGCGAGATTTAATGCGCTGCATGATTTAAGATTCTCCACTCCTGTACAAGCTACACGGCTAACTGTGTTAGGCATGTTATCTGGAACATATGCAGCCTTTTGTCAATGCACTGCTGGATTAGTTTTTCCACACACTGTGTGGTTTTCGGGGTGGGTTGGGGGTTACTTGGTCGGTGCAGATTGGGGAGCTGAGATATGGGAGCTTAGACGTTACAATACAAGAATTGATTTTGCGGCTTTACCAACCTATGTGAATGGTCATCACCCGGTCGAGCAGTATTCGGCTTAAAAACCTGCTCTTTGGTAAGCTGTATGCCTGGTGCAAATTTAATAAATTCTGGTGCTGGTGGCAGAGGCAAACATAAACAGCAAAGTTAATTTAAGACATTTCAATTTGAATGGGCAATGTGCAGTGAACTCATTAATATGTTGTAAATCTCAAGAAAATACATTATGCTCTCAGACTTCTGAAGGCAAGGCCATTAGTCCTGAGATGCCTTGACAAGATTACATTTTTTTATATACACACTGGCAGGTGTTGCTCAATAGTTAGCAAATTCACAAGATGTTGAAACTTGCGCTCAGAAAAAAGAGACACGTTTCTCAACATTCTAGCCCATGGCTGTTTTTCTGCTCTGACATCATGAAAGTTTGCTTAAAGTTTCTCAAATGCATTCCATTCTGTTAAACTCGACACTTTACAGCAAAACATTGTTCACTCAACCACAAATGACTTGTGTCAGTATTGTGAAATGCCTGCACAAGTAATACTTGTCGGTGGGAAATACCATGATGCATTGCTTCTGATGTATGAATTTGTAAGCCTTCAGCTCACACACATATACCACGTCGATCCACGTCACGTTGATCCAGATCCCCGAGGACCCACATCACGTTGACCACGCGATCTGTGTTGCCTTGCCAGAGTGTGGGGGCGTGCGTCAGCTGCTCCCCACCATGGAATCTCAGGGCTTCGTGTCCACGCCTTTCTACCCGGACTTCTACCCCCCATATTTCAGCTGCAATTGGACGTTCATGGTAAGGTTTGCTCTCGCCCTGCACATCCAGGAGTCGCCAGTTCAATTCCATCTCCTGTCACGACAGTTGAAACGTGGGAGATTGCTTAAATTACCCCCGTCCCCTGCCCCCCTCCCCAATCGCCTCTGTCTATCCCGTCAGTGTGAACCGATTCCGTCACAATTTGTCGATCGGCAGGTCACTTGTGGTAGGGTAAGATGTGGGCACTCCCTCCTCTTCCTAGATGTCTGGGCAGGGTGGAAGCAAAGGTCAAATACCCTCTCGAGGTGCTCCTCCAGAGCTCCGTTTCGCACCTCCGATTAGCACGGTTGGCTACGTACGGTGTGAAGGAAGTTCAGCATATATACTTACATCGGGGAGGCTCTTCTGCCATCTTCTTCTTCTTCTCTTGTTCGTCCATCAAAGTTGATGATGACCATGGCAGGTTTGTCATTATGTTGGGTTTTGATGAGTGCGCAGATGGCTGAAGAGGCCAATCCGAGCCCGGAATTCTCTGTGGCACACTGGACAGGTCAGGGAGGATGTAGAGCTCTGAGGTGCAGCCACACGTCCTTCCTTGGTAGATTTGCGCTGCTGCCTCTTCAAGATGGCACAGGAGCGTCTCCTGCTCTCACAGAGGACTGCACCGTCCTGTACTTTTCTTCTCCAGGCAGGTCGGTCCTGTGCTAGGGATTCCCAGCTTTTAAGGTCGAATCCAAAGCTCTTCAAGGAAGCTTTCAGGGTGTCCTTGTAGCGCTTTTTGGGGCCACCTTGTGCTCGCTTGCCATTCCTCAGCTCGCCAAAGAAGACTTGTTTTGGAAGTCTCGCGTATGGCATTCTGGTCACGTGGCCAGTCCATCTAAGCTGTTCCTTCGCAAGCAAGGTGTAGATGCTGGGGATATTTGCCTTGCTGAGGACTTCCGTGTCAGGGATTCTGTCTTGCCACTTGATCTTCAGCAGTTTCCTCAGACAGCTCAAGTGGAAATGATTCAATTTCTTCTGCCATCAGTGATCGGAGCAAGCAATAACAGGGCTGCACTTTTACCTTTGATCCTTCCAGCGTCTTTATGTTTAATGGAAAACAACCAACGCTGCCTCAGGCCGTTGCTCTTGGCACAACGATTTTATGTTGTTCATTCACATCGTTTGGAAACTAGAATAAACATTTTATATGTAAATTAATAGTTAATAAATTCCATTTACAAAAAAAAACCCATCTGGGTATTGGTGAATTTCATTTTGAAAATATAAGCTCGGTCACAAAGGACTGTAAACAAAATAATCAGTAATTTTCACTTTAATTGGCTGGTTCCAAAAATGAAATGTAAGAATTTTAGTTTGATTTAATTGCAACAAGCGGTCTTTGCAGAGAATGAAATAGGTGTACCCCTAATGGGAATAAAGAGGCCATTTGAAGTGACTTCAGAAGTGGTTTTTTTCTTCATCTTCTGTGGCTGTTATCTGACACAGGGTGATACACAACTAGCTCCAATGTTCAGAATGTACATGTGTTTGTCTCATGACATGATACCAATAACACGGTTGAATTGTGATTGGAGGGTGGAAAAAATCTAACGTAATCCACCAAACCTGTGAATCTTTACACCGTGGTCAAGGTTGGGGTATGTGTTCAGGATATTTTCCTCTTCGATTTTGTTCAAATGAAGCCTCATCGTAGGAACCGATCAGACCTGAGTTGTAATATTGCATCCTATGCATTGACATATACATTATGAACCTACAAAATCTTTTGCAAATATTTACTGTTGAAAAGGTCATTCATATGTGACAATAGAAGCACGATAAATGTAACTATCACTTTTGGGGGTGATGCAGGAATTCTTTGTGCCCATAAAATATAACCTTTGAACTGCGGAGGAGGTGTTGAGAATATGATTGTATAAGCACTGCTCTGTTTACCGACATAAAGCAGTCAACAGCCACTTGATTCCAGGTCAGAGTTTCTGTACAGGAAATGAAACACAATGGGATAGTTTGTTGAAGGTAAGCTACAATTATGCTGTGGCATAGTGCCAGGCATGTCTGGGGAGGGTCCTGAGACCAGTGGCGCTTCCAAATTTCCCCTCTGCAGACAACGATGATGAGCCACGGATGAGACGATGATGACCTTTAAGTAAGCCATATCTTTCGGGGCCCAATTACTTGTCAGCCAGAGCAGATTATTGGCTGTCAGCCCACGGGGTTCGGAAGCAAGGGGAGGAGATGGCAAAAGCCAAGGGCATGGGAGGGGATGCAAAAAAAATTCTACAAGCCTTGCTAAAGACCTTTTATACAAGCCTTTTTTGCTGTGCGTTTGTGTGTGTGCACATGTATGTGTGTGTGTCTGCAGATGCCAAATGACTCATTTGGGCTCTCTCTAAACTTTGAGGGATACGAGCTGCAAGCACAGTCACCATCAGCAAGCCCTTGCCAGTATGAGTTGTGGATCATCAACGGACAAAAGTACGAACCGTAATTTTTGGTAGTTTATAGGACATGCTCCCCCCCCACCCACCTCTGTATTTTAAAGCACAAGTTGCAGGTGCATCTTATAATCCGGTAAGAGTTGGATGCCAAATTTGTATAACTTTATTGACAATGGGCAAACGCTTTGGGGTGTCATACCATCAGGAGCATCTGATAACCTGGAGAATATGGTATTTTTAGCATGTTCTCATTAAAGATGATAAAAGCAGCCGCCTAGAATGTGCAAACCTTGTGGTTTGTTTGCCCGTATGTTTTTGAAGCCATTTTTTTGGTTTCATTTCCCCTCCCGGAAGTTATAATCAGGGGGCGAGTTTATTAAATCCCCCCTGCAGTATAAATGGGCTCACCACAGTCGGCCAGATACGTAGGTAGCGTGTGGCGGGGTTAAAGTGCGGGTACTCCCAACTCTGCCAGAACGAGAGGTCCGACCAGTGTGGAAGTGTCGACCAAAAATATCCTCGAAAGGCTCTCTTGAAACAAAACTGAAACCTTTTTACAAGGAATCATGTTTACATTAACCACAATACCTGTGGTCAGAATGCAAACAAAAAACACACTCTGATAATGTATGCAAAAGAGGCCTTTTGGCGTCATCTGGTCGAACGCCATATGAGACTAGGCTCTAAGGAAAGCTGTCTCTAGTGTGGACCAATCAATTTCAAGGACAATGCATACATTATCAGTGTTTTTTGTTTGCATTCTGACTATAGGTATTGTGGTTAATGCAAACACGATTCCTTGTAAAAAGGTTTCAGTTTTGTTGCCAGAAAAAAGGGGAAAAAACCTATTATTATATTTTGCTACTGGCAAAAGAGGCCTCATGATGATGGCCCTCTTGAAGTTCACTCTACTGGAGGCCCTCCTGCCAGCAGTGGGCGTGAGCGAGCAATTTGCGGGGCTGCACCTTTAACCTTTCTAAGAATACGATGTCATATCCACAAGTCCTGTCTCACGCGTTTCGTTTTTTCCCCCCCGCCTGCGCTCCCTTTTTTTGGTTGCAGCTACTGCGGGAGCCTCGTGAGTGGATCGCGCATCCTGCGCGTTTCCACCGGGATGCTGTCGGTCTCCGTCAAGTTCGCGTCGCAGGGAATCCAGACCCGCGGCGGGATCAGAGCTGCTGTCAATGTCTACGACATCTACAATCGTGAGCCACCGCGATATTCTTACGAAGAGCTAGCAAAACTGAACACTGAGCACGGAACTCGAATGAGTTCACGGTTTGAGACCCAGTGGCGGCCCCGATTTAATACTGCGAGGATGTATTAACATTAAATACACGCCGTCTGCTTCACAATGAAATGTTAAAGGTCCCGTGAAGCCGCGGAGTTTTTATACACCCCTCCCTACGTCACGGTTTGGGGTCTGTACTGGGCTCCGATTGAAAAAATATATATATAACATCCCATAAAGCCATTTGAAACAGAGTAGGCCATGTGTGCTGGCATTCTGGTCCATATATGATAGCTTGCTCGCAAATTACTTAATTGGGAGGAAAAAAAAACGTAGCAACATCACCACCATTTTTTGGTGAACCAATACCCATTTACGCATTTGCAGGCCCCGGTGTTCACTTTGTGCACACAGGGGCAGCTGCCACTGGGGGGGGGGGGCCTGTCGGCTAAACTGCATTAAGTCAATTGAATGCTTGAGATGATGTGATTGTAAGGCACTTTGAGTTGCTGAAACACATAAATAAATGCAAATTCTTATTCCTTTTGACATCTAAGTGCCAGAAAGATGTGCATTCCTTAAACATATTGGCACAAGACAGAGGAAAGTGGAAACAAATGAGGAAATGTGCTGTGGGACACCTACGGTCTATCTGCCCATGGATGATTATGATGATGATCAAGGGATCGTTATGCTTGGTGGCCTACCGGGCATCCCAGTTTGTTTGTGCAACCAGTGCGGTGTGTCGTGTGCAGCGTGTCCCAGGGGAGGATTCCTGTGCAGCTCCAACTCGGAGTGCGTGACCATGTGCAACGGAATCCCCGACTGCCCCGACAAGAGCGACGAGATGAACTGCTGTGAGCTCTTTGCACCAACAGATTGTTTGGGCAAACGATAACAGTTGTGAACTCACCGAATTGAACGTTTTCCCGCGTTTAATGAGCCCGACTCTGCTGCCGATGAAATTAAAACTGGGCTAGGATTTTATTTGCTCAACCAAAATGCTGCTGGATGATATTAGTCACAGTACTGATGTCTGTGTTTGATATTTTTTTTATTTTTAATTGTTACTATATCTTACAACTTGGAGTGGAAGTGCGGTAGTTAGCGCAGTGCGCTGCGAACCCAGCCACTTAAGTTTGATTGCCAGCAATGACTAACACCGGTGGGGCGGGTTACCTGAACTGGTTCCATACATCGTGAAATATAGTCAACAACCGTCATAACTTACATGGTGTGGGAGATGCCTTCATCCAGCAGTGGATTGAGAGACTTTTTTTTACTTGTTTGGTGGTGCTTTTTTTACTCACCTATTCACACGTTCACTACACTTTGTTGTTATTTATAAATCTTCCACATATTGGACTCTGTGTAAGAGAATACTGTTTCTATCTTCCCCCCCACCCTCTCCGACACCCTGTGGTGCAGCCTGTCCCATGCAGTTCGAATGCGCAGCAGGCGCTGGCTGTGTGGCCTTGTCCGCCGTTTGCAGTGGCTCTGCCGATTGTGCTTCTGGGAACGATGAGAAGAGCTGTCTCGGAGAAGGTGCGCTACGTCCCACACCACACCGCTGCCGTGCCGAATCTCACGGCCCATTGTCAGGCGTCGAGTGACTGACTGTGACTGAGTCATTGTGGGGAAAACCTTGCAGCTTCATCATGGGACCTCCTTTGCCAGTACCAAAATATGAGAATAGGTTTTCCCCTTTTTTCTGGCAACAAAACAGGTGTTAAGATGTTGAAACACCAAACTGAAACCTTTTACAAGGAATCATGTCCGTATTAACCACAATACTTGTGGTCAGAATGCAAACAAAAAACATATTCTGATTGATTTGTCCACACCAGAGACGGCTTCCTTTTGAGCCTCGTCTCAAACGGTGTTAACAAAAGAAAGCAGTGTAGCCCATGAACAGAGTTCTCTATTGGGCATATGGGAGGTGGTGATTCATGGTGGACGGTCAACCGGTCAACTAGAAAGGAATGAACAGAATCCACATTTGTTACTTCATGCATTACAACCTGCTCTCCTTCCTGTGCTTGTCCTCTGGCAGAGGTCCCATGCAGTGCGTTCACATTCCACTGCAGCAGCGGGCAGTGCATCCGCAAGCCGAACCCGGAGTGCGACGGTCACAGCGACTGCCCGGATGGCTCCGACGAGCACTCGTGTGGTGAGCACATCCCCCACAGCAGCTGTTCTTTTTGATCCTCTTCATTTAATTGTGCTCACATAATTTTTACCGCACCCCCCCAACACACACACACATCCCTTTTTAGGTGCGCAAAATAATAACCTAAGAATGATTACGTTAGCTCTGTTCTGTCATGTCGATGGATGTCGAACATGGATGAGTCTGAATGATACCGATTCAAAAGCAGCTTTGCTGCTGGTTGGCTCAGAGGTGGGGGGCAATGATGGTGAAAGTGATGAGCCGGAACCGCTGAGATCCTGGGATCGAATCTAGGAAGCTGCCTGTGCATAAAAAAAAAAACTGGGGTCTTATGACTTTTTCAGGAGGGTCCTGAAAAAGAGTCATGATACTTTGTGAGGTTTTCCTGGATAAACAAGCATCGTCATTATTATTATAATAAATATTTCTGTTTGACTTTAAAAGTGCTGCCCATTCCCGTGTGGACCAGAAGCCACTTGAAGGGATCTGAAGTGGCTGATTTTAAATGGACACTACGTCTCATGACATAGGGATACAATTGCAGAGTATATATCTATATGTTGAAAGGAGCTTTGCCCAAATCGGCATCACCGTAAATGACCTGGGAAGTTGACTGGTGGTTGATGCTTCATGGAAGGCATTGCATGCTGCAGTCGGTCATGTAAATACTGTCCAGAGCTCACCACCTCTTAATTCTCTTCAGCATTTCTCATCGGCGTCTCTCAATTGCATTTTTTGTTTCTTCTTTCTCACCCCCCCCCCCCCCCCACCGCGCTCCACCTCCTCCTCCTCAGCCTGCGGCAAACGGATGGTGCAGAGTCGTATCGTGGGGGGTGAGAGTGCCGTGGCGGGTGCCTGGCCATGGCAGGCCAGCCTGCGAAGCGGCCTTACCAACAGCCACCACTGTGGCGGCTCCCTCATCCACCCGAAATGGGTCCTCACGGCCGCGCACTGCGTCGACAGAAAGTGCGTCCATTTCTGTCGTGTCGGCGCGTCCTTTCTGACCGTGTGGTGCAATGAGGCTGCGATTGGAGAACGGCGCAAATAAAATGTGTAATTATGCGGAATATTATTTACAAAGGTTACAACCCTGCCTGCTTTTTATTTATATTCATAAAATGTACCATGGCTTATGGAGATTAGACATTTTGACTGATCCCCTATTAATTTTAAGCGAAACGTATCATTTATGAAACAGTTTTTTTTCACATATATTGTTTTTTTTCCATGAAAATTGTAGGGCTGAGGCTCTGAGTGACTGGACGCTCTTATTCGGGAAACTGCTGCTGGACAAGGAAGACCCGATGGAGCAGCATCGCTCAATCCGCCAGATCATTGTGCACAGACAGTACGTCGGCACGGGGAATGACTACGACATCGCGCTCCTAGAACTCGACTCGCCCGTCAACCTCACGGAGCAAGTGCAGACCGTGTGCATGCCGGCCGCGTCGCACGTCTTCCTGCCGGGACAGATGTGTTGGGTTTCTGGCTGGGGGACTGTCAAAGGCAACGATTGTGAGTTGAGACACATGACTCACGTGCATGTATATATCATTTTTCACCACAATTGCTGAACACCAGTAAAACATTCCCAAAATGCCAAGTGGGCCCAGCAACCATACAGCATGAAGGAAACGGTGGTGCTACCCACCACATAGCCCCCCCACCTCCCCCCCCCCAACAATCCCTATGGCTATCTATTTGTGCGTGGTGGTGACCCACTTCACAACTGTCCACTGTTCAACCTCGCTTGGCTGTGGGAGATCTGACGAGATCGGGGCCCATTTTTGCTGGGGTGATTTTGGTCAAAGGCCAAACAGAACATAATTAGCATAAATACGGCACAATTCCATGACAGAACCCAGTGACTACAGTTTTTGGAGCCGCAACCTGCGCCATGGGTTTAAAAAAGAATATTATCAGGAAAACGAATTAACTGAAATGCAACTGCAGTGACTTCCAACGGTGTTTCTGCGCCAGATGGGTGCCTGCACGCCATGTAGCTTCCCACGACAATCGGTCTGAGGCAGAGTTTGTGGTTCGAGCCATGAGCCATCGTTGCCAGAACACATTACAGATGCTGCCACCACATGCGCTAGATCGTTACCTCCGTTTAACGGTGACTGATTTTAAAAGGGCGTTTAGGAATGATTCTTTATTGTGTGCATGCTCGTTGATTAAATGAACCTCGTGATGATTAGTGTGTTTGTTGTTGTTGTTGCAGTATCCCTATCCAACAACTTGCAGGAGGTCCAACTGCCCCTGATAAGCCAGAGCGACTGCATAGGCAGCTACGACCATGCAACGCCACGCATGCTGTGCGCCGGCTACCCTAACGGAGGAAAGGACGCGTGCCAGGTGAGACCAATGGATGTTCAGCACAAGTATGCTTGGTGTACTTGCATAGGTTCAAGGCTGCCCTTAGGTCCCCGGAGGTCCAGGACAGAATGCCACTTAGGGGGCCCATTATTCAGGCCCAGGGAACATTGTACCTTGTGCCAAATATACAAGCGTCGGGGTCGGGATCGGGATCGAACCCACGACCTCCTGTATGCCAGGTTTTTTCGGTAAAGTCACGTAGGTAAAAAATTAAAATTGATAAAAGTAAAAAAAAATCACAACGTTTCGGAGGCAACACAAGCTTCCGTCTTCAGGTGGAACCGTCACAGCACGAAAGCTTTAAATCTAGGGTTAACATCTCACCACCGAGATGTATGTTGAACGTCTTTCGCGCACCGTACGTAGCCAACCGTGCGAATCGGAGGTGTGAGATGTACTGTACAGACAATTCAGCAAAGCACAAAAACGATGTGAATGTGAAATACAACTATAAAGTTGCAGGAATCAGATATTGTGACAATGTAATATTTGTAAAAAAAAACAATGTAACGACAACCGGAGCAGAGCGCGCACTCCCACTGCAGTGGCATCGGGTTTGATTCCTCGCCACATGCAGCACCAATGAACAAAAGTGTTGCCCGACTCGCCCCAGACGCTTAGCCCTAGGGAGACAAAGGTGGCTACAAGTGTCGTTTTGGCCACGCGATTCATTCGTGTGCTCGGCACGTACGATACCGTTTTCTCTAAAAGCATGCCATGGGTTGTGCGTCCTCCGTGCCAAAGGCATTATTTATGGAATTAGGTTTGTTTAAATTCTGTGCCTCGATAGTAAATGGTGTGTGCAGAGGGAGTAATGTACCGTGTGATGTAAGTTACTTAAGAACGTTGGATAGCAACGGTGGCTATAATCCCAACACACACTTGAGATAACCTCTCAACCATGGCCACATTCATTATTTGACAGTCTATCTAATGTAAGCCAACAAAACCCGTGCCTAGCAAAGCAAGACCAAACACTCGGCAATGATCCTGGTCATTTCCGCGCGCGTGCTATCATGGCACGTGCCCTGAAAGTTGAACTGCGCAAACCAACGTTGTTCTTTGTCGTGTTCTTGCTGCTGCGTGCACTCGGCATTTTTTCTTGCAACAGGGCGATTCGGGGGGTCCCTTGGTGTGCGAGGATCGCGGCTCCTGGTTCCTCGCCGGCTTGGTGAGCTGGGGCGATGGCTGCGGGCTGGTCAACAAGCCCGGCGTATACACCCGCGTCACCGCATTCGCCAAGTGGATAAACGACATGATCGCCCAATCTTAACGATCGGGCTCATGACGGGCAAGTTTTTCCCACGAAAGATCCCTCCAACTCGGTCCACCCGGCGGCATGGATGGGTGCATCAGTTGGTCGAACGGCTAGTCAGCGCGTGTGCTGGGGGAAAGCGTGGGTTCTCCTCCCGCACTTTGCAAGACGATCTGGCCAGTGCGGAAGAGGAAGCCAAAGTACCTGCTGGAGAGGAGCTCTTCATTGTTTCTTCTAACAGAAGGCCCTTCCACCAGCGGTGGTGTGAGAGAAAAAAAATGTGCAGGGCTTTGCACCTTTACCTGTACCATAATGATCACAAGGACTCGCGTGTATTATTTATTAACTGTGCAGACGGTGCTCACTATTGACGGCTTAGCATCAAACAGTATCTGTTTACGGATGTTTTAATCAGGACAAGTTTTTTGGAAGAGGAGTGTTGATAATGGTCATAGAGTGAAATGTGAAACATATGATATATGAATCTTCAGTGAAGAAAATCTTCACCTGTTTACTTCCTCCATGAAGTATGACTACGACTGCAACTTGGTGGAGTTGTGAATCCATCATCAACTTAATGTGAACACGCCAAGAGTGTGTTTGTATTATACACTGCTGTCTTTGGTAATAATGAGGTTGGCCGAAGATGCATGGGGGGGGGGGGGGTGTTCCTACGTGGTTATAAAGTAGGTTATCTGGTTAAAGCTTGGTTATCTTTGACAGTGGTCAAAAGTAACATATCTTTAAGGTATAATGATAATTTCACCAAAATCGAATCTCGCTAGAGTGAATGCTTTTCACCTTTGTATGTATTGTAGGTACTCGGTTCACGTGACCCCCCTGAAGCCACAAGTGGCCGCTAGATTCAACCCAGTGTGAAGACTTAACAACTAATGATCGATTTCACAATCGAATCACAACGGTGAATCGCGGCGATTCATCGAACAGTCGGGGAATGAATCTTCTTGACATTTGTGCCAAATAGTGATAAGGAGCATGTCGCAAAACCTAAAGCATCGATTCCACGAAACTTAATTGTTCCACTTTAAATGTAATATTGCTTGTGTGTTCTGCAGATTTTATTTTTTAAGTCGTCTCGGTATAAAATGGCGACGTAGTGATGTGACAACCCCTTCTTTGTATCGCACTTTACGCCCACGAGGACACGTGCAATTTATTATCGGGCTCGCGGGATCGAACAGTGATGACGTAAAACTGCACGTCTGCACAAGTGCAACACTGGGATATTTTTTATCTCATTTCCTAATTTGAAGGAAACCGAATTTCCACGAGGTTCAGAGAAACACATCTACTGAAATCCACCCGTGTTCACCTCATTTGAAATGCAACACTAAAAAGGCCTGGCTTCTGTACAAAAAAGGTTGTCCTGCCTGGAATGAATCGCATATTTGTAATTGCGATGTTGCAGATGGCACGTAGAATGCCGTGGTGCGGAAATATCCTGTCCGTGAGTAATAAGCCAGATTTAAATCTTGGCTTAAAGATTTCGTGACTGCAGGAATTCATATTCTTTGGGTCTTTCGGTAAAGTCACGTAGATAGGTGCAAAGAAAATAACAAAAAACTACGACGTTTCGATCGCAACACAAGCGGTCGTCAGCAGGGAAACTGAGTTTGCCTTTAGAAGTAAACCCCCTTTTCCTGATGACGACTGCTTGTGTTGCGATCGAAACGTCGTAGGTTCAAAGAAAATAATAAAAAAACTATCTACGTGACTTTACCGAAAGACCCAAATAATATGAAGCCAGATTTAGTTAGAGCCTAGTCTCACATGGGTTGGTCGAACCCATGTGAGACGAGGCTCGAAGGAAAGCTGTCTCGGGTGTGGACCAATCAACTTCAAGGACAGTGCACATTATCAGAGTTATGTTTTTGTTTGCAATGACTGCAGGTATTGTGGTCTATGTAAACATGACTCCTTGTAAAAAGGTGTCGGTTTTGTTGCCAGATACAAGGGTAAAAAACCAATTATCATATTTTTACTGGCAAATGAGGTTCCAATGGTGCAGATTTAGTTTGTTGGAGCACTTGCATTAGCAATGTGAATATAATGTTAGAAGTGGGATTTTTTAAAATTAAATCTTGTGCAGCAGTGTATGTTGATGAGAAGCAAGCATTTTGCCTTGTATTATTTACGACAATTCCAAGGGACAATTAAATATATTTCGTGATTTTTTTTAATATTACTGTGATTTAGCATTTAAAGCTGGTGGGGGAATGGTGGCACACTGGTTGGTGCATTGCACTATGAACCTCGCAAAGTCCCGAGTTTGGTTCTCTGCCATGGCTAAGTGGTGAGTGATATCCCAGCCACTGTCGGTTAAAAGTGCCACGCAATAACCGCAACGCATGGCTGGAATAAGCCTCACCCCCCCCCCCACCCACAGATTTGCTTTAATTGTAATCGTCGGATATTAGAATTTCAAGCAACGATAAAAGGCTTGACTTGTTAATGTTGCTACATAACAATTGTAGTAAAATATCCAATTTTAAATGGACACTTTTAAAAAAAAAATAAGCTTGACCTGTTGGGTTAATTCCCTGGGGCAAACAAAATCGTATAGTGCTATCAATGCACGTAATTATGTATTAATTATCATATAGATTTCTGTAAAAAAAAGTACAGTATATCTTTTAAACAAGATGTTATTTCAATGAAAATTATGTGTACGTATTGTGAATCTTCTTTGGTCATTGTGTAAAGTTTACTGTTGTAAATGGCATTTATTTTAAAGCTGCAAAAGTTTTAAACCCAGCGTTGTACGTTTGCTATAAATTGAGCCAACGACCTGTGTGTAAACCTTGAAATTAGTTCAAGTTTGAGAAGCCTATGGAGTAATGTTCTTTTAAAATGATTGTTGCAATTTGTAACTTTATATAAAAAATAAAGACCTAAACTAGTTCTATTACATGTTTTTTTCTATAAAGGTACTCCACCTTTCAACAAACAAGGTGTTGAATTTGACACGTCCAGTATTGTTTTGGAAATAAAACCCAATATTGGTGTGACTTAAAAAAGGCCTTTGTGTTGATGGTTGAGTGCATTCTATACTGGTTGGAACCTCCTGGTTACACCAGCCCACAGGGGATTATTGTGTCTGTCTGTCGTGCATCCAAAAATGGGAGGGGAGGGGCTGGGTGAGGGGTGGGGCTGGATGGGGAGGGGCTAGTCACCCAGTGGTACCCTTAAAACTCAACGTTTAACCTACTCACGCCGGCTTGTGCCCGCCCTCAGTCGGGCATATTTGCGGAACACACCACGCCACCGTTGACCCTGGCCATTGACCGAGCAACCAAACGTTCCTACCAGCTCCCTCCGCAGGAATGTGTTAATCGTGGGTCCATTGGTGTAAGATGTATGGCGTTTCATTCACAATCTTCACGTAGCAGCATGAACACCCTGGTTGACAAAATTGGGAGAAGTAAACCGGATCTTCATCACTAGACATGCAAATACTTACAATGCCCGTGACAAAACGGTGGTGAAATGTTAACTACCTCGCCTGGTATACAGGAGGTCGTGGGTTCGACCCTGACACCTGTATTATTTGGAGCTTGGACGTCTCACTCCATCGTCGCGTGGATTCTTCTCCAGGTCCTTTGGTTTGTTCCTCCATTTAGAAACATGCGTTTAAGAGTATCTGAAGCCACTTCCTTGAGCTGTCATTTGTGGCCAGGTTGCATCTGAAAAAGAACTATATAGCCGAGTGGGCCTTGCCTGGTAAAATAAAATATAGTTAAGTCTTGTGCACCAACGCGTTTAGGTGATTTGCATGCACCTTACCTCAGCTCGATCAACATGCTAAGCCAAAGGTGGTTAGAACAGCAAGAACCTCGTTCAAAATACATCACGAAATGCATATTTTCAACTGCCGTGCATGTGTATATATTGCTTGCCAAGTCTGTTTTATGATGTTGTAAGTGTTGAAGACCCAGTCAAAACAGATGAATGCACAGTAACATGACAAGTGTGAGCGATTTTTATTCAACTGAATCTTGTTGCATACAGACACACAAAATACATCGGTGAAAATGATAGCAAGCTTATTTGGATTGGAGCTATTGGGTTAAGCCCCATGAGGTAGCTTTGAAATGTTATTTCTTAGAATTTCTTGGCGTTTGCGAATACATTATTTGTATGGGGATCGCAGGCAAAGCGATCGGTTATTCAATTAACTTCACGGGACATGGCAGTGGAAACTGCTTCAGCAACACCCTTGCCTACCAAGAGACGCACACAACACAATGTACGTTTCTACGCTTAAAGGCCGACGCTAAGCTGGATTTGGTAGAACGCGCAAGGATTATTTGAACACTCCGCATGCTTTTATTTAAGTTCCCGCTTTGTGTTAAATCCAACACAAATCGGGCACCGGTGACCATAGCAACATCTTCGTTCTTAAACAGGAGCGCGGGCAGTGTGTTGCAGAACCCAGTTTACAGTGTCGGCCTCCCTCGGCGCTTTGCGTTACATCACCTGCATTGTTGTTGTGCGGCGTATGTCGGCAGGCGAGGTGTGCTGAGCCAGCTGTCGTTGCTGCGAACAATTTAAACGGATTCCTGGGCTTGCTTGTAGTCAAACAAGCTGCCTCTTTCAGCAAAAGCTCTGGCTGGCTCACGCCCATCGGTGGCACGCGGCTCTTCGCCGCCGTGGTCAGCGTTGTCTTCCAGCTTTCCAAAGCCGCCGCCTCCTGGTGTTTGCAGGCAAAACGTGTCCTGGGAAAAGAGGGGGGGGGGGGTCCAACAACACTGCTGTTATGCCTTGCAAAAGGTATCTGTTTGGTGTGTGAATACTTCAACACCTCCTCTGTTTGATTCCCAGAAAGGCTCAAATCTATTGTAATTTTTCAGAATTTTTGATACTGGCAAAAGGGTCTTTCTTTGGTTCTTTCGGTAAAGTCACGTAGGTATAAAATTAAATAAATCACGACGTTTCGGGCGCAACACAAGCGTCCGTCAGTTGGGAAAGCATGGTCTGCTGCTGAGGCAGACTGTTTTAAAAGGTTTGAAATGGGTGTAGCTCAAGGGTTATAACGAAGTGGCCAGGGCGCTTGTGTTGCGCCCGAAACGTCGTGATTTATTTAATTTTATACCTATGTATTTTATACCTATTATACCTATTTCAGGGCGAAATGCACTTGCAGGTATGGGCCCGTTTTGTCAATCGACCCCTGGATGAGGGGCCTCCGCCACGCCTTATAGGGCCATGAAGGATATTTGACCATACTTCACGCGGTGCCATTTGGTGAAGGTGGGAGGGGTGGAGAGCAGAGCCATGGATTTTGCTGCACTGCCACGCACTGCCCCCACCACATCCTCAAACGCACCTGTTGTCCACATTCGGTGGCTACCTGTGCAAGCATTATCCCCGGCTCTGTGCATTCTGGGGTGATTTGGTGATGGGCAAGGGGTGAAGGATATGATTCTACACATGGGGCGTGGACTGTGCTCAATATTATAAATGACGAGCTTTACTACCCGGCTTTGCCCGGGACTTGGATTCACCACGCCCGGCCGCCTTTGTCTCCCCAGTGGCGATGTTCACACACCACACCAGCTACTCGTTTGAGGCTGAGTCGACCATTTGGATGAGGCCCAGGACCGGTTCAAATAATCGTCACCGGTGGTGGCCGTGAGCGGGAATCGAACTCGGGTCGCCGGTTTCGTAGCGCAGCACGCTAACCACTACACTACCGTTTCCCCACACACAAACGCGCGTGCGCGTCCATATGTACACACATACACACGCTTGCAGCAGACACACACAACTTTCAGGGTGCGTACGGCAGTAAACGACTAAAATAATAAAGCAACACATTTGTATTTCACTTTACCCGCGATCAGCAGGCACACTCCGTTACGCTTCCGCACACGGGTCACATGACAGATGTGACGTCACAGCTCACTTGCCGTGCAAAATATAATCATTGCGACCCCCCCTCCCCCCCAAAAAAATACAAAAGTGTATTTTTATAATTGTTGCATGGTGTACAGTCTGGAAAGTACCCACATGGCAAATTTCAAGTTTGTTGCATGTCGGGAAGTACGCTAAACATTTTGAGCAGACAGACACACATTCACAAATTTCCCTTTTATATATATAGATTATATATATAGATACACGAAATTGTAATCTTTAAGCGTGGAGCGGTGGCACAGCGGTTAGAGCACTGCTGCAAAGCCAGCGACCTGCGTTTTTATTTATGTATGTTCAACTTCTCTCCCGCTGTACGCAGCCAACCGTGCTGTGCGGACGTTTAATTCCTGGAAATGGCTCAGTGGCGAGTGATATTTGAACCGGTCCAGAACCCCATACATGGGGACCCATTGTTAAACCAGCCCCACGACCAAAACGGTATGGTGAGGCCTCCTTCAAAGAGGGGATTGGCAAAAGGGCTGAAACTTTAAAAAAGCGCTTTTAATGCTTTTGTGCGCCAAATAACTGTCAAATGTATATTTTTTAAATGCTGCATCATGCAAGACTTAAAAAAAAAATGTGTATTGAGGCAAGGTCACTTAATGTTGTCAATGGAAAGACACGGCACTTGCATTATACCCATACACCTTGCAACACCACTGGCTCAGGTTATTTTGTATAACAACCCAAAAAAACTTTAATCGCAAAAACCCAACACATCTGAAGATGACATTTGATTTGCTTGCTGTTAAGGCTTCTCGCCTTATTATTAGTAGTGTCGAGAAAAGCCTGTTTTAAAATCCTATTTCAGCAAAAAGCAAATGAGCATGATTGTTGGTTTTGCATGGATAGATCCGAGAGGCTAAAGTCTTCGATGTGCATAACGTGTCACGTCTATTTTGAGTGTTTCACACCCTGCCGTGGAATGGATTCTCACAATTTTTGTTGTTTGCCCATTGCAAATACTGCACCTGGCTCCGATAACTACGGATAGTTCAGATCTCATATAAAAGGGGTTCAGCTCTAAACGTGTTTTATTTACTTTACTTACAGCTTTTCTATGAGAAACAAGCGAAAAAAACCCCTAATAACTACGTCAGGTTATTGCTTCCTTTACTACGGCATTGTTCACTCAGCGGTGGGGATTAGCGTACCACCGCTACACAAATTCATCGTCTAACAACCTCTTTTCCAAAAGCAGACTCGCTCTTGCCTGCTGCGTCACACTTGAATGTTTCACTGCCTCAATTTCTTGGGGTTTTCCCAAGGTATTTCAGTCGTCATCTCACCGATTTTGAGCCCTTTGGGGGTTGACATGTCCTTGTGTGTGTGTGTGATCTCATCACTCTTTTTAAAATGCTCACAAGTTTATTTGAAAGAACACCCATTCACCGTGAATAAGATCAGCAAACAAAATATCGGGCTTAACAACACAAAGGTGTGCTCACAAACAACTACCGTGATGCCCTGCACACGTATTATGTTGATCACCACATTGCTTGCACAATGCTATGTGCGCCTCGTTTAAAAACTCGGTTGCAGCTATTACTCTTACGGCTGCAATTTTCACACCTCATCTGACCAATAGAGCACGTGTCCAACGGGGTGGTGACATTTTAAAGAGTACTCGTGGGGTGTAGGATTCTACCATTGCGTTGTATGAAAAACCCAGAGGCAAAGAGTTAGAAAGGGTCTAATAAAACCTTTTGTATTTTCAAAACAACAAGGGTGTCAAGTAAGGGTGAGTTTCGGATTACATTTTGGAGTTATGCAAATTATCTTCCTGCGAGCAACAGTGCTGTCACGCGACGGGAAAGTGTGGAAGTGATGTAATATCAGCGATGTCGCGTCCAGTAAGAGGATCAATCCAAAACAAGAATGGTTTTGGTTTCAGATCTCCTGATATTTCGTATCTTGGCTTGATTTACCGATTTTCTATTTATCAATATATCGATCGGGAGCACATCCCCAGTATGCAGATGTCTGACAAGTAATTTTCAGCATTTTGTCGCGTTGGGGATCACTGCACAGATGCTACTTGCAATAGACCTGTCACGCCTTATCAACTGAAATCTGTCTCACTCCAACGTTCCGTAATTTTTCTGTTTATAAAAAAGTGACATTACCAAATTGTGCAAACTGATACTCTTTGTTTTTTTTGGTAAGGTCGTCATCAGGCAAAGGAGTACGACCGCTTGTGTTGCGATCGAACCGTCGTGATTTGTTTATTTTATTTTATTTCTACCTACGTGACTTTACCGAAAGAACCAAAGCGTATGGATTCCTGCAGTCACGAAAACTTCAAATCTAAGATCTGCAAACTGACTTTAAAATAAATGAAGCTTCAACAACTCTATTCACTTTGTTTCCAATTCACTGTTTTATCTGAATACCGTAAGTGTAATTTATTTGAATACACATTGTTTCATTGTTTGTAAAATCTATAGGCCAGATACAATCGTTTACATTGTCCAAATAAAAATATATCGTATCCTACTCGTGAACAGGGATAAACAACGTACGTATGTTTTGTTCAGTGCATTCACCCCGGTTCCCATTAGACTCGGACAGAGAGCCACACCGTACATTACAACGTGTTGCGAGCCATGGATTGCACTTCGCACCAATCACAATTAGGCGACTCCTTGATTCTCCACTGATTGGAGGATTGGAGGAGCAAGCCGCAACCTCCCATGTGAAGCTGCTCATCCTCGCATAATCGTGGAAAGCCCCGTGCCTGTCACTCATCTGCATTGCCGGTCATCGTTATTGTCATGACACTTGGCTCCCAATGCCAATGTTGTGTGTGGCCGTGTTATTGTAATTGCTTCCTGCAGACAGTGTTGGCGGTGGAGATTCCTCACCCCGGGCTGCACGGATACGGAGGATTTGGCTTCCAGCTCGAGGCTCTCTCCGTTCGCCCGGATAAACCAGTTCCGTCCGGTAGCCCCAGGAGCTCCTCCTGCAGTCCCAATGGCAATGCCACAACCAAAGTGAAAAACAATACAATTTGAATTTCATCGTCGTCGTCATCATCATCATAATCTATGTTGGAATATAACTGATTCTTTGCAATTGATTGTATCACAAGGAAGGTGTATTGTTATTAGTTGTGCTCTAGCCACTGCTGGATGAAGGCCTCTCCAAAGCCATCACCATCTCATGGTCCTGCGATGAAACAAGCCATCGAGCGCATGCTGCACACGAGCCGATTTCAAAGCTCGATGTACGAGGTGGACGTCTTCTCGGAGGGCATTTCATCGTTTGGCTGTCTTTGCCTTCGACATCATCGATTATAGAACCATACGCAGGTTAATGACAAGTGGGGGCTTTGGGAGGGCACATCGTCGTTTGAGCAACCACAACTCTCGACACTGTACAGAAACACTGTGACATTGGGGGCATCCAGCGGGGAAAAAAGAGGCATATGTAGAGGTTTTTATTTTATCGAGCGACAGACCCTCAGTCACGGGCAGAGAACAAGGGGAAGGGGTATTGAGCCTGGATTTGAACACGAGCAGAAGTCGACAGCACGTGTGGCTATGGGGCCAGTCGAGGAGAATGAGCAACCACCCACAGTAATCGTCTACCAATAGCAAAATTAATTTTTTATTTGCTTATTTATGGACCAAACTCCACAATCCTTTGCCCGCCTCTGTCTCCTTGTGCAGAAATTAAATGTTAGTTTTTTGTATCGTTGCTGTACACTGAACATGTAACACGAGTGAAGAAAACACGGGCAAACTGACTTCAACATTTATCACTATGCTCCCATAGTTACCGTGATAATAATTTACAGCGCTTTGTCAGTCCACTGTTGGAAGAAGACCTCCACAATAATGGCGGGGGGGGGGGGTCTCTGGTGACAATAACTCACCATGCTGATCAGAGCAGACTGGTAAAGGGCATTCCATAAGTTCAGGTGTCGATCATCGCAAACAAAACATCCGGCGGATACGATGGCACACTGTGTCATTACATAACTATGTGGGTACGCGATATTTAATCGAGGGTCAACTATTTAGTTTAAGGCGATTCACGTGATCCACACACACGCGTATATATATAAACTATGAAAGGTATTATCTCAACATGCCATTGTTGTGAATGTGAAAACAGCTCATGAAAATGTCGAACTACAGTCATGGGCATGTTTCGTTGGCATAACAATTCAACTCGGAAGATTTTATCAATATATCTCAATTTTGCTCCCGTGAAAGGATTTAATTTTGGCATTTATTTTTGCCACCTCTCAGTAACTTCTCGTTTGTTATATAAAATAGGTGATGTTTCAGGCAATGGCCCTTTCTTGACAGGTTGCCCAAAACGTTGCCAATTATTAATACTTTTCCTTACTTTCAGGGCAATGTTATTAACATGTCAATGCAGCATCACATTTTTTTCAATTTAATATACAAATGTTGTTGTTGCAGTGTTAAGATGTCCCGACTATCGACGTTGTCGCCTTGGTGCGGAGGAGACGAGCTTGTCGTTGGAAATGACGCGGGGAGAGGGCAAAGCGGGTAAACAGTGCTCGTAGTACCGTTCAGCCCGTACGGCGCAAAGCGCCGGCGCTCTGTCAGCACGGAGAGCAGGAGGGGGCGGCGAAAGAGCAGCTCCCGCGTCACTCCATCGCCGCCAGAGTGCCGCCCCTTTCCCCCCGTCCCAGCATTCAGTGCGAACTTCTGCAGCACAACGGGGTACCTGGGCAGAAGCATTTGTTACTGGTTTGGAAATGCCATTTTGAGGTGGGGTTGCCGCCTCTCAGGTAACAACAAATCTGGGACATATCGTGGGAGAAGTACATCTCGCATATCAGAAATAAACTATACAAACTATTCAAAACTATTTTTTATTTTACCAGGTAAGACCCACTGAGCTGTGTAGCTCTTTTTCAGAAGCGACCTGGCCACAAATGATAGCTCGACGAAGCGGCTTATCACGTGGAAATTGATAGCAGCCAAATACTCTTAAACGCATGTCTCTAAATCCGGATGGAAAAACCGGAGGACCCGGAGAAAAGTCCACGGAACTAAGGGGAGAACATGCAAACTCCAAATAATATAAAGGTGTCAAGGGTCGGGATCGAACCCACCACCTCCTATAAACCAGGCGAGGTAGTTACCATCTAAGAAGGGGGGCGAGTAACTACTACTTGAGTGGTGGATTACATCACAAACTGGCAAAAACCAGTTAATGTTAACATCCCGGGAGGACTTATAGATGACATAATTCGATACAAATTAAAGTTCACACGAGACGTATCTCTTCCACTCTAGACCGGTGCTCTTCTTTCCATGCCGCCGCGGTGACGGCAGAGGGGACAGTGGGGCGGGTGAGGCGGTGCGGATTGCGTGCACCTCTTCTCCAGAATCTCGGGGTCCGTGATGCGAGTGTTGGTCATGTGAGTGTGGACCCCGCTGCGGCCGCTCCAGTGCGGCCCGGCGCCAGCGCCGCCCGCCACCGTCTCGTAGTAGCCGACCTCCTCGTCTCCAAACGTGATGTTGTTCATGCAGCCCTGGAAAGGCCATTGGCGACACCGTACAGCAGACTTCGTTAATGCCAGAGGTGCAGAACATTTTCCTTCATCGTCGTCGTCATCGCCATCGTCAACGATTATCTTAATCTTAATGAGATTAAGGCCTCTCAACTCACCGTTTGACAATGTAATAACCGCACCTTCGCTTAGCACGGTTGGCGACGTACGGTGCGAAATAAGTTCAACAAACACACGTACAGACAACACACCGAGCACCTATACACAAGCCAATTTCATCACTCCATCTTCAGGACATTTAAATACCTTTGGCAGTCCACACAGTAACAAGCACCTTACAATAATAAAGTGTTGTAAAGTAATGGATAAGTCGACCGAGTATAACAAAACCATTGCAGTGAGACAAGTGATTAAGCGCACTCAAAGCAGAGTTAAAAAAATATTCCTCTATAATACCAGAGTAGTGCGACCGAGATGCCTGCAGTGGCAGATAAATATTGTTTACGGGCTGTTTCAAGTGGTAGGTCTCATCGCGTGGCCTCAGGCCATATGAATTAAAAGTTAGAGGCTCGACTTGGCCTGCGTGCCATGAATTTCGCACCCCTGGTAAATATTGTATGTTACCATGTTTACAGGATGCACTTTTCCCCATGTATTTTAAAGTCAAAGTTTCGGGGTGAGTCTTATATTCCGGTACATGCATATGTGTGGCCATATTTGTAAAACTTTAATGATAGCAGATATGCATTAAGGATGCGTCTTACTTTCTAGTGTCTTATAATTTGGAGAATATGTAAAGTTAAGATGTAACCATGCTCAAGTGAACATTGTGCAGTGTTCACGTTTTGTGGCAATGCAGTTCCCATTGTGCATCTGTGAAAAGAGCTTCATAGCTCACCAGATCTTTCCAGTCTAAACAAAGTTCCTGAATCATGGTGGAGAACTTCTTCCGCAACGTACGTAAGCCAACCGTGCTAATCGGAGATATGTAAAAAAACATGTAAAACAATTCCCCATCGCCGTATCTCTCTCTCTCCACCGACCTGCGATGCAGCGCACACAGAGAAGGCTCGGAAGATGACGTCGACGATGCGTTGAGACGTCAGGACGTTCCCTCCCACCACGGCGGCACCCAGAGAGGGCGACAGTATGGAGCCCTCCGGGATCACCACCCTCACAGGGAACAGGCAGCCCTGCCGCCCAGTAGGCACGCACAGTGGTGGGGGCATGGAAGCCCACGAGGGTGGGGGGAGACGGAATGGAGAATTGGGGAAGGGAGGGGGGATGGAGGGTGGGTGAGTGTATGCAATTTACAATCTTTATAATGAACAGGTCAGTTTTCCAAAAGGTGTTTTTCAAAATAGTAGGGGCTCAGCTCTTCTGGCCTCTAATAACAAGCCTCCACTGCTGCCACCAAAGACAAAGATCACCCGTGTAGCCTTAACAAACTGTTGAGGCAAGTGCTGTTAGCGAGCACCTATGAAGGCCGACACGGCACACGAGGGCGTGGGACGGCCAGCACCACGCCTGAGCGCCTTTGTCTACCGATTGGCGATATTTGCACATCGCACAAGGTACCAATTTGAGGCTGAGCCGACCTCGGGGAGGCCCCAAGACTGGTTCAGGTAATCGTAACTGGTGTTGGCTGCGAGCGGGAATCGACCTCGGGTTTGCTGGGTTCATAGTGCGGGGCGCTAACTGCTGCGCCACCGCTCCCCACACTGCTGCCACCATAAACACATTACACAGCCCACCAAGAGCCTCATCACAAACCACCACTGCACTCCTTTTCCCAGCCAGCAGGGAATTACACGCAACACATGCATCCTGCCGACACACATCACCAAGTGACAGAAAACCCTTAATTAGAATTGTCGTGTTTTGCAATTTGACTTGTTTTGTTTGAATACGTTTTTTTTATTGATTACAAATTATGCCGAGAAATCAATATGATCAATAAAAATGTATATGTACGTTAAAACATGCAAACTGTTTATGACACTAATATGTATGATGTACATCCACTACAAATGTGAATGAGAAAGAAGATATACGCTACATATTATGAATTCCATCTCATCACAAACAGATCTAATCACAAAGCGTCGGCTGTGAAAACAATGCATAAATCACAGCAAACTTACGCCATGAGCTGTAAAGGGAAAACAATATCCTACTTATTCATGCAAACATACCCATGTTTGTTAGATTAACATAATGCTACCCTCTGAAAAGTTAATTTTTAACAAGCCAAGGTTAGGTAACTTTGACAATAAAAAAAACATTATGCAGGCTTTCACGGTTGTGCTGTACAAATGACTTGCTTTCGGCTCATACCACGTGCTGTTTGGCACGATGTCCGACGTTTGGCTCCACATGCTGAGAGCTCATTGGGCAGCTACTTCAGGAAGCAAATGGAGCAACCGACGTCAACCTTACTAAAGCAGAATGTGAGCACTGCTCCAGCATGTGAAGCGAAACGTCGGACATCGTGCCAAACAACACACGGTGCAACCCGGAAAACACAATAGAGAGCTTGGTTAACTTTGTCCAACTAAACTATTTGTATTTTACCAGGTAAGGCCCACACTGAGCTGTGTAGCTCTTTTCAGAAGCGACCTGGCCACAAATGATAGCTCAACGAAGCTGCTTATCATCGTGTGGAAATTTATAGCAGCGACAATACTCTTAAACGCACGTTGATTCTGAATGGGCAATGCTTGGGCAATGCCAAGCTGTACAGACCTGATTTAGAGGAATGTCCTGTCCCACCATGGAACGCAGGCAGTATATGAGTGCGGAGAGCGTGATGGCACGGGGAGCATTACAATTGCCCTTCACCTCTGGACCGGTCCCTGTGAAATCAAAGACCGCACTGCCCTGCAGGGCATGCAATTGTGACGAGTTTAAAGGCAACAAGAATTAACCGAGCATAAGAGGAGTGGGGGGGGGGTGAGATCAATTTGTCAATGCGCCCTGACACCAGTTCTGTTTTAATGTTTGAAGAGGTCAATGTGTCTGTTTCTTCTTGAAGCATTCCAAAGAAGTGACGTAAATAACAAAGGCTTTGGGTACCAAGCGAAATACAAAGATTGTGAAATGCAACAATAATAATGAAATATTTTTTTATATACTGGAGGAGGATGTCTTAGAGAATTTTTATAATCCACGTAAGAGATGATAATGTTAAATGAATCACACTGGCTTGATTAAAACACACAAACACACTTTGGAAAGTTTTGTTGTATCACCACCTAACTGACGTTTGCACCACAAACATAATAATTCACTCACTCCACGCACTTAACATTCCTACTTCCTATACAATGGGTTTTCGTCCCAAATTTCCCAGGACACGCCTCATTTCCATTTTAAATTTCCACAAGTGTGCATAACTTGTTTCAGTCGAGTCCATGCTGCACGCACTTTTCTGTTTATCGTAACGTATTTCACCTCTGCACTGTATGGTCGCACTCACATATACGTGGTTGAAGACACCTTCAACTCTTGTATGGCAGTGTGATGTACCGGCATTGGGGAGATTCCCAGATTTGTTTAAGCAAATATACATAAATATCACAAACAGGCCACACCTTCATTAGTAAGGATCAATAACATCTGCATTGCCAGAGCTGAATGCTTTAAGGCCATGGTACATGAAGGATAAATATCACTGGCTACAAACCCTGTTTACTCTGATGCATCATTATGGCACAGTCATGTGACCCCCTGTCTGTCATCTGAATGGAAGTTTCCATCCCATGTATCCACTAAGGGGAACAGCAATGAACCTCACCCATACAAGAGAAAAAAATGTTTTTGTTACAATAAAAAGTGGCGCGGAAAATATAAAATATCGCCGGTGACGATTTCCCTCGCGTATCACGGCCTTCACAAGACAGACGCACGACAGATAAATGTCTACGCAGAGCGGAGCAGCACTCACATCGGCAGGGTTGATCTCCACCGACAGACGGATAGGCGTTCCATCATCCATATGGTCCTCGGCTTCCACCCGAAGGGGCCCATCATTGCCGGGAGCCAAGAGACCGAGCGCAAACTCCTTGAGCATTTGCCTGACCGCCACCTCTGCATTGTTCTGTAGGGCAAATGATTAAGAGTAAAAACAAAGGAGGTATAACCCGGAGTCGGAAATTAAACTCAAGTTGCTGGGTTTGTAGCATAGCATGTGAACCACTGCGCCAACACTCCCCACTGCCGACTACTGGGCCAGTCACATGCACATACATGATAAGCATACTGTATCGTTCCGCGTACTGTATCACACCGCTCAGTCATACAGCTCAAGAAAGTCGTTTTTGTTGTCGACCGCTTGAACAACCGCGTTGGAGCGTGCATGCTGCGCGTTATGAAACACACGCTAAGCGAGGACTTGCCAGTCGTATTATTACACTTGTTTACCCAGGAAAGCGTCGCTGAGTCTCCTTAATATTTTTCAGGAGATGTAATGTTTGCAATGTTTGCTATATATAGTCAAATTGGGTAATTTGTGGTTAATTAAAACATTTGGATCATGGCAACGGCATACATTGGCCTACTGTTGCCAATGACGCCACGGTGTCATTTAACATTCACTGCGAAGCAAACAGCGTGCGCATTGTTTTTGACGTTTAATGAGCACCACAGTAATAACCGGGGCGGCTGTTGGATTAGAGCCGTGTGCCTCTGCAACAAGCAGCGAATGCTTGGCATGCTTTCAGAGCAAGAGCTGACAAAATAATTATACGTGTGGTACAATAGCACTGGGTGGAGTGGTACGAGTTTGACTCTCGGCCAAGGCTTACATTAGTGCTGAGTGATATTTGAAGCCATCCTGGAACTATTGGCAAATGAAACGAAAAACACATTTCACATGATGCCTGTGCACAGTCATTGCATAATGCCTTGAGGCTATTAACCCGCAAGACCTCAGTTTAATAATTAATTAGTGGTTGCCAGCACAGCGCTCTGGGTCATAAGCCACCAGACCACCTCACGAGGTTTTAACATTTAACTGTTGAATTAAATTATGAACTTATGTGTAAATGGTTCCTGATGTTTTTACCGTTGTATTTGATTTGTTGGTACTCTATATTGCTTTTTATGAGGGTCTACTGCATATCACCTGGTTAAAAATGACTTATCGATACATTTATAGTTAACACAGCTCTATCTTGACAAGACTTACCTACATTCACATAGTAGGGACCAAGTAAACTAAATCCAAACAGGTCAAAATCTTTAACACCAAAGTGAAAAACAAAATATCTTTGGGAAGGTATATATTGCAGTGTACATCCCTTCATTAAGCCACTGCTGGATGAAGGCCTCTCCATGACCCTTGGGGGGTGATGTATGACTCTACTTGACCGTGCTGGTCATTGCCGGTTGGTGAAGGAGTGCCCAGGGGGACTGGTTGCAAATATCGCTCGTGGCCGGGGCGACGGCTGCTGTTCAGCCAGACTTGCCTGTATGTGCTGCATGTAGGCCTGCACGGTGGCCAGGCCGTACGCGTCGATGAGCTGTCCGACGAGAGCAATGCCACGGGTGTTGGCTGCCACCTGAGCGCGCAGGTCCGACAGGTTGTCCTGAAGGTTGCGTGTGCCGCTGCTGCCGGGCACGAGGCCGGGAGCCATGAGCGCTTCGGTCACCGCTGAGTGTTAGAGAGGAGGGCGTGGGCAATCACTCGGCTTGAGACATCTCTTGTACAACCTTTGCCAGATTGTCAAGGGGGTGGGGGGGGGGTAAGTGCTGTTTGTGAGTATGGAGTAACCAGAATAATTCTGTACGTTTGGTATTTGCGCCGGTGTTGATTTCACAAGGCTATGGCGGAGGCGCTAAGTTTCACACAGTCTGCAGTCACTGTACAGGATGGGGTGATGTTGCAGCTGACTAGTTTGCAGGAAATATTTTTTTCTTCCAAATTTGGCACAGAGTGGGAGATTACGAGCCCACAGAGCCTCAAGGCTCTCAACAGGTGTAGAAACAATGGCCTATTGTTTTTGAATGACTTCACAGGACCTTTAAGTTAATACATCTACAGTATTAACCAGAGTGGCCTGCAGGGGTTGGATCACGAACCTTTGCAACAAGTGACGAATGTGATATTACAGCCCCAAGTGCCAATGACAACCAGTAACTGGGAATGTTCCTGGTTTTGATAGACATTTGGGGCCCATTGTCCTCTCAGAGCTGATGTTTACAGATTGCGCTGGGTACTCAAATATGACAGTCAGCCTAGGGGAGGTGCCAGAACAAGTTACTACTTGCCACTGATGTTGGCTGTGACTGGATATCGAATTTAAGTCACCGGGTTTGTACAAGTATGTTGACCACAGTGCCACTGCTCCCCACTGCTATCTACTGGGTCACCCATACACACAGATGCAGTCAAATGCACTCTTGTAATAGGCTGGGCCAGTCAGCCAGTGTTCTCATAGCATCACGAATTGGCCAAACCAATCCAATGGAGTTCCATAATCAGACCTTCCTCCTGGAAGATGCCATCCTTCACGAGCTTGAAGGAGATGAACACAGCCCCCTCCTGCTGCAGCGTGGTGGAGTTTGGTGGCATTGAGCCGGGTGTGATGCCCCCGATGTCTGCGTGGTGCCCGCGGCTCGCCACGAAAAACACAGGCCTATCCACGCCTGCCCGGAACACCTGTCAACACACGACACAAACACCCCTTGTCCACTGGCACATCTGAGCCGAGCCAGTGCAAGACCCTGCTGGCATGGGTGGTTTTCCGCTAGATATTGTGCTGAGCCAGAACCAAACCGTGATACAATGGACCTCAAAAGGCATCTGAATCTGGCGCCTGGGCCAAGCAGGGCCAGTACTTACTGGGGTTATGACGGTGAGATCAGGCAGGTGGCTCCCTCCAGCACACGGGTGGTTGCTCAAGATCACGTCGCCTTCTTTGATATCTCCCAGGTTTCTGATCTGAAGTGCAGGGCAAGCCACGGGGACACAACAGCATAGGGAACCATACAGGACAACACCACTACATGTTACGGCATCTTTGCAGACATATCTGTATAAATATCATCATGATCACTGTTGGGACACCCTGCTGATGCCCCTGCAGTGATTCTTTTTCAATCAGCGGGCCAAAGGGCAACTGTCTTCGGTGTCTATATACGAGTTGCTATTTTATTTTATTACATTTCAGAATAATTCGACGTGTGACATACTTATCACACATCATTTACATAAGCAACCTTTAATGTCTGTATACGAGCTGGTATTTTCTTTTTTTTCCATCTGGTGTCCGCAGCATCCCTGTTCACACGAGAGCGCAGCCGCTCCCTCAAGCTCTGCTGCCCATTTCTACATCGGCGGATTAAGTTGGGAGGTGGTGGCGAGGACGGCCGTACCTGGTACTGCACCGTCTCCTGCATGGCACCCAGGTGCACGGGGATGTGGGGGGCGTTGGAGACGAGGCCCCCCTCGGGTCCGAAGAGGGCGCACGAGAAGTCGAGGCGCTCCTTGATGTTGGTGGAGATGGCCGTGCGCTGCAGAATGCGTCCCATCTGCTCTGTGGTGGGAAGGTAAATCTCGTGTTAAAAAAACACTGGTCAACAAAAAAAAACATTTTTTTCTGGCCTGGACTTTTGCAGCTGTTCCAAATCTGATCTCAGATTTGCTCTATCACATCTAATTTTTATGCTATCGGCATACCCCATTTTCATTGATTTTACCCGAAATTAACTCTGTCACTTATGATTGCAAGTTGTTGCGAGCCAGTGACTGCTTTAGTGTTAAAATATGGTGCTGTATTTTTAGGATAGTGTGTTTATATCATTTTATGTAGATATCCACATTTATTTAATATTTTTCTTCTGCAAGTTTTTATTGAAAATGCAATATTAGATATCTCAAAAACCTAATGTGATAGACTAAAACTGATGCCAGATTTGGAATCAGCACCCCAAAATTACCTTAAAAGTGTTGGAAAACCTTATGCCAGAAAAAGTGTGTTGACCAGTGTAATTTCAGCTTGCAACATGCCACACTGCATTAGTTCAACTCTGACGAGGGAGAACAACTCGAGGAGGCGGGGTGGGGAGAACCACAAGCAAGCGGGAAAGACAGCCAGGCGGTGAGCCGGCGACGACAATTTGCCTTGTGAGATTTTTATACCACTTTTTCACTCTTCCACTGTACAACTAAGCTGACCAGGGCTGTCCTAAGATGGACCGCATAGCCCAAGAGGCGCGGGGGGCAGGAAAAAGGGAAGTAGAATAACAGGGGTTTAATGATTCACATTCTCCCTCTCAATTAAACAGATATTCGCGATTCAGCGTAGCGATTAAATAAAATAATATTTTTCTTTACAATACGGTGATGTAGTGGCCTGGAGCAGATCGAACAGGAGTCACGTAAACACGGTACTGTACGTGAATCGAACACCAATGACTCTTATCTGCACAAATCAATGTGCACACACTCACATCATCGTCCTGTTTTGTAGTACGACTCTTACCCAAATGCTTTGCATATTTAAACACGTTTTATTCGAAACTTAAAGACATTTTTTAAGAAAAGGTATTTTATCATACAGCGCGTTACTCGGCTACCATAAACTGTCATTTTTTCCGGATGTTCAAACGTGCCATGCCTGCGCATGCCATTGCGGCCCATAAAGTGCCCAGACGTGACTCTGCACGACCTTGCGTGACCCCGCACGACCCCAAATGATCCCATGTGTCCCTGCAAGACCCCATGTGACCCCTGCACGACCCCACGTGACCCCGCATGTGACTGTGACCCCCGCGTGACCCCACCGGCAATGCTCATGAAACGGTGCGAGAAGATGGAGAGCTGGACAGCGTCGAGGCGCGGCCCCACCGTGCAGGGCGAGGCGCGGCCCACGGCCACACGGACGTCCCCGTGCGCCGTCACGCTCGCTGTGCAGCCCGGCTCCACCAGGATGGTGCTGCGGCCGCGAGTCGGCACCGAGAGAAACCGCGCGGAGGTTTACAAAAACATTTTTTTTTTTTTCAGGTTAGGCCAACTGGGCGACCGTAGCTTTTTTTCAGAGGCGACCTGGCTATCACAAATGATAGCTCAGCGAAAGTGGCTTATCATCACGTGGGAATGTTTAGCAGCCAAATAACTGTAAACGCATGTTCACTCTAAATGTGCAGGGAACAACCGGAGGAACCGGAGAAAAAAATACAAGCGCCCACGGGGAGAGAACACGCAAACTCCAAATATACAACAGACGTCAGGGTTGGGATCGAACCCACTGCCTCCTCCTTACCAGGCGAGGCAGATAACATCTTACAATTGAACGTGAACTAAATGCGACGTGCGCGTTAGTGGCAAGGGCCCTTTGGCATATCGCACGAGATTTGCGAAACGCACAAACTCACTGGCACGCAAGTTTGTCAGGTGGAGGCAGTACAGCAAGTGGGTTTGTGAAAACCATCTGTAGGAACCTTTGAGCATGTACCCCCCCTCTTTTGGGTGGGCTTCTCCAGATACCCCCATTTCTTCTGACAAATATGAACATGATTCCTTGTAAAAGGTTTCAGTTTGGTGTTTTAACATCTTAACACATGTTTTGTTGCCAGAAAAAAGGGGAAAACCTATTCTCATATTTTGGTACTGGCAAAGGAGGTCCCATGATGTAAATATGAACATATTAAATGGGACAGAAAAAACACGCCGAAGTTAGATAAAGGTGCACACATGCAATTTTTTGCTTAGGCCACTGCTGGCGGAAGGGCCTCCACTAGATAAACCTAAATCTCTTGGCTATTTTGGCCTACCCTTCCATGCTGGCCAGACATCTTATAACTATTCATACTGTACCACACCACACCGAACTTCCAAACAATGATAGCTGTGGTCTACCCATTTATACTGCCGCTTGGATATGCAAGTCCAGTGTGCGCAGCATTACACCAATTACTACGATGACAGAGGAGACCACAACTGCCGCTTCCACGTGCACCCGAGGGCATGCTAGCTGCCCACACCTGTTGTTGTCGATGATGATGGCGGGGCCTGGGATAGTGTGCTGGCTCATCAGCTCCCCCAGCAGGTACACGCCGGTGTCCAGGTAACCCTCTTCAAAGTAGCAACGCGTCACCTGTACGACACGACCACCAATGAGCATCACTCTGCGTTAACACAGGAGCGTAGTGCAACACCACACACAATGCACCGACTGGGCTTTAATCGGTCAGGTCCATGGAGCTATGGAGGTCGGGACAATAATGAAAAACACGAGACAGTAAATACGGGATGAAGAAATGATTCTCCGATCATGACCGTGAACCGTAACAATTCACATAATCAGAAGATGAGCTTTTACGTGATTATTCATTATTGTGTGGACCTGCGACTGGGGTCACGGGCGGCAGACGCAACTTGCCTTCCTGAGAGGCGGCGGTTCCTCGCTGGCAGCAAGTTCGGGCTCCGCGTGGACGCCACTCTTGCCGACCCCACGCACCCTCACATCGTCCACCACCACCGCGCGCCCAGGGATCGTGAAGCCAAACTCCTGCTTGTACCTGCGGCGGGTGAGAGACCGCTCTCTCGAGACGTGGGTGCAAATGCCACCCCTCCCCCCACCTCCCACCTCGCCTCCCATTCCCGTCTTGATGTAGCTCTCCGATGTGCTTTCGGGTTGAAACCACTTGTTGTTGGGCAAGATGTCTTGACATTTCGCTCCACATGCTGAATTTTTTTGAAAACCAAATTGAATTGAAGAAGCTCCCAGCAGCACATGGAGAAAACACGAACTTCTATTTGTTTTTTTACCACGCAAGGCCCACTGAGCTATATAGCTCTTTTTCAGAAGTGACCTGGCCATAAATGATCGCCCAATGAAGTGGCTTATCACGTGGAAATGTATTGCAGCCAAATACTCTGAACGTATGCCGATTATAAATGTGGAGGGAAAAACTGGAGGACCCGGAGAAAAATCCACAAGACCACGGGGAGAATGTGCAAACTCCAAATTTTCAGGCGTTAGGGTCGGGATCGAACCCACGATCCTCCTGTATACCAGGTGAGGTAGTTAACATCTTGCCACCTTGGCACAACCAAAAGCATTGGCCATCATGCCGAACAACACGCGGTACAACCAACAACACTTTGGAGAGTTACACAGCACAACGACGAAAAACCTGAACAGAAATTCTCCGTTTATGCTCCACAAACGTTACATCCCCCACGACCGAGGGCTGGCAATGAAAACAAGGTGTGATAATGTACCGTTGCGTGAAGGCCTGAAGGAAGTCTCCGTAGCTACAAGAGGCCTCGTTTACAGGGAACCCACAGGCAGAGCACATGAGAGCGCAGTCGGTCCGTTCGTAGCGCATGTGCAGGAACACCTCCGTGTGGATTTGGGACCTGAAGAAAGGGGGAGCAATACCACGTTAGCAGTGAATAGAAACAGACGCAACATTTTCCCGATCAATGATAAGAAGGGAAATAATAAAATAATAAAATAAAACATAATAAAATAATAATATATATAATAAAACATAATAAAATAATAATATATATTATTTTATTATGTTTTATTTCTATTATTTTATTATTTCCCTTCTACGTGACTTTACCGAAAGAACCAAGAAGATGAATCCCTGCAGGCACGAAAGCCTTAAATCGAAATGATAAGAAGGCTCAGCGGCCCGGCAATGACAATTCAGAATTATAATGAATCAGAATCTTTACTTAGACTGGCGGAATTCTGGATCGACAGCATGGCTCTAATCCTTGATTACAGACGTTTTGAGTTACGAAACTCCCTGGGCTTAGTTCCTCCCAATCCATCTCTTCCACCATGGTCTTTCTACGTAGACAAATCTAATTACTAAACCAGCGATCGTGAAGTCCTATCGGTTCATTATTTAACAAACATCAGGCCTGCAGTGTTCTTTCCAGCATTCAATGGTGCTCATTGCTGGAGGTCCCACTGCAGTAATGCTACGTTCATATGGTGGTAAAAATATATCTCCACAGGACATCTTTCCACTGAATGCTGAAGCACCATTGATTAGAGCCACTTTTACAAACCCCTGAAGAGATTAGCAATCAGGATATTCCAATCATTGTTGGACATCCGTGGCAATAATGCATTAACTACCTCGCCTGCTATGGAGGAGAAGGTTGTGGGTTCGATACCAACTCTTACGCCTGCCTGTATATTTGGAGTTTGCGTGTTCTCTCCCCGTGGTCGCGTGGATTTTTTCTCCGGGTCCTCCGGTTGTTCCCTCCACATTTAGAAACATGCATTTATAGAGTATTTGGCTGCTATACATTTCCAGTTGATGATAAGCTGCTTTGTTGAACTATCATTTGCGGCCCAGTCACTTCTGAAAAAGAGCTATACAGCTCAGTGGGCCTTACCTGGCAAAATAAAAAGTTTAGTTAGTTCATAGTAAATTTACCGGGCGAAGCCCTGAGCCTGCAGCTCTTGCACGCAACGCTGATCGAGTGCTGTGATCCTTTCCTCCAAGCGTCGGAAGGCAGGCGGTCCGTACACAAGCGCGCTCGGCTCCTGGCACTCGTGCACCACGTCCGCCAGCGCCATGCCGTACGCGGACAGGATGCCAGAATACCTTTGAAGCGGTGTGGGCGAAAGGATGCAGGCACGCGTTGTGCAACGGTAATAACTGGGGAGCACACTTGATAGGTGAATGCGCAGCATCAATGAAGCGCAGTTGATATACAAATATAAATCATTGGGACATTACTGGTGACAATTTACACATCAGGACGATCACATGAACCTGAGTGTAGTGAAAGTAACAATAATGCCCTTTGTGTGTTCAGTAACGCTGCACTTAGTCTCTGCATTGGGATGTCTGGCCAATTTCATTTATGTTTGGAATGTTGGGAGTAAATGGGAATATCTGAAGAATACCCATGGCTTTGAGGAGGTAGCACCCAAAGCTTTAAACAAAGTAATTCAATCCACTTGCTGTACTGCCATCTGCTGTCCACATCGCAGCCCCGCAGGTTTGAGTTTCTCAAACATGTGTGCGAACCACCCAAACCCTCACCTCTAAAGCGCTAGATATCAGATGCCACCACGCTAAAGTGTAGTTACACTGTTGCCTGCGCTATGCACGCATCTTGAACTTCGCATCGTACGTAGCCAACCGTGCTAATCGGAGGTGCGGGTTCGTAAGAGCTACCGAATGTCCCAACTGCAGCGCCTCTATGTCTGCTGGTGCCGGCCACTGACTTGTGAATGAAGACTGTGCTCATGCCGAGGGCGCGTGCAATGGCACAGGCGTGCTGTCCTCCTGCGCCGCCGAAACATGCCAGCACGTGCTGGGAGGTGTTCGTGACCCTTTGCCTAGCACAGAAACAAAGACACCGGGACAACATAGTCGACACTGGGCACCAGCCACCCAAGGCAAATATTTAAATGCATTCGTTTGGTTTGGATTGAAGGCGTTTTTCGCTTCTGCAAAGTGTACTGGCTTTAAAGGTTTGGTAAGGAAGCAAATAGTGTGTGTACATGAACAAGTTAAGTCGACTCTTGTTTGTTTAACCACGTGAGAATTGGAGAGACCAGTATAGAGTCTTGTTTGCAAGTGACCTGGGTTAACAAACCGACAAAAGAAAAATAAAGTAAAACAATGAAGCAAACAAATCATGAACCAAACAACTGTCGCATGATAAATCGGAAATTTTGCACGAACATAAATCAATGTAAAATAATAAATTCCCCGTAACTCAATTACGTTAACATTTTACATATCACTACAATATACACTATCTGTTAACAGATTATACATGTCAAATACAATTGCAAGTGAACTTTATCATGAAGATTAAACAGCTTAGTATCCTATTGTGATTTAGATACGAGAGCAAACCAGGGCATTTTGGAAGTGATGGAATTCCAGGTGGTTGGGGCATTAACAGAGAATGATTGAGAACCACGTTTGTTTTTTGTCCTCGGTACAATTCTGCCTAGTGCTGTGGGGCGAACCTTGAAGCCACATGGTTCTCGAAACCATTTGTTAAAAGAAAATCAAAAACCACATTTCTGTATGTGGCGATGAGTTGTTGCACATTTTCAGGGTCCTTTCAAGAATCAAATATTTATTTTTAACTTTGTGATGAAACAGTCTGTAGTCGCTGTAGGGGTGATGTGAATCCGTTACGTAGATGTACAAACAAAAATGACTGTTACATGCGATTCGATGCATGTATCGTGAGCATGAGAATCAATATTAATGGTTGATTCGACACATAGTGGCACATTTAACCATCAAACATTGGTGACATCAGGGGCCTTGCACCCAACAACGGTTGCAAGCGCCACCTTATCAATGGCAAGAAAAAAACTGAATAAGTCTCAAGTGCAAATGTCTTGCTTTTTTATGTAATCCCCGACGGTACCTGTGTGAGTGCCCGGATGGGGCGACACATGGCCTCATTTGCCACTCGAATGAAACCCATGGCCACCTCCTCCACACTCATGTTGTCGGGGGGGGCCTGCGAACTCCCAGACGCCTTGCCCAGCCAGGAAGTCGTTCACGTCCGCCGTCATTTTCGCAAACGCGGTCGACGTCTCTTTCTTGCCCAGAGGCTCCGTCTCATCCGGTCCAAAAATTTTGGGGAAGAACTCCGGGAGCAGCCGACCCAGGCACAGGTTTGCATCGGTCACGGTGAGCGGCCCACCTGGTTTCCAAGGGAACAATAATTGCCCCTTGTCTGCACTGCCCTCTGCTGCCCACACCATAGCCCCGCAGCAGCCTATAACACCTGTTTTTAATACATGATGGTGTCCCATCGAAGCACTATCCAGGCTCAACTCTGCTCAGCGTCCGAAATCTGATGAAACAGGGTGCATTATGGGTTATGTTATCATAGCCTTAGAAGAAGTAGTTCACTCCAAAATAATCCTCAACATTCTGCTTTTCTGAAATTTACTGCAGGTAATTGTCAGCGACTTTGTGTTACACCTTTCCCAATGGGATACTTTGTAATATCTTTTTTTATTGTTTCTTGTTGTAGCTTTGCTGAACCGCCCCTACCGTGCATCTGTGAAACAGAACTTCATAGCTCATCGGATTCCTCCAGTCTAAATAAACATTCTGATTCTAATTGTTTTTGTTCCTACATCAGACATTGCTCTCTCACCTTTTTTGTAGCAAGTTGGGCCAGGGTGAGCACCAGCCGACTCCGGACCAACCACGAACATGCCAGCTCTGGAGGAGCATTTGTCACACAAGGCATGTGCACAATGTCCGTGAGCAAGCCGCAGGGTTATATTTACGAGCTCCATTGACGGAACCATAATTTGCGTTGCTAAAAAAGAAAATGAACACATCAAGCAATATATTCTTTCCACATTTTTATCACCTTCAATCCAAGTGGTGTAAAAGCATGGGTGGCAAGGAATGACATTGAGGCCCCCTGTTCAATCCCTTCTCTCTTCGTGGCCCACCTCCTAGGCCCCAATGGCCCATGAGCCCCAGTGCAATGTCGCCACCCGCACACTCGATAACCATGCCACAGCTCAAGCCTCGCAACGGTTTTTTTATTTCTTCTTTCTTTCTGTCTGTTTTCGGGTCAATTAAAAATGTAAACGACAAACTACGTAATCTTTCACGTGGTCATCCTCGACGGGGAAAAGTTTACCTTATGCCGCCCGACAATTCAAGTTAAGCAAGTAAAGTTATGCTGCCAAAACAGATGTAGGTTGAACTTCTCTCGCACCGTCCGTAGCAAACCGTGCTAATCGAAGGTGGGAGGAAGGACACCAAAGTCGACACTAAAAGCAGTTCTTATATCACACCTGAAGAACAGAATGGAGCCGCCACCCGCTGCCACTGTGTTGATGTCGAGCTGCGGTGCCTGGATCGTCACCCCTGCCGTGGTCGTCTCAAACACGTGCTCGTACGAGCCGGCAAATCGACTCACGTCCGTCGACGTACCTGCGCAAATACTAGACATGTAACGATGATGCTAGGCATGCAAAGATGTGGCTAGCTATGCAACGACGTTGTGAGGCATGCAACGATGATGCTAGGCATCCAAGGACGATAGTAGGCATGCAATGATGATGCTTGACATGTAATGACGATACTCGGCATGCATTGATGATGCTAGGCAGGCAACGATGTGGCTAGCCATGCAACGACCATGTTAGGCATGCAACAATGATGCTAGGCATTCAACGATGATGTTCGGCCGGCAATCGAAGATGCTAAGTGTGCAACAATGATTCTGGGCATGCAACGAAGATGCTAGGCATGCAACACTTATACTAGGCGTGCAATGTTCATACTAGGCACGCAACGATATTAGACATGCAATGATGATGCTAGGCATGTAACGACGCATCGATTCATCAGCTAAAATTATTCCTAAGCTCAGGACACATGCATTAAATAATTCCTTATGAGAATTATATATTTATTATTTATGTAAAGTACTGTATATGCATATATCTCCTGTTACATTTATGGCAATGAATCAAAACTTTAAACTCAGCACAGAACACCTAGAAATACAAATGAGACAGAAATAACGAAACCAAATATGATTATTGAATCAAATAGCCAACCTAACTCATAACAATTGATCAAATCTTATCTTAGATAGCACCTTATTCCAAGGCACCAGGAGATTAATTGTTACAAGTCTAACAACTATACTCTGCAAACACCAAGTTATTCACAGCCAAGTGTATTCCATATACTTGGGGCACTTGGCAGTACTCAGCCAAATTCATGCGAAATAAAGTTAGCCGTTTACTTTTTGCAACGTCATTCCTAAATCGCATCCGACAGGTCGCCGTATTTGCAATTCTATCCGTTCGTGGAAATTCCGTGCACGGCCCTCAACCCGGCCAGACGCATGAGCATCCCCCCCCTGCGGGCCACGAGTCGTACCGCCCATGTCAAAGCCGATGACGGGCTGGCGCTCGTCCGCCGTGCTGGTGGTGACGGCGTAGCCCACCACGCCGCCCGCTGGGCCGGACAGGATGGCGCGCGACCCGTTAAATCTCCCCATCGGGGTGAGCCCGCCATCCGACTGCATGAACAGCACCCGCACGTCCTGCAGGAGAGCATCGTCGGTGCCGGCCGGCCATTGGGTAAATATATTTTGGCGAAGGACGCAAGACCACGGAAGGCGTAAAGCGCGACGAGAAGAGAGGAGGGATAGCAAGTGTGACTGACAAGGGACGTCAGTAAACAATTTGGTGGGTACGAAGTATTGTCGACAAAGCGAGGGAAGCAAGACAGTGATGGTTTTCTTCCCTGTGATGCAGAATGAGGAGGAGAAACATCATAAACAGAGTCGTTAAAAGAGAGATTCGAGGAACACCGAAGATGAGACGGAAGCATTAAGTGGCTTTGGCGACAAGGGGGGAGGCGCGCGCCGCCAACCCCATAGCCATGTGGGAACGGCGACCATGAGAGGAAGAGGAACTGACAAGCGTATGCGCCGCAAGACGCAGCAGGCAAGGGGCCTAGCATCGCCGGCCCATTCATTTTCCAAATCAAAACCCACCTGTGCATGCGCGAGCGCCGGCTAGCTGCTCGATTAATCTAGAGCGCAGAGTCATCGCATCACTGCAGCGTAAGATTTAAAAACAGAACTTAAATTACGTGAAGATGGATCATAGCTCTTGGTATTGAGCATAGTTCAAAAGCACTTAAGTCCAAGTAAGCCAAGGAATATTTCTTAATAATAAGAAAGACACAATGTACGAATAGCACCATTGCCAAAAAAGACTACCTCCAAATGTATTACTTATTCTTGAGACATTCGAAAATTAAAGCAGGTCCTTAATTACACGGATGTAAGTGTGGACCAGGGACACTGAGAAAGAAGAATGGGGAACACACGAATTGGGGAATATATGCAAGTTCGAGAACATCATGATAGTCAATAAACCTAAGTGGGCCTGGGCACGACACACTGAGCTGGACGGGATAACGACCCATAGTCGCAACCACGCAATGCAACCAAATTAGAATTGTGTCATTCGTAATGAACTACCATCACAATATAATTAGAATTAGATTGTAATTGGAATTACATTGTGATGATGATAGGCATGCAACGCTGATGCTAGGTATGTAATAATGATGTTAGGCCTGCAACGATGATGTTAGGCATGTAACGATGCATCGACGCATCAATTTGTGCTGTAATCGTATTGATTGGCCCCCAAGTTTGGTGGCAGCCAAAGAAGGAAACAAAGCTGAGAGTACGTGCAAGCATGAGAGGTGGAGCGATGTGCAGGAGGTGGCAGCTCGGGTGAAGTTTTCATCCAACAATGGACATCTCATAGCTGACGATCAGACTCAGAATGGGAATATTATTTATACTGGAGGAATCCGATGATCTGTACAGCTCTTTTTCCACAGATGTCCAGTAGATGAAATGTGGATGCCAGCAGATTAACGTAACAAAGCCACCCGGACACCCGCCGCCTCACAGCAACTTCGTCCACCCGTGCAACAGGCGCTCACCTGCAGCTCGTTGCGGAATCCGGCGGTGAAGCCGCACAGGTACTTCTGAATGCACGGGGTGAGGTAGGCGTCCGCGCACGCCGTGTAGCCGCGCGGCACCGCCCGCACCATGGGCATGATGTCCGATGACAGTGACACGTGCCGGAACCCCATGCGGCGTGCCAGCTCGCCCACGCTCCGCTCGTGTCCCGCCCACCTGGACGCCACCATGAGGCATTGCGTTTGCTTTGGCACTGGCTAGTACGCTGGTACCAAACTCGTACGTGCACGGCTCTCCGATGTGTTTATTGGGTGGGTTTGTACAGCGTGCGATGCGTCGGAAGATTATGCCGGCCATCATGCGGTACAACCTGAAAACACAACTAAACCGAGGCATTTATTTACCCTGGTGGATAAGAGCTTCTCCACTCCATGCTGGACGCAGGGGTTGCTCAGGTTGGTGAAGGCAGGGAGCATAGACGTGGCAGTGAGAAGTTTAGTACAACAACGGATTTGGCTGCACTGTTCTTAGGTTTTTTCGGTAAAGTCACGTAGGTAAAAAATTGTAATTAATAAAAGTAAAATAAAATAAAAATCACGACGTTTCGGAAGCAACACAAGACTCCGTCATCAGGTGTAACCGCTCCAGTAAAATACTGCTACAGCAATTTTACTGGACGGAGGCTTGTATTGCTTCCGAAACGTCGTGATTTTATTTTATTTTTATTTTACTTTTATTAAGTTTAATTTTTTACCTACGTGACTTTACTGACAAAAACCTAAGAATATGAATCCTTGCAGTCACGAAAGCTTCAATATCTAGAATTGGCTGCACTGCCCTCTGCTGAACATCACATAGTAGAGCCTATGGAGTCAGCCATCCAAATACGAATGCAAGCTCAACCCTGATTAACTTCTGAGATCTGACATTCTGCTTTGTTTGGTTCGAAGGCAGTACCAGGGGTTCACATTTGTCACCAAATATTGTCTGGGTCACTGGCAAACTGGATTAGGTACTTGACTCGCAGACACAGTTATTTTAAGAATTGTTATTGGATGTGGTGTGCTCGGTATGAAAACATATTTCGGGTCGCTTATAGACAGAACTGGCTGCAAATAAGCACTGGATAATACACATCTTACCGTAGCTGTGCTACTTTGAATACAAACAACTCTCACACACCCTGGATGACCTGAAGATGGAAGTCACCCACGTGATAAGAGACATGCAGACAGGGGAATTGATTCTTGAATCTCAGAACCAGACCTGGGGTCAATTACAATTGTAAATTTATCATGTGTAATGAAATCCAATAACAGTGTAATTACAAGTGGAATGTCATCTAACGATGCTGCCTTAATTGTAATTATATTTGACCCCAGGTCTGCTCAGAACATGTGTCTATGTGTTAGGTTGTGTGGATATCAAAGGTTACCAATTTCAGCAATTACTCTTAATCTATAATAAAACTGTTCTACTGCACATTTTTTTATACACAAAGTACTTAACGCTAATCCAAAATAGCAATGCAGACTCGGTTTTCCAGATTCCCTCTCGCCATTCTGTTTGGGTATACATTGTAATAGGCATACGTATTGGTATGAGTACATACCTGTCAACCCATACGGTTTACCCATATTCTTATACAGGGAAATTGAGTTTTCAGGTTCATATGGCGTACAGCCGTTTCAATCCGGGCAAAAATGTTTTTTGTCTATTTGTTTGTGTTTCTCCCCTCTGATGGGACTTTGAAGGATGAACGTTGAGATTTATAAGGGCACGAGGTGACCAATAAAGTCTGAATTGGTCTGTAATAAGGTAGGGGCACTGATAAGGGGTTGACAGGTATGCGAGTACTGTCATTGTACATCTATGATGGACTTCAAATTATAAATTATATAATAAGCCGAAAGGAATGTCTTCAACTGAAAACATTTCTGACTGTAGTGGGACCTGAAACAAAATCATGACCAAAATTTGTAAATCAGATTTAACATGGCTACCATAACCGACTACCAATCAGAGGTCGCAACCGGGTACCCGATACCCGTACCCTACCTGATACCCGGCTACCCGTACCCGGCCGGGTACGGGTATGGGTAGCCGTTTGCAACCCTGGTGTAGCCGGGTACGGGTACGGGTAGGCCGTGAGTCACTGGTGAGTCACCGTTTGTCACTCATTTCGGGTAGGGTACGGGTAGGGAACGGGAACCCTTACCCGGCCGGGTACGGGTACCCATTTGCGACCCTGGTGCGGCCGGGTACGGGTAAGGAATCAAAACCCGTTTGCGACCTCTGCTACCAATTCACTACTGCTTGCATAAGTTGATACAGCGGTACAGTAATGGTGACATCGGCTCCATCTAGTGTCGAGTATTAGTGTCGCACAGTTCCAATCTGGGCATATAATGATTCACTGCAACACCGAATCGAAGTTATTTTCACATTCGAGGTCACGATTCTCGAAAATGTTTCCTTCTGTTGCATTATTTTCCCTATCGTGTTTGTAATGCAAGTAATTTTTTACATCTCGTTCGGACGGTTTTGTGCAGATAATTCTCCGAAACGCATGATTCGATGCACATAACATGAGTTTGAGAATTTACGAATCAATGTGTCTAATATAGGCCCGGTGTTGTTGTTTTTTTATCTCAGGTGTTGACGTGGAGGCCCCACGTACGTGTACGAGTGCATGAGCACCACGGCCAAACTGCTGATGCCCCGGGCCAACACTCCGCTAAGCTTCTCCTCCAGGTCAGCGAGGTCGACCTCCTTCCAGACCTCCAGCTTCTCGCCCGTCGAACCTGCTCCACCCACAATGCGAAACAAATTAATCTTCTGTCGAAGGCTCAGCGACATATGCCTACTAATACACAAGACTTGCGAGCAGTTTAAGTAACTGTCTAGTCATTATCACAGGCCAATTTCTATCCAATGCAACATGAAGACCACTCCGTGTCATTGCCATCCATCACGGTCCTGTGCAATGTCACAATCCAGAAACCGTATTATAACGGATTGCGCTTTCTGCGTTGTGTTAATAGAGTTCCCTAATAGAAGAACCGTGTTATAGCGAATACGCGTTAAGCGAGGACTCACCGTACCTGTAACAATCGGATGTGCCTCCTTTCCTGGGAGCTGACATTTCTGCTGTTGGAGAACCACTCTCTCCTCCACCTCGATGACTTCTTCATAGAGCACCTCAGGCATTCGGATTTCCTTTTGGGAAAAGCAAAATTGACTGAAGTGCAGAATATATATTTTTGTGGCTAATGAATATGGCCCTTGGGGTGCAAGTAAAAAATTGCTTCAACTACAATGATTCCCATCAATAAAGAACCACTGCAGATTAAATGCTTTCATGTGCACATCAGTCTTCATGAAACCACATACAATTGGGAAATTAGCTGAGATGCAGATATCCGTTTGAAACTATCCTTTAGGATATACAATTTAATATGAAAACAGTGGAATATGAATTCAACCTTTAATCAGTTTAGTTTAAACATGCTATTTGACATCAGTGTGTTCTCACCTAATAATGAAACCAAAAATAATACAATTATTTTTATGAATGCATTTTTTATTCGAAGTTATTTTACTCAATTAAATGGTCGGATTTGAGTACATCTTTAGAAAATGTGTTATATAATGCACAAATAGGTTACTAGAAACAAATAAATCACAAACTGCTTTAAACTTGGGATTTTTTTTTACTGTGCTTTATAATTGAATGTACATGAGATTAAGAACACATTGCTGCATGTGAAAAGGTTGAATTTGTGAACATCCACAAAAAGTGGCCACACTATGCACAAATACTGCAAAAGGCGTGGGTGATTATTTTGCAAGTGCAGATATGTGACGGTCAGAAATCAGGCATTGTAGTCGATTGAGCATATGCTTTTGTGGCTTGTTACCATGAGGGTTAGTTATGTTACAAAACTGGATGATTCATGATCCTCCTTCCGTAAAGGGCAGCTCAAACAAATGTACAACTTGGCTTCTATTAACCACCTATGTGCCCCTCAACCTTCGAACAAAGATACTCACTGCATCACGCAATTTCAGATGCGCTTCTACGGCCGTCTGGAACGCTATTCCTTCCGATATTAGGAAGCCACTGGAGCAATGCACTTTTAAACCTATATTGAAAATAATTTCTTTGTGTTTGGTTTGTTGTCCTTTCCCCCGCACCTCCAATTAGCATGGTTGACCACGCAACGGTGCAAAAGAAGTTGAAACATACAGTACATATCACTCTCCCATTGACATATTTCTTTGCTTCCTCTTAGTATCTTTACTCGACGGTCAATGGTATAGTGTATAGTAGAGTGTATAATAATAAACTATTAACATTCCTTCCCTTTATTAATACTACCCCTATCCCCTCCCTTTGATGCTGCTAATCCTGCATAATGCACGGGCATAATATGACTTTGAAACCCCCCGGCTATCTCCTACGCATTTCACAAGTAGTACTAATCACATACCTGCATTTCCCATAAATATGCTAAATTCCTCTTGATATGCAAATTCTGTCAAGGCGCACCTTCCCCCCTTCCAACCCAGCTTAAATAGACGCTCCAAGCGTGGTGGTGTTTCATTCAGACGCTGTCTCCCCGACAGACCTGGTCTTCACTTGAGGACGGCTGCTTGCGTTGTGGCCGAAACATCGTGAGAATTATTTAATGCTTTAATTTAATTATTTTATTATTTCCTTTCTACGTGACTTTACCGAAAGAACCAAGAAGATGAATCCCTGCAGTCACGAAAGCTTTAAATCGAAACATACAGTACATATATTGACAAAATCACGTACCAGGTCAAATATTTTCGGTCGGGCCTGGTTGCCGATGTGCAGCAGGTCTCGGAATCCGCGCGTGATGAGCAGGGCCATGGGCTCTCCCTTGCGCTCCAGCAGCGCATTCGTGGCCACCGTGGTGCCCATGCGGATCCACTCCACGGCCGCCGTATCCAGGGGCAGCCCCGCGGGCATTGCCATGCCCGTCTCCTGCAAGTTCCAACAGGTTAAGTCACACAGGAATCGTCGGCGAAAGTCTCCAGTCGACTCATGATGTCCAGGGACTTGTTGTTAAAGGGCCACGGCGCCTCCCCGAAACTGCCCTCGGAATTGTTGGTGAACCCACCATCTTGCCACTCTTGTATCTTTCTAGTGTACTTCTCACACTCTACGTTCTAAATCTTTGCCGTCTCTCTGTTCTTCCTTTTTCTAGCGCTCAATCCACGCTTTGGCTCTTTTTTTCTTCTCACCCCCCTTCACTAGAACAAACTTTCCCTTCCCATTAAAATCACCTTAGTTCCCACCAGTGGCGGCTCCTGCAAAATCTCTCAGGGGGGGCAGATGTCTGGATGATTGATAAGGATAAGGTCCACCCATGCAATGGATAAATTAACAGCTTAAGCATGTAAAGGCAACTTCACTTCTTTAATATTAATGAAAAATAAAGTGACTCTTACAATACATCTTGTTTGTTTCTATACTCACTATTAATACAATCCACTCAAGTTTCTTTTATTAAAGATTCCACTAGGTGGCGACAAATTATATTGTTGGATGAAACGTGGTTACGTATGATGACGTAAGCACGTTAGTGCGAGCCCTCCCGGAAGCCGTAGAGAATGCATTGGAGCGCCCCCCGTTCGAAAAAAAACATCTTTGAATGTAAGTCTATGGGGCCACTCGGGGCGATTCTCAGCCGGAGTGAATTCGCCCAAAAAGAGGCGGTACTCCACAGAACGTGACATGACGCTGATTGGACTATATCCAGAGGCACAGTGACGGCTAGCGTGACTCTGTGGTTGAATGACATTGGTGGTGCGTCGCCCAATCGCCCTAATGAAGAAACCGCCCCTGGTTCCCACTCCTAACTCACTATTTTCCATAGCTAACCACACATCCCCTTAATCTCCCCCTGATAACCACCACCTTTACCGTTCCCTCTTCATATTCTCATGATACGACTATCACTCATTCCCCATTCATTCAATCCATTCATCATCATCTACTGTCATCAATTGCGCTTTCACAGAATTCACGCATCACAGATTTGCCCATTGCATCATCTCGTCTATTTTATTCATATCTCCACCATTACAGTAAAGTGCCTTGATTAAGGCACTATATAAATTCCATTAAGATTTCGAATGAAATTATCTAGGTTTCGAAAATGTAGATTACTTATAGAATAAGTCAATGGTTTGACACACGCGAAACTGAATGCACAATTATTGTCCCAATGTGGACGAAATATCAGTTTGTCTAAGTATGTCCGACACCGTGCTATTTTCTGAGGATTTTTCCCTCATCACAAAAGGTGGAAAAATTATATCAATTTGAATTACAGTCCTGATTGAATATTAGGGCCATGTAAAAAGCCACCTAATATTTATACTTATTCTTGCGTTCGACTGGATGAATAGCGACTTATAACTCTTTGTCTGAATTAGTCAGGAAATCGCTTCGATTTATGTGCGGTGTTTAACTTAAATGCAAATGATACTAATTATTACAGATATTTTTTCAGTAAAATAAAAAAAAGAATTGGTATATTTGGTATTCATGCCATCATAATTACACAAGGCTATCACAAAGGCACCATTTTACAGATGAGTACTGTATAGGCTAAAGTACATTCACAGTATCGGGTGATATTCGTTTTTTTTTATAATTAGGCAGCTTTCTAGTCATTCAATTTGTTTATAAATTTGGACAGCGATGCCAGCACATGTGACCTACTCTTTGTCAAATTAATGCCACATCATCTTTTAACCTCCACTGTGAAGCAGACAAGCGTATGTTTGGTAAAACTGTCTCTTGACGAATGAGTTTGAGATTCAGTGAGCGTTTGTTAAATGAGCGTAAGTTAAATGAAAACAGTGACGATGATGAACGTGGTGGTGATGATGCTGCCGAGTGTGAACCTCCTGCAAGATGCGGCGGATGCCCTCGCGGGGAGCAGTCAGGGTAGTGCGCGGGGTCCTCGGACAGCAGCTTGAGGACACGGACCCGGCCACCGGGGCAGCGTGCGAACACGTCCGTGAAGGTGCCGCCACGGTCGATGGCAAACTGGAACGTCCCCTTGGCCGCTGCCGCCGACGTCGCCATGCTGCCGCCACGTTCGCAGCGCGGGCGGCGAAACAGTCAAACGCCCGCAAGCACCAATGGGTGCCCCATTGTCGTGAAGTTTCTATTGAAGATTGTGTTCTACTGTTTCCATTGAAAATTACGTTCATGTTACGCTCACTTCCAGGGAATGCCACCGACCGCTTTGAAAGGCAGCGATACAGGACAATCGCTTTAAAATGACTATCTCGTGCAGTAACAGCACAGCCTAAGTAATATGCACTATTGGCCGTTTAATTGTTATTGAAAATGCAGAAGAATTATTAAATGCACTTAAGCTTTTCAAGGTTTTTCCATCAAGAGACACAAGTGGTTTACTCCATAAAATTAAAAGACCAATCTATAGATGTTGCCTCTATAATGTAAAGTGTATGTTTGCGTATAGCAATATGTTCAGGAGCTGAACGCCAATGTTGAGATCTACTTGCCACGAGAAGGTTTTGCTATTCCTCCATTTAAGGAACACAGACTACAGTGTTTTACTATATGGTCTATAGTTTGGCTTGCATGGCAAGTCGCTCTGTGCATTGTCTTAATGCAATACTAGTACACAAGTTATTAATTGATGGAAATCTGTTAAGTAACACATTTGCTTTACACGGTCACATGAAGTGTAATTTATTCATCTAGATTTGAAGCTTTCGTGACTGCAGTGATCCATACTCTTTGGTTCTTTACGGTAAATTTCAGCATTTGTTTCCTGCTGTGATTGTCCCACCTGATGACGGACGCTTGTGTTGCGCCAGAAACGTCGTGATTTAATGTATTTATACCTACATGACTTTACCGAAAGAACCAAAGAGTGTGTAATTTATTAACCAAGAATATACCAACAATGTCACAATTTGCAGGCTGAGATACTGCACAAAGTTATCCACGTTTTTCTTGAATCTTTTCTTTTCCAGATCTTCCTAATGCAACCCGATGGACTGCATGATGGGTAAGGAAAAGTATGTACATGTATAGGATACCTAAACACCTCAGCAACTTAAAGCACCGTTCCCTACATCATATCTCAATCTCAACCATTCCATTGCCCTGCTGCAGTGCAGCCAAGAGGCTCCAAGTGGCATCTATTCGTTATGCAACTCCACGTTTACCAGACTGCAGCACTGGACCACCAATTGGGGCATTCGTTTGAAAAACGAGGTCATGAATATTGTAGTATATCAGTGCATGCACTTCGAAATGCTATGAAGGAACATTGCCACTGGAATGTAAATTGACATGTCTAGACATTGAATATTAAACAGGGTGATCTATTTTTGGATACACCACTAAAATAATGGAACATTATTGAGATTACAGTTTCATTCAAAGTCTCTACATATTTCTGACCAATCTCAACACACTCATTATATCTTTGAACACTCTTCTGACTTTACCCAGCAAAGGCATAACTGACAATATTCAATAGGTTGTTGAGAAAATAACAGGGTCATTAGAAATCAGTGCGGTATCAATACAAATCTTGCGTGAATGATTATTTACAATCGGCGTTCATAACGTGACAGTTCTATGACGTTATGCATGTGCCTGTAATCCAGCACTGTGGAGGGGTTCGAGGGTTGGTGGATTGCACTGTTGTTCAACTCCCTTCCTGTGGGAACTGAAGGAGCCATGTAACCCTGTCTCGCCAGAATACGGTCCAGAAAAAATTACCCGTAAAAACAAAGTTTTTCACTATAAATCCTTTATATGCGTGGCGGCTAGAGTCCTCTCGTCCTCTGGCTTGAGATGGCTGCCACCTATGGGTCAGATGATTGCCTGCCACCATTAAGCAATTGGTAATTAAATATAAAAAAAAATCCTAAAAAGTGTAAAGTTATGGAATTTTTTTTTTCACGAAAATAAATTGTCACGCACAACGAGTCTGTGTGCAAAATGTCAGCTCGATTGGATCACGGGAAGTGGGTTAAAAAACGACCGAAAGATTTGCACGGTCGTAAGTGCACAAGCAAGCAAGCAAGTGAACTTAATATAAAGGATTTAAAAAAAATGTCGACTCCACTGTTACTTCTGTATAGGATAGAGCGTTTCCATCTCGCACGTCCAGTTTTCTCCTCCAAGTAAAACACACTTTTTTGCCGAAAACACTTTAATGAAAGAATTGCAGAGCTCGGGCAAATTGTTGGTTCATTACGTTTGGCTGCCTTCACGCTTGTCTATGGTGCCCCCTCGCTCTTTTGAATTTGTACTCGCTGCTTCGGTGATTGAATACTGTGCTGCGCGTTACAAGTTTAATACTGGTAGGAACCTCCTGGTTACACCAGCCTACAGGGGATTATTGTGTCCGTCCGTCCGTCGTGCAGGGAGGGGTTGGGTGGGGAGGGTTGGGAAGGGCTGGTTGGGGAGCGTGGGGCTGGGTGAGGAGGGTGGAGCTGGGTTGGGGCTGGGTGGGGAGGGTGGGGCTGGGTGGTGGGTGGGGTCTTGCTGGGTGGGGAGGGGCTGGTCACCCCGTGGTGCCCTTATAAAACTCAACGTTTAACCTACTCACGCCGGCTTGTGACCGCCCTCACAGTCGGGCATATTTGCGGAATACACCACGCCGCCGTTGACCCTGGCCATTGACCGAGCAACCCGACGTTCCTACCAGCTCCCTCCGCAGGAATGTGTTTTTTGTAAGTTGCACTTGTGCAAGGTCATGAGAGGCAATGTACTGAAACGGGGTTATAATCTAGTGGATAAATAACATCATGAACAACGACACAAACGCACACTTTTGCTTTTACAATTGTGGCTAATATGCAGTACAGCACTCTAAATGCAAGCATGTGTCTCTCAATGTCACGTGCATATGGGTGCTGTTGTAGTTTGCTTACAGATGTTTAGATGGTAGCTTTGCCCCAAACGATCTGATCACGCTGCAGGGTAAGACGAAGGGATGCTTGTATCGCACGAATTCTGACAGTAAACAAGAGGAAAGTAACATTTCGATTTAAAGCTTTCGTGACTGCAGTGATTCATCTTCTCGGTTCTTTCGGTAAAAGTAACGTAGAAGGGAAATAATAAAAATTTTTTATTTTTTTTAATTCCCTTCTACGTGAAATAATAATAAAATATGTTTTTTTTATTTCCCTTCTACGTGAAATAATAATAAAATGTTTTTTTTTTATTTCCCTTCTACGTGACTTTACCGAAAGAACCAAGAAGAAGATGAAAGTTGTCTCAGTTTATGTTATAGGTGGCGGCGTTCGTCTTTAATCAAAAAGAGGGCTCGTGGTTGGGTCGCCACGTGGTCGATAAAGTGCGTTGTTGTGAATGTGGAGTTTCCATCACGGGCAGAAAACGACAAATAGCACCCAACATACAAGGAGCCATACTCAACTATTGTTTCGATTTAAAGCTTCTTTCGTGACTGCAGGGATTCATCTTCTTGGTTCTTTCGGTAAAGTCACGTAGAAGGAAAATTATAAAATAATAAAAATAAAACATAATAAAAAATAATTCTCACGACGTTTCGGCCACAACGACACAAACGGCTGCTTGCGTTGTGGCCGAAACGTCGTGAGAATTATTTTATTATGTTTTATTATTTTCCTTCTACGTGACTTTACCGAAAGAACCAAGAAGATCAACTATTACTCCCTCTGTGTGTGTACGTGGCGGGGATTTGGTCATACTTCACCACGCTGGTCAATTGCAGGCTGGCACGTGGTAAGGCAGGGGGAGGCTGACCATACTTCACCAGACTGGTCAATATGCGGCTTAGCGAAGGCGGTGATCATTTCCGCGGGGGGTACATAGCGCGAGTACAGTGTACAACAACAACATACAACCAACATGGGTATCATAATCGTTAGCCATGATCAATCCACTGCTGGATGAGGGCACGCTGGACGAGTTTGCTGCAATCGATTTCAAATTGCATTGGGCCGAGGCGTTTGTTGCAAAACAGTGAAGCCAGTTCGCGATGATGACACACACTTTGCCACGTGTGCATTAAGATATTGCACGCATGACCGCCGCGAAATTTAAGTGCCGTGCCATTATCCGTACATGTTTAAAGTTGTCAGGAGGGTGATGATGATGCTGATGATGATACAACAGAAACAATGCAAACACAGACCCTCTTCGTCTCGTCATCTCGCATGAAACCGCAGCTTTGTTTAATGAACAACAGCGAACACCACCCACCTCCAAGACTGTCAGTGACCACAACACAGCAGCAGAATCCACGAACACAACGCGCACTGCTGCTGCTGCGGATGATGCTCAGCTGCTGCTGGTGGTGGTTGGCTGCGTTCCTAACCACATCTCCCACCACTCCTCGTTTGCCTAATCTATTTATCGGGCTTTTAATTGGAGGGAAATTTGAGACCAAAACGTCCAACCTTCAAACGAACGCCGATTGGTCCGCGTGGGAACTCACCCCACCCACAATAGAACGTAATTTGCGAGCGCGTGTTCAAACATGCAGGAGGGGGTTTATCGCCATGTCCACAATATATCGTGATTATCGCGATATCGACGATATATCGTGGTTATCGCGATAACCACTTTCCATGATTTAAGCCGATAGTTACGACACAATATTTTAATCGTTAAATCGTGAAACACGTGGCGCGTTATATCGTGGTTATCGCGATATCGACGATATATCGTGATTATTGCGATATCGACGATATATCGTGATTATCGCGATAACCACTTTCCATGATTTAAACCGATAGTTACGACACAATATTTTAATCGTTAAATCGTGAAACACGTGGCGCGATATATCGCGATTATCGCGATATCGACGATATTTTGTGGTTATCGCGATAACCACTTACCATGATTTAAACCGATATTTACGACACGGCGATATTTTAATCGTCGTATCGTGAAATACGTGGCGAGATACGTGGTTATCGCGATATCGACGATATATCGTGGTTATCGCGATATGTACGGCGTATGGACCTTAAAACTCAATTTCCCTGTACAGAATACGGAGTAAAGCGTGTGGATTGACACGGTATGGAATAATTTCGTGTGCCACGTGGATTACATTTTATAAATTACATGGCAAAGATTGTGAGAGAATGGCATGGGCTCCCATCATCCAGCAGTGGATTGATAAAGGTTGACAAATGAACTACGATGGAAACCGTTAACAAAATAACTCACATTCGCCAATAACATCGTGGCCTTGATAGAAAACAAGTATCGTATATGGCGAGGCGACGTTTCGGGCAATGCCCCTTTGTAGCACAACATTCATTATAGAATATTGCAGCATCTCGTACCCTTATAACAGATTGAAACAGTCTGTGCACTGATAAGGTTTAATACGTTAGTGCGTTAATTGACTTTAAACAATGGAAAATGTATACGCTCTATTTTATGAAAAAAAGTTACGTATAAATTAGGTTTTGTAGTTTGTAATGTGTTATCGATTATATTTTAGAGTTTTTTGTTTAATGTTTTATAGGTAATCTTGACATATAGGTAATGAGTATGTTTTATAGTTTTTAATGTTTCATAGATTATGTTTTATAGTTCTGTTTTTCATGTTTTACAGATTATTATTCTGTTTTATAGTTTTTTTCATATTTTATAGATTATTTTAACACGTAGGCTTTCGCGACCAATATTATTAATTTATTATCAATTTATCGATTATGTTTATAGTTTGGGAAATACGTCACATCCGGTCCCCACCCGCGCACGCGCACGTGGATCTACAGTGCGCACTGTACCACGCACAGCGTGCTTCGACTCGATCACAGCTCTTACGATCGATCACAGATCCCTTGCACAAACATCGACATCGCTTACAGTTGTCTCATAGAGTCACATCGAGCCCCTCGCACAAATCGACGTGACAACGGAGCTTCTGCACGCCTTCGATTAGCACACGATTGGGTGCGTACGGTACGAAAGAAGTTCAACGTCGCTCCGTACAGATAACAAAGCATGGCCGGGCTGGAGCTGCTGTCAGACCAGGGCTACCGCATCGACGGCAGGAAGGCGTCCGAGCTGAGGAAGATCGCCTGTCGCATGGGGGTGTTCGCACAGGCCGACGGATCGGCCTACGTGGAGCAGGGCAACACCAAGGCCCTGGCCGTAGTCTACGGGCCCCACGAGGTGCGGCTTGTCGCTGTCGTCTTTCTGCTCACCTGTGGTCTATGATCCCCAGGACGTCTCCTTTGCAGAGTTTGCCACTCCAGTGGTTGTGTTCTCTTGAGCTCAGAAGACGTGTCACTTGGACTTTTGGTCTCCTGATCTAAGTCGTCTCGTCTGTGTGTCTGTGCAGGCGAATGGGACCCACTGGGTTTTTAGTCGTTTAATCTCCATCGCTTACTGATCTCGATGGGTTTCTCTCATGTTTTTTTTTTAATAAATTGGCTTCACCTAAGGTGTCTATCATTGTTTCCATGGTCTCCTGGTTCCTCTGGTTTCTTGATCTCCATCGCATTTCTAACTCTATCTGTGGTCGATGTGCCTTACAATGTCTCTGGCCTCCTGATCTCACCAATCTGAATGCATTGGCTACATCCTCAGAGTTCTACCGATTCCATGATTTCTGGGCTCCAAGTGTCATCAGGCATCTGATCTCTCGTGCATCTCTCCATCCCTTTGAGAGGGCTATGGATCTCACAAAATGCGTCCGTTTGATCTTATTGTCTCGATGATCTTGTCTCCTTGTCTATCTCCTCTATGATCTCTGGCACCCACGAGGTGTGTCTGTTCAGCCTCCTAACCTCAATTGTCTTCTGGTGGCACCGATCACCTGGGCGGTGTCGTGGCCCAACAGTAGTGCGTTGTTGCAGGGCTTCACGGTTCGAATCCAGTGGTTGCTATACTGGTATAATAATATACTAACTATAAAAATCCGTTGCTGTCCGATGTTAAATATGTCCCAGGTCTCTCTTGCAAAGGAGGCTGTTATGGCGTCTTGAGTTTTCACCTGGTTTAAACAAACTAAACTGTTGTGCCTCCTTGTTGAAGCGTGTCACTTTGCCAATTTTCAGATGCGTGGCAACAGAGGGAAGGCGATTCACGACCGAGCGCTGGTGAACTGCCAGTACAGCATGGCCACGTTCAGCACGGGCGAGCGCAAGAGGCGGCCTCACGGTGACCGCAAGTCAATCGAGATGTCGATGCACCTGAGGCAGACCTTCGAGGCGGCGATCATGACGGAGCAGTACCCACGCTCCCAGATTGACATCTATGTGCAAGTGCGTCTGCTTCCTTTACATACGTCAACCCATACGGTTCACCGCGTGTTCTTGTACAGGGAAATTTAGATTTCAGGTCCATATGGCGTACAGCCGTTTCAATACGAGCAACATGTGTCTATTTGTGTGTCTACCTTGTGATGGGACTTTGTAGGATGAACGTTGAGGTTTATAAGGGCACGGGGTGACCAATAAGATCTGATTTGGTCTGCAATAAGGTAGGTACTGATAAGAGGTTGACAGGTGTGAATGTGTGTCATTTCATTTGCGGTGTTCGTGCGATCTGGAATTGTGCTTTTAAACATTTTTGCGTTTATGAATTATTGGTATTTACTAATATAGTCCGTTTCTAAAAACATTTTTTTTACATCTACTGTATTGCGAAGGATTTTTCTATTTCTTTAACTTCCAAAATGTTTAAACATGTACAAAATGTTATGTTGAGCTGGTTGATTTCTGTAGAAATCCTAATTGATACCTTCAATACCACCCTGGACAATTCCTGCAGTAATTATTATTTTATTTTCATGTTAAAATATAACCATCTAGGTCCGTCCAGCCCCATGCCTGGTGATTCCAAAATTTTGAGCTTGTAATGTTTTTTTTTAATTCACAACACATTGAGCAGGACCATATACCTGTTACAATCTATGTATTAGATGAGTTTTGATTACATTGCTTTAAAGGGAAGTGATAGGCAAGGTCATGTATCAGCCATACGTGATTGAGAACACATTCATAACATGTAATGTGTATAGTTATCGTCAACATAAACATCACAACTTAAAGCCAGTACCAATGCAAGCATAAGGTTTTTTTACAATTTGTATTATTTATTTTATGTGCACATATGAAAAAACAACACAATCAAATTAGTACATTATCATAGCATAAGGAATCACAACACCACTATTGTTTAATAGATTGTCATAGTCTACAGTATTTTCACTGTAGGAGCCAATGCTTCGATGTGGCTTTACCCAAGTAGATAATTTACAATAATATTTTAAAGTTCAGAAACAATGCATGGTGATGCCAGCGCACGCGACCTACTCTTTTGAATAATATCACAGGATCTTTAATGTCTGCTGTGAAGCAAACGACATTATTGGTTGATACACCTGCGGTATAAATCAGTGTATATATACAAGGACGGTTTTCTTGGAATTTCTCTTACTTGATACAGCAGTCGTGCTGTGACGGTTCCACCTGAAGACGGAAGCTTGTGTTGCCTCCGAAACGTCGTGATTTTATTTTAATTTTACTTTTATTAATTTTATTTTTTTTACCTACGTGACTTTACCGAAATAACCTAAGAATATGCCTCCTTGCAGTCATGAAAGCTTCAAATCTAGAATTAAGGTATAAATCAGGGCGGCTGCTGGCTATATACCATGGACTTCTGTAACAAGCAGCAAATGCTCTACTGTTCGGCTGTCATAGTAAACAAATGTTCGTCATGTACACAGATCCTGCAATCGGACGGAGGCAACTACTGCGCCTGCGTAAATGCAGCCACTCTCGCGCTGGTGGACGCGGGAATCCCGCTCAAGGACTACGTCTGTGCTTGCTCGGTGGGCTTCGTGGATGACACTCCTCTCGTGGACATCAGCTTCGTGGAGGAGTCGGCGGGGGGACCAGAGCTCGCCCTTGCACTGCTTCCAAAGAGCGAGCAGATTGCACTACTGGAGCTCAACTCACGGCTCCACCAGGACCACCTGCCAGCCGTGCTGGAGGCCGCCACACGTGCCTGCAAGGATGTGCACGCCGTGCTGGACCGCGTGGTGCGCGAGCACTTGCAGGAGGCCACGTCACAGCTTGGTTAATGAAACCAGAGTACTACTGGATCAGCATTGTTGTGTTTGTACCCATTTATTATTCTGATAGGGATGCTGCCATGGGGGTCATGGTTAGCACACTGGACTTGTAATCTGGAGATTGTAATTTCGATCTCCTGTCATTTGAAATGATTGGCAAGGTTTTTGAATTCCCCCTGCCTGTCCACCCAGCAGTAGAAATGAATACATAGTTGATCAGCAGATCGCATGTCGGGTAAAGTGTGGTTACTCCCAGCTTGTCGAAGACGTCTTGCCTGTGTGGAAGAGTAGGTCCAAATATCATCTGATGGAAATCCTTCCTCCAGCAGTACGAGCAAGAAATTGAAGGGCGGCACATTTACATTGTACCTCTTATAATTGTGTTATTGCTTAATTCCATGAGGTGAAGACCTTTTCATTGTGGAATTCGAACCGAAAGTAGTGCTACATCATCACCCCATGCAAGAAAACAGCCTTTGGAAAAAGATATAACCAATTCTAAGGTTCTTTCATTTGCATCTTAACATTAGGTGGTTGTATACCTTCTCAGATGTTCATCTTTAAATTAATATTATGCTTGTTTATCCAGGAAAGCCTCATTAAGTCTCATTACTTTTTCAGGAGGGCCCTTCCAATTTTTCAGAGTTCGGAGTGAGAGAGCTGGCATGTTTAATCAAATTTATGTACTTTTCGGGTATTTTTTTAAGTGTGGGAAATCTGGACCATGACTGGCACACATCGGTGAATCATGTCATGGGACCTGCAATGCCCACTGTAAAACAGACTGTACCTATTTTTGATAGTTAATACATCCACGGTAAAAATAAGAGCAGCTGATTGTGTTTGAAATGTGACTGCTCTATTGCTTGTCCATGTCACTACCCACATATACTTTTGTCATGTGGCAAAAATAAGTTATTTATGCATGCTGGAATAAGTTTAATTGATAAATCTAATATTTTATGTGCAGCCATTAAAATAAGTCTGATACGCACAATTTTCGATGAGAATCGATTCCAGAATCTCAGCAGTTCCTGCAATGTGCTCCGATATGGTATTTGACCCTTGAACCACCTGGTCATTTTATTCCTCCATTAGGATGTATTGTGAAGTGCCTGTTGAATTATTGTTTTTTGAACAAAAATAATGGAATACTGGGATGTACTTTTGTAAGTATTGTCCGTTAAGGTGTTTTCTTAATAAAGTACGGCAAATAAGTTACTGTGGTTGAGTACGTAATGCACAAGTACGTGTACTTGGTAGTGGACTGCAAACATGTTTCAACATGTTTCACCTTAAAATCCTTTTGACATGAATGGCTTATATCCGTACACACTGGAAGATGGTGTATATTCAGAACAGGTTAATCTCGTCGAAATGCCCAGAAAATAATACGAGCATTTGGTGATGCTCACCTGCATTAGGTGAAATGAAATAAAAACATTTGGAGGCCACTACTGGACAAAAACAGCAGGAAAGAAAGGAATGGAGTGAAATCGGGGGTGGGAGGGAAGGTCTTGACCCGTCAGTGGAAAGTTACAGGCTGACAACATATAACCCTCATTGTTAATTCTGAGTGGAGAAAATGTCACGTTCGCATGGTGGAAAGCATCCTCTCCATAGGACATTTCCCTGAATTCTCATTGTGCTGCTGCTTCAAAAGGTGATGTTTCCTAACCCCTGATGTGATTTGTCCAAGTTGACCCCTGCTGTTTTACATGAACTAGATCCGTGACCTTACAGAGCCTGGACAGTACTGTATATAATATAGTCTTGTAACTTGTGACAACGTGATTCAATACATTGTCATAATTGTGCTGAAATTTCATCCAGGATTTGTTTTATTGCTATGTAGAGCTGGCCATCAGTTTATTGCGTCGCATTAAATCACTCAACTACAAACGTAAAATTGGAAAATCTGTCATTCGAACAAGCAAGTTTCAATGCACGTATCGTGAACATAGATGTAATTAAATTGTATCTGAGGTCCATTTAAGTTTCGGGCATGCCTCGGGATACTTTGCAAATCGAATCCTTTGTCATGTGCATTCAACTTCAGTGTGGAAAGATCCCGGAGCATCTCAAGAAATCTCGCAACATACCAGTTCCGCACATAAGGATTCACAATCATCTGCCGCTGTAAGCACACGATGTGGCTAACCTTTTAGTTGTAGCCCCCCCCAATCCTCTCATCCCAAAGAAGCTCTCAAGATCACAGGGCGAGCGCCTGCACCTTGCAGCAACCACATCGGACAGAGATCGGCTGAGATCAATCCACCGCTGGATGAAGGCCTCGCCTCGGACCGTGAATCGTAATATATAAATGAATGGAGCAGGCGAGTGGTTTATGTTTAATATTTATAATAAATGTTTGCTACTCTCAGACCTTTGCCAGTAGCAAGATATAGTAAAAGGTTTTACCATTTTAAATGGCAACAAAACTGACACCTTTATACAAGGGATCATCTTCTTGGTTCTTTCGGTAAAGTCACGTAGAAGGGAAGTAATACAATAATAAAAATAAAACATAAAATAATTTATGATAATTGGTTCTTTACCCTTATATCTGCACTGTCCTGTGCACATTATCAGAGTTATGTTCTTTTGTTTGTATTATGACTGCAGGTATTGCGGTCTATGCAAACATGACTCCTTGCAAAAAGGTGTCAGTTTTGTTGCCAGATAGAAGGGTAAAGAACCAATTATCATATTTTTACTGGCAAATGAGGTCCCCATAGCATAAAATAATTCTCACGACGTTTCGGCCACAACGCAAGTAGCCGTCCTCAGGTGGAACCAGGTCTGTCGAGGCGACAGCGTCTACGTGACTTTACCGAAAGAACCAAGAAGATTAATCCCTGCAGTCACGAAAGCTTTATAACCAGGGATCATGTTTGCATTAACCACAACACTTGCGGTCAATATGCAAACAAAAACACAACTCTGATAATGTATGCACTGTCCTTGAAGTTGATTGGTCCACACCCGAGACAGCTTTCCTTAGAGCCTAGTCTCACATGGTGTTGGACCAGATGACGCCAAAAGGCGCACAACTCAAAGACAAAGCACCATCAGAGTATGAGAGCTTGGGGCAAGCATTTACACTGAGACCTCCTGTCTCGGGTGTGGACCAATCAATTTCAAGGACAGTGAATACATTTTTCTTGGTTCTTTGGGTAAAGTCACGTAGAAGGGAAATAAAAAAATTATAAAAATATAAAATAAAAATTCTGACGTTTCGACTGCAGTCGAAATCATCAGTTCATCACACCTGATGATGATTGCTTGTGTTGTGAGAATTTGTATTGTTGAATATTTTTATTATTTTATTATTTCCCTTCTACGTGACTTTACCGAAAGAACCAAGAATATGAATCCCTGCAGTCACGAAAGCTTTAAATCAAAATTCTGTGCATACATTATCAGAGTTGTCTTTTTGTTTGCATTTTGACCGCCAGTGTTGTGGTTCATGCAAATATGATCCCTTGCATAAAGGTGTTAGTTTTGTTGCCAGGTAAAAGTGTAAAACCTGTTACTAAATGTTTGCTAGTTTGTACGAGTTGCAGCGCTGATTGCACGCCACGCAATGCGAACACGCGCACTCAGACGGGCAATGCTGGGGGGAAATCCCAATACATTTTAAGCGTTCCTCTTTCACGCGCGGTTTTTGTTGTTAAATTACAATTAAGCCGGTCAATTTACCATTCGCGACTTTTGCGGTAAACGTCGCTAAACTTCACCTATAACCTCTCAGACACCCGCTTTACATTTCACACAACGCATAGACGCCCCCTCGAAGCCGCGAGACGCCTCGCGATTGGCCCGCGCCCTGCCCACGTGACTTCCCGTCTCTCGGCGACGCGGATTGGTCCCCCCCCCCCCGCGCTCTGCGCCGATTCTCCCCCTATCCGCTCTGGTAAATACAACGGTGACGTCACCCGTAGACACGGTGGGAGGTGCGGGGGGGTGAGATACCCGTTTGCCCGTGCGTGACGTCATGTAGTCGACACCTCGGCGGCCATGTTTGTAAGGGGGGGACGTCGTCAATCTGTCGCTGTCAGGTGACGTAACGCGGGGGGCCCTCGCTTGGTCCGTGTGCAAGCGTATGGAGGGGGGGGGTAAGTGGGGGGGGGTGGTGGAGGTAAGTGGGGGGGGTAAGTGGGGGGGTAAGTGGGGGGGAGGGTAAGTGGGGGGGGGGGTGGTGGGGAGTAAGTGGGGGATAATGGGGGGGGTTAGTGGGTGTTGTGGGGTGGTAGTGAGAAGGGGGGGGGGTATTGGGGGGGTGTAGTAGTGGGGAATTGATGATGCCTCCCTAAGCAACATGGCTGCCGGTGGAGTCATCGGCTTTGTCATTGGAGGGTTTCCTCGTCGAGGGTGGCGGGTGGTGAGTTGGGTGGGGGGGGTGGTGAGTGGGGTGGTTGATGGGGGGGCTGGTGGTGAGTGGGGGGGGGCGGGTGGTGAGTGGTGGGGGGGTGGTGAGTGGGGGTTGGGGGGGGCGATTTGGGGTGGGGGTGAGTGGGGGGGGTGAGTGGAGGGGGGTTGAGTGGGGGGGGGGCGAGTGGGGGGGGGGGGGCGTGTGTGTGAGTGGGGGGGGGTTGAGTTTGGGGGGGGTGTGGGTGAGTGGGGGGGGGGTGAGTGGGGGTGAGTGGGGGGTGGGGCGTGTCAGAGTTACGCCCCGCCCTCTTCCGTTGCTTCTCGGCTCGAGGTGAAGATGGCCGCGCTCAGGGCTGCGGGACGCTGCACGGGCCGGCTCCTTCTACAGGCGCCGGGCGGAGGGCTCACGACCCACAAGGTAAGCGACGTCTCATTGAACCGAGCACTGTCGCTGCCTGTTAAGTCTCCGTGTTAAGCGGCGGAGGAAGGGGGTGGTGGTGGTTGGTTGGTGACGGGTCCTTTTCACCTGCTCTCAGGCAAGGTCACTACGGCACGGGTGGTGGTGGTGGTGGATCGGCCTCACGCTCCCCCTTGCCACAAGCATCGGGCTCCTCGTGTGCACGGGGAAGCTGTTCCCCGCCTCTCGATTGCGTGTCCCCGACGGGGCTTTTAAGTTCAATTAGAACCTCGGGGTCGCGACCTCTACTCGCAAAATCGGAGATTCCAACACCAACATTATGGCAGGCATTGTGTAACGGGGTGGTGTTGGTGTTGGTGCGATTCTTTGGGTTCTGAACTCGGATGAGGAAGACGGGAGGTGGACTGTAGTTGAGGGTGTTTTTTGCGAAGCTAAGCCTGTTTATCATTTTTTTATTACGCCGATTATTTGCTTATTTTCGGAGTTACGTGCGCAAAGTGTGTGCTCAATCCGGGACTTGCAATGTTGTAAGGTCTGGGGACTAATTGAGACATGTCTTGACATTGGGTCAAAGCTCATTCGAGTAGGAGGACCTCGCTGTGGATGTAATTTAGCTTTACTAGACCCTTTTTTTTATTTACATACACTTGCGGTTATGAAATGTCGTGTAAGGGTTAAACGCCAGCGAGGTTGAACCTTGCTGTAAAGCAAGGTGAAATCCAGTCCTTGCCATGTAATGGATCTGTACCCTGGAATACCAGAGGGCATTTTAGTGGGCATTGCAATCTTTGTTTGGTGGCTGTAATATCACTGCTCATTTGTGTTTAACCACTCATTAAAGCTACCGAGTAATTAACGTATCATTCAGTGTCGTGTTCGTGGACTTTGACATTGATACTCGTGTAACAAAATCGCTTGAAGGACGAGGCGCATTACACTCTGTTTGATACGTCTTACTTGTTAATTGAACGTGGATATTTGCAATTTTTGACATATTACTTGGTAGTTTTATAACAGTTACGTTGTAAATGTCACCCAACTGGTAAAATGTCTGTCATCCAAGTGGTTAAATAGCTTAAGCTTATATCTACGCGGCTGACATATATGTATTTTTCTGTACCGACAGCTTGGGTTTATTTTAAAATATCTGAAATGTGTTTGTATGACTACTGATTGTGTTTAGACGTTGTTTTTGTACATGACAAAAAATCTGATGTCTACGTTTTTGTCCTGATGCAGTGATATGTTTTGTTCAACTTGATCACTAAATGGGCAAGCCATAATAGGGACTCACTCAAGATATGTGGTTGACGACTGCCTATAGGCAAGCTCTCTTACTTTGGTATATGATATTTAATCAGATTTTCTAAGGCTATATGGGGGAGCTTTGCCACTATGCATTCAGGGGTAGCACATTGGGAGCAC